GTAATACAGTGGGTTATCACTTGGCCAGAATGCTTGGGACCAGCCCCATCTACACTGATATATAATCCAGTTTCTGAATCCAGATTATTTGCTTTGAACTGGATTATATGGCAGTGTGGACTCATATAATCCAGTTCAAAGCAGATAATCTGGATCCAGAAACTGACTCAATACACCTGGCTTCATGCCTCATATGCCTTCCCTGACCAGTGCAAGGCCGAGGCCCCATCTATACTGCCATACAATGCAATTTCAGAATGCAGGTGAATTGTATTATATAGCAGTGTGGATGGGGTCAAAGGGTGGCAAAAGCTGGTTCCTTGGCCAAAGCACTGTCTGGAAAAGTTCCATCCAATACGTTAGATAATGATGTTAAGAAGCGTATTTGTGCCTCAACAGCATCAAGAATTAAGATAGCCAGCAGGGTGGAGCTTCACCTCACTATCACAAATCATTTTCTCCACCCCACAACGTTTCTGTTTTTCATGTCATAAAACCCAGTACTCCACCCATTTTATTTACAAGACTTCTAGCATAATTGTATATAAACAACCATACATGACTCTCTAAAGCAAGTTTCCCATAGTTATAGGTCTTCCCCTAAAAATAATGCCTTATTTGGCAATCAAAAACCTTTTCACCTCCATTTCCTAGGAATTACGCTATCCAAACCAAATATGCCCCCGACACAAACATATTTCACTTTCCCCAGTAAACAAAAATCCTGGATGTTTTGTTTTGGGTCAAGAGAGAATAGTCTCAGTATTGGATCTCCTTCTATACTTACTTGTGTGTATGGTTTAAGAAGGAAGAATGAAAAGACCATCTCCTTTTCAAATAAAAAAGTGTGGCTTCTAATTTTTTCACAGATTTCTAGCAGGCATGCTGACAATATGCTAAAAAATTCTCTATTTCATGTGGGAATTTATAATTCCAAATCCAAAACATAAACCTTCATTAGATCGGTGGATCACTGTATCGAAGTGAATGGGTTTAAGGGGAAGGATGTTCCTCTTGCTGATCAAGTAATCCAATAATCAGGAACCCACGGAAGGGCTGAGATCTGAGTCAGCTGGCTTAAATTTCTCAGTATTCTGAGTGAGGAAGAGGAAGGCAGCAGCCAAAGGATCCTGGCCTGAGAAAACGATGGTAGCATACCTGAAGTGCTCCCTTGGCAGTCAACTAGGGGACATTCCCTGGATGAAAGCCTGCAGTATGCAATGAGGAAACACAGCACACCTCCTAGCAATAGCACACAGTGCCCAGTAAGCAGAGAGTGGCTCAAGTCAGAAATGAGCAAAGATACTGCAAGTCCCATAATCCATGCTCGATCCACAGTCAAACCACACCATAGCGTAAAGTGGGTCATGAGAGGTCTATGTGCCAAGTTTGGTGTTGTTCAGTCATTGTTGAGGGTCGCAGCAGTCTCGGAAAGCAAGTAGGGGTACTTCAAGTCCCATCATCCATGGTATGCCCTACTCCAAACCACAGTAGGATGTAGAGTAGGTCATGGGGGCTCTTTGTGCCAAGTTTGGTTGAGTTCGGACATTAGATGAGGGTTGCAGCAGTCTTGGGAAGAGAGTGGAGGTACTTGAAGTCCTATCATCCATGGTCTGTCCTCCTCGAAAGTACACCAGGATGTAGAGTGGGTCATGGGGACTCTCTGTGCCAAGTTTGGTCTTGATCAGTCATTGGCAAGGGTCTCAGTCTTCGGAAGGGAGTGGAGGTACTTGAAGTCCCATCATCCATGGTCTGTCCTCCTCCAAAGTGCACCAGGATGTAGAGTGGGTCATGCTGGGTCTCTGTGTAAATTGTGGTCCTGATCCATCATTGTTGGCAGTTGTAATGGTCTTAGGAAGGGAGTGCAGGTATTGCAAGTCCCATCGTCCATGGTGCATCCTCCTTCAAACTGCACCTGGATGTAGAGTGCGTCATGGAGACTCAGTGTGCCAAGTTTGGTATTTATTGGTAATTGGATGAGGGTTGCAGTGGTATGAAGTATTAAGCAATGGTACTGCAAGTCCCATAATCCACGGTCCATCCCCGGCCAAACCACACTAGGACGTAAAGTGGGTCATGAGATGTCTCTGTGCGAAGTTTGGTCCTGATCAGTCATTGGATAAGGTTAACAGCGGTCTCAGAATGTGAGTGGTGTTACTGCAAGTCCCATCATCCATGGTTCATACTCCTCCAAACTGCAGTAGGATGTAGAGTGGGTGATGGGGGCTCTGTGTGCCTATTTCGGTCTGTATTGGGAGTGTTCTGACCCAGCCCTTTTTTGGCCTTTTCCTTTTCTGTCATCTCGGAATCTTGGGGATTTTTGAGGCTGGCCAATCAGAGACCTCTGCCACCTCTTCATCTTTGTCCGCCCCTGTTCCACACCGACCTCTTCAGTCGAGGGGCTCCTCTTGCCGCTGGAGCCACCAATCCGGCCCCTGCCCCTAGCACCACGAGGGCAGCAACTCATAGAACGCATTTGATACCAATCCCCCGGCCCTCCCTCCCCCCCCCCTTCTGTCCCTCCCTTTCTGAAATCCCATGTTGCAGACTAGATATAGAGTTATGCGATCGCTCTCGCTACTCGCCGCTCTCGCCACTCAACCTGCTCTCAGGCGCCCCTTTTCATCGCCCCCTCCGATGCGTAGTGGTCTCGTCTCCTCCCGCTTCTTCTTCATTCTTATATTATATTGATCGTAGCGTCAGTAGTCGTCGTAGTGTCATACGTGCCCGTGCCCCCTGCGGTCCACACAGAGGCAATGCCCCTCACATCACACATAGCCCTCCTACCGCAAGCCCCCCTCCCCGTGGCTACCGATCCTTACTTTTATGGGTTATGGTTCCTAGAACCTCTCAACCAGAATGTTTAATATCCTAGAGGATTTTGGGAAATGTAGTCCAATGTAGTTTCAGGTTGGAACAGAAGGACTGAAGGGTAGGGGCTAATCTGACAGTTACCAAGTATGCTTAGACTCACTTCTATAGATAGTAAAATGCCCTGGCATTATTTATGGAATATTTTAAGATATCCAGTTTCTGATCTTTTAAGCCCTCTCATAACACTCATAGCACTTGAATTACAACTGGGGACACATCTACACTATGGAACTAATGTTATTGAATCCTGGGATTTATCTTTCGGTGGTGCATGAGCAGTCTTTGGCAGAAAAGGTTGAAGAGCATATAAAACTATAACTCTCATGATTCCATAGCATTAAGCCATGACAGTTAAAGTGGTATCAAATTGCATTAATTCTACCATGTAGAAGTACTCCAAGTACACAGGAAGAAACAGTGTAGACTGCTCAGTTTCTGCAACGAAGGTCAAGCTGAGAAGGGCTGTCCTTAAAGTGTTTGTGTGTTCTGAGAGGCTGGGAATTTTAACCCTCCAGTTTCTTCTGAACACACACAATTGCATGGATATGTCTACTGTGACACAGACATAATGTGTTGGGAAAGTTCATCCTATTGTGTATAGCAATTGGAAGAGAAATTGCTTTCTGCATCAATTAAATATTTTTGTTAAATTTTGTAGAGTGCAAGAAATTTAACCAGTGTGGAACATGCGTTACTTTTGACAAATGCCACGTGGTGAAGAACTACACGCTTTGGAAAGTGGCAGATTATGGAACCATCAGTGGGAGAGAGAAAATGATGGCAGAAATCTATGCAAATGGCCCAATCAGGTACAGTAATGCAGCCTCAATGGCAGGAAACTGTAGAACAACCACTGGAATCCCATGAACTATCTGCCATGGTATCCTGGTACACACTACACAACAAGGCAGGAAACCACAGGAATTCAAGCAGTGGGAGGCTCTAAACAAATCAGCTACGTTGACGTTGTGATTTGTTTAGCAAACCTGTCATGACCTGACACTCTGGATTATTTCTCCCCCAGCAAACCAGAAATGGTGCTGCTGGGAAGACTAGCTTGTTGGAACAAAAACAAGACAGTATATCATCTCTTGCTAGTCATTCTCTGTGAATTGTTCAGCGGCACTGGTTTAGAGTATGCTAGCTAATCCACAAATGCTGAAATTCATCAGAATCCCACCTTCTGAGACATTTGTATAAACCCAAATTTATATTAAAAGTTAAAAGCCCAGACAGTCCCTAAGTTATGACAAGGGCTGGCAAGAAAGCTTCAGCGGAGACACCTTTTCCCCATGTTAACTCTTCCAGGAATGAATTTCCCTTCCGAGGGGTAGATTTCTCTCCCTGTTGTCTCACCCCTGTTCTTAAGTATGAATTGTTTAGAAGTCAGATCTCTGTTACCTGGGGACTGCCTATATTCAGGTGGTTTGAGACCCTGAAATATTCTATTTTATAAAGACTATATTGTTTGGAATTAGCACATAAGCTTTGCCAGAGAAAATAAACAAAGAATTTGGAGCACTCACGTCCACCGATTCAGCAAGGTTAAACATTCCTGTACTAACAGACCAAGAACGTCTGTAATAATAAAATAATAATAATAACACTTTATTTGTACCCCGCTACCATCTCCCCAAGGGACTCGGTGCAGCTTGTATGAGGCCGAGCCCAAATACAACAATACAAGCAATAATAACAACAATACAAGCAATTAAAATAAAAAACATAGACAATAAAATATGCAACAATTAACAGTAAGACAACACACAATTAAAAACAGTGGGAAGGTCAAATGTAAAGTTAAAATTGGAAATGATGCCGGGACATGGGCGAAAAGGTGAAAGTGGCGTTTGTGGAAAACATACAAGCAGACCTAATATGTAAAGTGCTTTGGAGGACAAAGTGCTATGGGATCATTATTCTGGGAAGGCACACTGGAACAACCACATCTTCAAACTCCTCCTAAAGACTACCAGAGTTGGGGCCTGCCTGATGTCCTTAGGGAGTGAGTTCCAGAGTCGAGGGGCCACCACCGAAAAGGCCCTCTCTCTCATCCCCACCAATCGCGCCTGTAGAAAGAAGGTATGCCAAAGCCAGGATTTGGTGCCTCAGTTCTCTTAGAGATTTACTGGGATGGGAAAACTTGTGATAGGATATAACTTCTATCCAAGCGGACCCCACAATTCCAACCCCTAGGGCTCCTGTCATTCATTGTGCCCTTTTACCTTCAAGATCCCTCCCTGGATCTAGTACTCAGGCTTCATGATGACCTCTGTATTGAATGAGAGGCTATGGTGATCTATCGGTTCATTTGGGTTAAACATGGTGAATTCTCTTTTTCAATCCATAAATGATAGACACAATTGTAGAAAATAAAACCAATAAATATTAATTATGTAACAAGTCAAATATTAACTCCCCGCCTCCTTATGCATTACCAGCTTCAAGACTTCTCAGTTCCTCTCTTCCTAATTGGCTTCATTCTTACTCAGAGTGACTTAACTGACTCTTCCAGACAAGCCTCTACTATAGTGGTTCTCAACCAGTTGGCCTCCAGGTGTTTTGATCTACAACTCCCACAAATCCCAGCCAGTTTATCAGCTGTTAGGATTTCTGGGAGTTGAAGGCTAAAACATCTGGGGACCCACAGGTTGAGAACCACCGCTCTACTACATCCATGGGTCCCAACCCCTGGTGGCGCAATGGGTTAAACCCTTGTGCCGACAGAACCACTGACTGAAAGGTCAGCAGTTCGAATTTGGGGAGTGGGGTGAGCTCCTGTCTGTCACTCCAGCTTCTCATGTGGGGACATGAGAGAAGCCTCCCACAGGATGATAGAACATTCAGGAATCCCATGGGCAATGTCCTTGCAGATAGCCAATTCTCTCACACCAGAAGCAATTTGCAGTTTCTCAAGTCGCTCCTGACATGGGGAAAAAAGCCTTCTGTCCCCCAGATGTTTGGAGCTAAAACTCCCAGAAACACCAAACAGCTTGACCAGTGGTCAGGAATTCTGGAAACTCCCAGACAACCAAAGTTGGGAATCACTGCTATAAGTTATTACTATTTTCTCCCCAATTGACCCTCTTTCATAGCATTCCAATGGCTGTGATTGGCTCTGAGCAGATTTGTCCAACATAGACTTCACCATTATTGTAAAATCTGTGGGGAAATTGTCAACAAAAGGCTTTTGAAGCTTGAATCCAGTTGGCAACATATACCCTCAGTTGTGCCAGTGAACATGCAACTTTAGATATTGCAAGAAGAAGTATCTAGGACAATGTTTTCACTAGCACCCTAAAAGATTTTTGTTGTTGTTCATCATGTTTCAACAGTTGTGGGATTATGGCCACATCAAAGCTGGATGAATACACTGGAGGACTCTACTCAGAATTCAAACTATTGCGCATAATAAACCACATTGTCTCTGTTGCTGGCTGGGGAGTAGAAAATGGAACTGAATACTGGATTGTACGGAACTCTTGGGGAGAGCCCTGGGTAAGAATCCAAATACTTTCTATAGGTTTGGTTGGACTGGGCAAAATCCTCTGAAGGAGGTCAAGCCTCCTTCAGAGGATATATAATGGAAATGTTGGGGGTGGAGATGGAGGTGCATTGGGATGGGGCTTGAATTTCCCAGATAGACCATGGTAGACTTTGATAGTACAGAACAATGGTTTGCAGAAGAGTGCATCTGTATTTTCCTGCACAGATCTCTTTGCAGCAGAAATGGGCAAACGTGGGCCCTCCAGGTGTTTTGGATTTCAACTCCCACAATTCCTAACAGCCTACTGGCTGTTAGGAATTGTGGAAGTTGAAATCCAAAACACCTGGAGGGCTCACGTTTGCCCATGCCTGCTTTACAGTGTTACTGAACCAGCTTAGATAATTCGGGACTGGTAGGCCAAATGTACCACCATAAAATTGATGAAATAGGGCTATCAGCTAAGCTCTGGCAAACTACTGACCAGTGTTATGCCTGGAGAGACATCCATGTTGTGCTGCCTTAATCCAAACCACAAATATTATTTGCATTCTCCCTTAGGGCATGACTTGTATATCAAGAAATATGCGGACATGTTTTTAAATGTTGCCATCATAAGAAACCCAAATTTTGGATCAAATTCATTAATCCTTGTGGTCCTCATGGAGAACGAGTTGAACATGAACCAACAATGTCATGCAGCGGCAAAAAAACCCAATGGGATTTTGGCCTGCATAAATAGGAATATAGTGTCTAGATCCAGGGAAGTCACGCTACCCCTCTGTTCTGCCTTGGTCAGACCACATCTGGAATACTGTGTTCAATTCTGGGCACCACAACTGAAGGGAGATGTTGACGAATTGGAATGTGTCCAGAGGAGGGTGACCAAAATGATCAAGGGTCTGGAAAACAAGCCCTATGAGGAGCGACTTAAAGAGTTGGCCATGTTTAGCCTTCAGAAGAGAAGGCTGAGAGGAAAGATGATGGCCATGTATAAATATGTGGGAGAAAGTCATAGGGAGGAGGGAGCAAGCTTGTTTTTTGCTGCTCTGGAGACTAGGATGCAGAACAATGGCTTCAAACTATAGGAAAGGAGATTCCACCAGAAATGAGGAAGAACTTCCTGACTGTGAGAACTGTTCAGCAGTGGAACTCTCTGCCCTGAAGTGTGGTGGAGGCTCCTTCTTTGGAGGCTTTTAAGCAGAGGCTGGATGGCCATCTGTCGGGGGTGCTTTGAATGCGATTTTCCTGCTTCTTGGCGGGAGAGTTGGACTACATGGCCCACAAGGTCTATTCTAACTCAATGATTCTATGAGTCTATAATAACCGTGTTTCTCTACTAATACAAATGGATATTTTACAGGGGGAACAAGGCTGGCTTCGAATTGTGACGAGCGCATACAAAGGAGGAAGAGGAAAAGAATACAACCTGGCCCTGGAAGAGAACTGCGCCTATGGGGACCCCATCCTTCCTGGTGGCCACAACGGCACTTCTACTTTTGAAATGAAAAGCATCTTGTAGCAAGATTTTTTCCACTTCTTAACAAAGGGGAAGGATAGAGTTTCAGTTGTGCTTCACACATTTTTTTCTTTAATGATCCAAAGTTTTACATGAGAATCAAAAGGCTTTGCTGTTCTCTGTAAAAGCTGTAGGAAAAGAGAAGAAACTGTGCTACAGGTAGAGAAGGAAGCCACAGCCCTGAGTTCCCAAGACCTGAACAGGGAAGAGCATGGCAGGGAGCCTTGGAAGCCCCTCATTCACTGTCAGCCAAAGCTGACTTGATGGCAGTCATGGAGCGACATGACAATAATATGTCATCTCCGAGATAAACATCCCCAATGAGGGACAGGTATTATTTATACAGGTAAAGGAGACGAGTCTATGAAATGCATGTATATTCTGTTTGGAAACGTTTGTGTTCAAGACGTGTAACAGAATGAGTTAAAATGGCTTTTTTGGTATGCAGTGCATGGATCCAACCCAGCTAAAGATTTGGTGAAATTAAACATGATTCTACAACACCCATAAATAACTTGTTATCCTTTATGGTGTGTTCCTGCCTCAATATCAACATTCCATATTTAACCATTGATTTCTATATTCTGATCAGTTTTTAAGAAGTTTGGGGTATAGTCATACTGATGAAGTGAGTAGATTCAATCTGCTAACTGAAAATGTAACAGAGGAATGAAGGCTAGAAAACCTCTGGGATAAAGGTCATATTTATCCTCACTACCTCTGAGGATGTTTGCCATAGATGCAGGTGAAATGTCAGGAGAGAATAATAATAATAATAATAATAATAATAATAATACTTTATTTATACCCCGCTACCATCTCCCCAAGGGACTCGGTGCGGCTTACATGATGCCGAGCCCACAATACATCATGTCTCTAGAACATGGCCGTATAGCCTGAAAAAACCTACAACAACCCAAAGATCATATTCCCCTTCCGAATTTCTTCTGTAAGAAAGGAAAATATGGAGGGAAGAACAGAGACAGCAGACATCTGTAATCTCCCCTGCCCCCAGCTCTATTTCAGAAATGCCAGAAAGAGAAGCAAACCCACATTGTGTGCAAGCTCTCTTATGTGCTTTGCATACACCTTTGGAAGTTCCTCCTGGATTCATCTGTTCAACAGAAAGAAGAAGTTTACAACATGTGACAGTACTTATGAATGCCCCAAGAGATCACAGCAGGAAAAATGTTGCTGTACTCTAAAAACTTTGTTATCACACTCGATTGGGGCATTAAATATATGTGCAAACCTATATACCAGTGGTTCCCAACCTTTTCTTCATCAGGGACCACTTGACCAGGGACCACTTTCCAACATTAATACCAAAAGGATTGCGAATCAGTTTTTGCTCAACTTTAGTTTCGGTTTAGTTATTTGGGGTAGTGATTCAGAAAATTGCATTGGATAGACCACATCAGCTCTAGTTTCTGATACAGAACATATGCCATTCTGTAATCACCATCTACTCACCCACAGAAAACCATATTTAATCATCTAGAGCTGATATGGTAGTAGCAGGCCTGTAGCGAGGGGGTGGTTTTAGGGGTTCAACCCCCCCCCCCCCGAAATGTTTCAGATTTTTAAAAAAACCTGGTTTACTCATGAATTTTAACTGGTTAACTAAATCCCCATGCTAAGTCTATGAAATGCAAAAAATTAAGAGTCCCTCCAGAACTGCAAGCACTATCTCAAGCAAATATTGACAATTTATTCAACTGTCATTGCTTGCAGCAATAGTCGATGTAGTGAAGTAGCCAAGTTGGCGGGGTGTGTGTGTGTGTGTGTGTGTTGAATGCTCTCATTAAGGAGGCCAGACTTGGTGGAGGTGGTTGACAGGGGCGGAGTTGCAGGCTATTGAAGGCTGCTCTGCCCCCTGCTGTGTTCTTTGCTTCAGCGTGAGCTAGGAGGCAGGTTTATTCCCCCCCCCCGCGAAATTTTCAAACCACCCCCCAAAAATTTCAACCCCTCCCGAAATTTTTTTCTGGCTACGGCCCTGGGTAGTAGTAATCTTTCGTGGGTAGTCAGCCTTTCCCCTCCCGACATCCCTGTTGCCTCAGCACTATAAGAGGGTTTTGCTATACTAGTCACTCTCATTGCCACATTGTTTGAGGCAATAGTATAGTAATGGTGAGACCATGGACCATATTTTCATACTGGCAGACCACTGGTGGTCCACAGATCACAGGCTGGGAAGCACTGCTATATACATTTGGAATCTGAATGAAAGGAACACATTCCTCAGGACTATGAGAGGCTGGAGTTAAATGATTCTATCAATAGGAGAAATCCTTCCATCTGTAAGCACAAAGCCTAGAAACAAGGATATTTGAAGAAATTCCTTTATTCAATTTTTAATGAAGAAACATACAGAAGTACGACATGAATCAATTTGAAAACCCTTGGTTCTAGATAGTTGGGTACCCAAGAATAAAAGACCTGGGATGCAGACAGAGATATTCCACAAAAGAGGCTTTATGGAGAAAATAATTTAAAGGCAAATGACGTATCATTCTTGAGGTGGGGAGGAGTTAGGATCCTGTGTTGGAGTAAATTAGAAAGGAGTAGGAACCATGGTATGACCTTAATGGGCCAGATGAGGTTTGTAGGTGGAAAGGTGGACACCCAAAATAGGAGGATGTTGGTTAGAAAAGTTGCTTGCACAGGGAACAGGAAGCCTAGGAAAAGTCAAGGGACACGATGAAACTTAAGTTTCTCAAAGCAAGGAGAGTGGGATGGGGAAGGGACAGGGCTCAAGGGTGGAGGGCATGCCATGCATACAGATGGTCCCAGGTGTTTTTCACAGATTGGTTTGGAGAAGGTTTCTCTGCAGCTGCACAGTGTGGCTATTAGTGTTGATACTGGATTGGTTTACAGACCAACAGTCTAATTCAGTACAAGACAGCTTCCTCTTTTCCTGGGGATTGTCAGGAGACAACTTCCAATCAAGAATAAAGAAAAAGAAGAGTTTGAAGGTAAGACTACAGAATTATAGGAGAGAATCATTGTCAGAAGAGACTGCAAGGTCCATCCAGCCCAATTCCATTTTGCACTCTCGACATGGCAACTCAATTTCTGCAAACATCCAACGAAAGCAGCATCTAATATTTAGGCAGAATCTCTCTTCCTTAAATTTAAATTCATTGTCCTAGTCACTATAGCAGCTGGGAACAAACTTCAATATGTCAGTCCTTCAATGTTTAAAGATGGCTATCATGTTCCCTTTCTACCTTCTCTTCTTCAGGCCAAACATACCCAACTACTCCTCATCAGACTTGCCTTCCAGGCCTTTCACCATTTTGGTTTTCCTTCTCTGGGCATCTTCCAGCCTGTCAATGTCTTTCCTGAATGGTGCTGATCAGAACTGGACACTGTATTTTAGGTGAGGTCTGACCAATTGTGGCCTTAGAAGAACCTAAAAGAGAAATATCCAGGTCAAACAAAAGGAGTTGACAAAGATTATCCTTTTCTGAATGACGGCTGTGATCCACTCAAGAAGGAAAATTTTTAACACTGCTTCAGATAGGTACAGAAGAGCTTGTGATAAGTGGCCAGTATCAGTAGCCAAGCGAATAGCCTTGTCACGATTGCATCAAGGCACAGAGGACGCATGCCTTCTGTACCTTCAAGAGTCTCTTATCCCAAGTCCAAGAATGCTGTCATGGTCTTGCGTCAATGTCCAAAGAGATTGGGGGTGACTCATCCTGCAAATACATTCTTGCCCTGAATTGTCAGCCCTATGTGGCGAATGTTGTCGACAAGACAGAAATCGTGGGTCAAAGTGATAAAGGGCAAGATGGCAGTCTCTATAAATATTTTTGCTCCAGATTACTGCTGAAATTTGTAAGTTTATTCTTCCCCCCCCCCCCCACCCAAAAGGTCAAGACAATTACAACCTGACCTTTGTCAGCTTGGCTTTCTCTGTAATTACAGCGCAGTCACATGAGCAGTTGAGCTGCAAACCAGTATTAAGGGCAGTAAGACATCCCCTGCCACTAAGAACTAGCCAGATGAAGGCAACACACCAGTGACACAGCACAGGTCAGGGCCGGATAACATGTGACATCCTGGATGTTGTGGGATTCCAGCTCCCATTATCCCTCAACACTAGCTGTTATGGTTAAGGTTGATGGGAGTTACAATCCTAGCATTGTTCAAAAACCACATGCACACATAGTTTTTTTTATTGAAAGAGTGTGTTTGTCTGTCTATCTATCTATCTATCTATCTATCTATCTATCTATCTATCTATCTATCTATCTATCTATCTATCTGACATTGGTAGAATAATATCACAATCCATCCCCTTTCCTCATTTCCTTCCCCTTCATTTCCTTCCTTCCTTCCTTCCTTCTTCCTTCCTTCCTGTCCCTCCTTCCTTCCTTTCCTTCCTTTCTTTTCCCTTCCCTTTTATTTATACCTTTGATCTTACCTTTCCTTTCCCCCTACCACTCCTTTTTCTTTCTTCCCCCTTCCCTCTCTTCCTTTTCCTTTCTTTCTCTTCCTTTCTTTCTGGTCCTTTCCTTTCCTCTTCTCATATCTTTTCCCCTTTCCTTTCTCTTCCTTCCTTCCCTCCTTTTCCTTCTAGATCAATCAATCCATGTAGGAACCTTTGTCATACAAACCAACCAATAAACGAATCAACAGAAATTGATATTTTGACATATATATATATATATATATATAATTTATTTATTTACTTTGCTTATGTACCGCTGTATCTAAGCAAAATAAATAAATAAATAAATAATATATAATATATATATACATACACACACTATCTTGAATCATAAAATCATCAAGTTCAGGCCTCCTGTCACGAGGAAATACACAATGAAAGCACTCCATCACTTGTTGGCTGAATTGCATCTGTGCAGGTACAGCTGTACCAGGAGCTCCAATTTTGTTTGCTTTGCATTGAATGTTTGTTGTAGTCCTAAGTTTCAGGGACTCTGCAGATAGGTGGCTTCTTTTGGCTGCAATCATAGGGCAGGCCACCTGTCAATTATAGTTAGGTTCCCTGGTCCTGCCCCCTTTTTGGGTTTTTGGAGGGAATAGGAGCCCTTTTGGGTTAGTCCACACAGAGAAGCCTTTCATGCAGGACATAATACGAAGAGCTCCTGTAGAAAGCTTTGTCTTCTACGGCTTGGCCGGGGAGATATACAGCCCACAGCTTGGCTGGGGTTATACAGCCCTACAGTTCCTTTGCTGAAGGACTTTAGTCAGCCATCACAGAAACCTGAATTCCTTTCCCCCTGGAAGTCTACAAACTTTGCTTGGTAAGGGTCACTCGTGGAAGCCGTTAGTACCGGGTGCAGGGGCTCCACGCCAACAGAGGCAAAGACAGACTGCCCAGATTAGAAGTTAAGGATTTCCCCATTAGCTAAAATACAGTTTATTAAGATAGTGCCTGTTCCCTGTGGACAAGATTGAGAGAGAACCAATAGACTGTTAAGAAAGCCTTAAAGTACCTGTTTGTTTTCAATAATAAAGAACTTTGTTGAACCTTTAAGCAATCTAAGGGCTCTGTTTTAAGGAAATCTAAAGGCCTTTAATCTGAGGCAGCCCCGGCGTCCTGTTGGGCACCCAGATTTATGTCCTGTCTACAGTCTTATACACAGGCCCAACGTGCGACAGCACAGCATCCGATTGTCTATCATTTCTCACAGCTTCATTCCTTCGATTTGCACAGAACTACCAGCAACCCATCATGTCATATTCCCTACGGTTTTCTGGAGCAGAACTTTGTGAATTAGGGCATTGGACAAATTACAAAGAGCAAATATTATAATAATTATTACACCCCGCAGGTCACCTGTCTAAGTGCAAATCAGGGTGGGGAGGCATGGGAACCCCAACGGGTTCAACACTTCTAAGGTTCATTTGGCATTGGTACCAAGGCATATAGTAGAGAGCAGAGTTCTGTCCTAGTCTTCCATTTGAAGACATGCAGTGATTGCAAGTGGGACACATGGGTCTACAGAAGGCATTGGCAAACTTTGGCCCTCCAGGTGTTTTGGACTTCCACTCCCAAAATTCCTAACAGCTTACTAGCTGTTAGAAATTGTGAGAGTGGAAGTCCAAAACACCCGGAGGGCCAAAGTTTGCCCCTTTCCCTCCATAGAGTATTGTTTGTATTCAGCAGTGTAATGTGGGGCAACGAGGGCATTGTCTCCCCCGAAAATAACACTTCTCCTCCCCTACATGGACTTTTCTTTCAATCCTCAAATTTCTGGCATTGCAGAGAATGAGACAGTGGAAATGTTCACACCTTGAATTCTTTAAGTAACAATGTCCTCACTCCCTTTATAACTCCCCCTACCCACCCATTTTCTTTGAATGTCTAGACATAATTTCAAAAGTTTTAACTTCCTGTAATGCTAGAAAAATTAGGACACGGACTAGGATTTCCAGACATCAAATATGAAGCAATCTCTTCAGGTCTTGGCATATCTCAGAGTGCTGGAGTCCTTGATTATAATTGGCACAGATGTGGGCAAACGAATAGCACTCCGAGATGCCATCTTGGCATAGAAACCTGGATGAAGGTATGCATCACCATAATTATTATATGGTTACATGGCTGAATGGGGATTTGAATCCTGGTCACCAGAGCTTGAGGGTGCATCTACACTGTAGAAGCAATACAGTTTGATACCACTTCAACCATCATGCCTCAATTATATGGAACCATGACAGTTGTAGTTTGGCGAGGCACCACGACACTTTGGCAGGGAAGCCTAAAGATATTGTAAAACTACAACTCCCTGGATTACATAGCATAGAGCCATGACAGTTAATGTGTTGTCAAATTGCATCACACCTGTAGTATAGATGCACCCACGGTTTTGAGCCTTCTCTGCCAAAGAGTGCTGGTGCTTCATCAAACTACAAATCCCAGGATCCCATAGTGTGGAGCCATGGCAGTTAAAGTGGTGTAACACCACATTAATTTTACAGTAGATGCACCCATAGTCCAAAACTCAAATTACACAATGTAACACGATTTTGGTTCCTAGTTGTAAATGTTATTTCCTAATTGGTTCTTTCAACCATGGAAAAAAATATTAAACTGCTAAAACTTTGCTTTGCAGGATATCCTGCAGCACATTTTGCTATAGTTTTTCAATGAATATCTTGTAAAGTCTCAATCAATTCAACATAGTTTGTGGCAGCCACAAAAACAAAGCTTCTGGAGCATAACAACTACTTTCAACGTAAGTACTGCACAGTTAAAAAGGAAATAATACTTTCAAACCAGGAACTGAAAATTTCTCAAATTTTGTCTCATAGTGTTATTGTACCACACTGGCTCTGTTTGGAGTGCCTCTTTGTAAAAACAAAACAAAATTAAGGAAGTTAACCCTAACCCCTTCCTCTTCTTTAGGCAATCTCCTCCTTGTTTAATGCTATCAAGCCTACTGTTTGCCAGGGTGAAGCCTCTGCTTCATACAAGGTGGATCAAGTGGGACGAAAGCGTCACAAGTAACTGTTTAACTTCTTATCATGGCAAGTTCTGCTACAGCTAGATTAGGATGAGCAAAGTAGGGTGGGGGGAAGCAGGCTTCTCTTTTGCTTGGATCATTTTATCTCACAGGTTTTGAGATCCAGGTTAAACTGGTCTGAGAAATCCCTAGTCCATTTCCAACCCTCCATTCCCTTTGTTGCTTCTTTGCCCTTCATCCTCCTCCTCTTTAAAAACCCGGCAGCCGAAGAAGAGCCAGTACTGAGATCGAGTTCAGTGGCACCATGGGCTTGTCTCTCCTCCTCATCTTCTTACCTTTCCTGAGGTTTTCTCTGGGCATTGGACTCTTCTTCAAGGGAGGACAGAGCTGCTACAAACCGCTGACTGATGATCCTCCTACTCTCCGGTAAGAAACTGTGGATGATGGGTTAGGATTCTGTGGTTTATTGGAGGGGGGAGAGGTGGAATCTGCATGTAGAAAGGCTGTCTTCCTTCCAGTAACTACAACATAGCTGCAAGAATGCCAAACAAAGTAATTATCCTCCCCAAACCCTGGGTGCATCTATACAAGGCATGGGCAAATTTCGGCCCTCCAGGTGTTTTGGATTGCAACTCCCACAATTCCTAACAGTGATAGGCTGTTAGGAATTGTGTGAGTTAAAGTCCAAAACACCTGGAGGTTCGAAGTTTGCCCATGCCTGATCTATACTGTTGAATTAACCCAGTTTGGCACCGCTTTAACAGCTACATCCCAATGCTGTGGAATCCAGTATAGATGTGCCCCCATACAAGAATTCTGCCTTCTAAAGGAAATTTCCCTTCGACCCCAAAATGTCTAGCTTTGCAGCTGCTGAAAACATCAGCTCAGCATTTTGAAGTAAGCCTCTTGGTATCCAAAGACCAGGGGCCCTGCAAAGGAAGCAAAGGGGATGCAAACAGGAGAGGACCAGATGTAAATGATTTTCAAAGTTTCTCCTTTTGCAAAGCTGGATGTTTGGGGATATTTGTCCTGATCCTAGTGATTCCTCCATTCTGTGCATAGATGGTACTTGCAGAATGTAGCTGCTAATAAGACACTTTGGAAAATGTCACTTTTTGAGTGGAACTATAACTCCCTGACAACTATGGTCATGCTGTCTTGGGAAACAGAGAGATATACTTCAGAATACAATATACAAAACAGAGAGCTGGGCAGGAGGAGTGTGTCCCCGTTGATTCTATTGGACGTCTCAAATGTTTCTATACCTTCAACCATGGTATCCTTCTGGATCATCTTGCTGGGATGAGATTTGGAGATACTGTCTTACAGAAGGTGGTGTTGAAGGGACTCCTGTTTGAATCCCTGGCCATTGATCTATTAGGTTCCTCGGTGTTCTGTTTTGTCCCCCATGCTGTTTAACATATACATGAAATTGCTGGGAGAGGCCATGCAAAGTTTTAGAGTGTGATGCCACATATATGCAGGCAACACCCAACTCTAATATTCCTTCCCATGTGAAAGCCAACAAAGCTGTCCTGACCCTAAACAAATGCCTGTCATCAGTAATGGACTGGATGAGGGCAAACAAAATGAAACTTAATCTGGGCAAGACAGAGGTGCTCCTGATCAGTTGGAAGGTAGATCATAGAATAGGGATCTGTACTGGATGGGGTTGCACTCCCTCTGAAGACACAGGTCCACAGTTTGAGGGTCCTCCTGGAATCCACATTGAACCTGGAGGCGCCAGTATCTGTGGTAGCCAGGAGTGCCTTTGCACAATTAAAAGTTGTGCAACAATTGCACCCGTTCCTTGAGAAGCCTGATCTGACCATGGTGGTCCATGCCTTTGTTACATCCTGTCTTGATTACTGTAACACGCTCTATGTGGGGTTGCCACTGAAGAGTGCTTGCAAACTTTAGCTGGTCCAAAGAGCCACAGCCAGGGGCTGGCTACCGAGAGTGGACAACCACCCTGGTGCAGCAGCTCCACTGGCTGCCAGTCTGTTACTGGGAACAATTTTAAAATGCTGGCTATGACCTTTAAAGTTCTAGGTGGTTTACGTCCAGGCTATTTGGCTGACAACATCCCCTTGTACAAACCTGTCTGGGCCCTGAGATCTTCAGGAGGGGCCATTCCTTCTCTCAGTCCCACCTCCATCTCAAGCTCAGTTTGTGGGAATGAGAGAGGGGGCCTTTTCAGTGGCTGCCCCTCAACTCTGGAACTTCCTGCCCAGGGAAGCCAGAATGGCCCCTTCCCTGCTGTCCTTCCAGCAACAGGCTAAAACCTTTGGATTCACACAGGCTTTTTAAAAAAAGGCTTTTAAGGTCAAGTCTGGCGCTGTTCTGGTTTTTAGTTTTGGATACGTTTTTATGGATTTTAACTATGAATTTTTAAATATCATTGATATGTAATTCTGTTTTAATGTTTGTATATTTGTAGTTTTTAAACTGTATTGAAATGTTTCAAATGTAAGATGCTTTGTGGAGAAAAAAGTGGGGATTAAATAAAACATAATAATAATAATAATAATAATAATAATAATAATAAATATCAACTTTTTAAAGCTGAATTTATCGTGCTAATTATTGTAAGCATTTTCTATGGCAGGTTTGTAAAAAGAATGTAAAGGCTGGGCAAGCCTTCTATCTTGAGTAGTGTTTCAAAAAGGGTTGTTATCTCCTGAAAGACCTGAAAAAATATCAGCCTCAAAGGTGATCACAGGACTGCTTAGACGCAATGGAAATGTCACAAGAGCGGTCATGTGGTTGCCAGAAAGAGGGAAGATTAAATCAAGACTGTGACGATAAGAGCGGGGAAGGGGAATTGTTAGCTTTCCAGACTACAATTCCCACAATCTCTTGCCCTTGGACATCCTAGTTGAGGATTCTGAGTGTACAAATCTTAACTATCTGAAGGATTAGTAGGTCTCCAGCCTTGAACTAAACTTAGCATCAGAAAGCAAAGTGTAGCTTTATCAGCCACCAATGTGAACAGTGTCAGATTCTGGAGTATTTAGGCATTCTGGATATGGGATGCTCAACCTGTATGTTCTCTCAGTCCCATTATCTGCAGATGTGCTAAACTATATCTCAGGCATGGGCAAACTTTGGCCCTCCAGGTGTTTGGGTCTTCAACTCCCACAATTCCTAACAGCCGGGCCCTGAGATCTTCAGGAGAGGCCGTGTCTCCATCTCAAGCTTGGTTGGTAGGAATGAGAGAGAGGGCCTTTTCAGTGACTGGTAGGTTGTTAGGAATTGTGGGTGTTGAAGTCCAAAACACCTGGAGGGCCAAAGCTAGCCCATGATTGCTATATCTTGGCCCCAGTCATTCCAACATATTTGGGAGCCACCAGGTTGGTGGGAGTCTGGGTTAATGTGTTGGATTCGGAGTTTGGAGGCCCAAGTCATGTTGTCCTCAAGCTTACAGGTCAGTAAATAAACTTGGGCTGTTTCTTGCTTTTATCTTAACCTACCCTGCAGGGCTGTTATAAGAATAAGTGAGAAAGGGAGAAGCCTATGCAGGCAAATGAAATAAATGTAATAAATTAAAGCCTACTTCTTTTCGTTAAGCGTGGAACCAAGATTTAATCTGTTCTCTCCTTTTCTTCCACCACAAAGGACCTATCCTCGTCCCCATGAATATTTGGACATCACTGAGCTGCCCAAGACCTGGGACTGGAGGAATGTAGATGGCATCAATTACGTGAGCACTACCCGGAACCAGCACATCCCTCAGTATTGTGGGTCCTGTTGGGCTCATGGCAGCACCAGCGCTTTGGCAGGTAAGGCAAGTGGGCTGGGACTGTTCCAGGATTAGTAAATGCACACAGCTGTGTGCCAATTCTTTTTTGGTAGTGCCTTCGTTCATTTATTGTGGTTTGCTCTGTTGGACCAGAAAAGCTTTTGCCAAGATTCTAGATCAGCTACTTTGCCATGGAAATAACTTGGTGTGTAGCTCAGGGCTCTATCACAGTGGTTCTCAACCTGGGGTCCCCAGATGTTTTTGGTCTTCAACTCCCAGAAATCCTAACAGCTGGTAAACTGGCTGGGATTTCTGGGAGTTGTAGGCCAAAAACATCTGGGACCCCGGGTTGAGAACCACTGCTTTATCATATGACACTATTATTTAGTTGTTGTTCCACTTCACCTGGAATTCACAGAGAATGCTGAGACTTGCAGTTTAGGAAGGGATTTTTAGAGTCTTCAGACAGAAAGCTCTTGGGCCTTGCTATACTACAAATTCCAGAATTCTACAGAATGTTGTCATGGCAGTTCAAGTGGAACAATTGCGCTATAACAGTGTAGTGTGATAAGGATCCGAGGGCCCTTCTACACAGCCGTATAACCCAGAATATCAAGGCAGATGATCCACAATATCTGCTTTGTCCACACTGCCATATAATCCAGTTCAATGTGGAGTTAGGGGCCTAAGTAGCATCTCCCAGGCCAACCACCTTAAATACTTAGAGGATAGAAGCCTCTTTGAGCAATAACAAGGTATTTTCTCCTGTTGATCAGGACACAGAGTTAACATCCCTGAGTAGAGTGCACCCTGGCCAATGCCTAAGTTTTTTTCCTTCAGCCTTACCTGCTCCCCAATTCTCTTTTGGAATGGCCTTCGTTCATGAACTACAGTTTGCCTTGTGTTGCTGTTACTTTAGAGGGGGAGGGAAGGAACCTCAATTCCATAATCTCTTTGGGTACATGGAGTTAAGTCATGCTAAGCTCTTTTCCTGGCTCTGAATCCCTGATGTCAATGTAAGCTCCTTCCACACAGCTGTATAAAATCCACATTGAAGTGGATTATATGGCAGTGTGGACTCAGATAACCCAGTTCAAAGCAGATATTGAGGATTATCTGCTTTGATATTTTGGGTTGTTTGGCTGTGTGGAAGGACCCTTAGACAACTTGTCAGACCAAGTTGTCTTGGTTGTTTTTGTTTTAATAGAAGTTTGCTACTTGTGTATATGTTTTACTAATCAGTAGCAAGTGCAAAACTCTCTCTGTATGTTGCATATGAGCCTGAAGTGGAAGCAGTGACCAGCTCCCCTCCTGATAAATCTTATAGTACAAATTGAAATATAATATTGTATTTATTCTTTCTCAGATCGCATCAACATCAAGAGGAAAGGTGCCTGGCCCTCGGCTTACCTCTCTGTTCAGCATGTCATTGACTGTGCTGGGGTCGGGTCTTGCCATGGAGGGGACCACAGTCACGTCTGGAGGTACGCACATGACCATGGCATCCCGGACGAGACCTGCAACAATTACCAAGCTAAAGACCAAGGTATGTGAGGACAAATAACATGGGGTGACTTCTCATATGAAGCTGATGATAAAGAAAGTAATGTAAACAACTTCATTCTTTTTTCCCAGTATTGTAAATAAGCACAGAATTTACTAGCCTTTAACGCCCACCTAACTGTGCATTATTATAAAAGAAGGGAAGAAGAGCAGAGGAAATCCTTTCCTATGACCTTTGTCACATTTTTGCAAGGCCCTTATGAAGTTGTTCTTGATTATTGTCTTTGTACAGTGCAGATAAAGCTTAGAGCAGCGTTTCTCAACCTGGGGGGGTCGTGAGGGGGTGTCAGAGGGGTCGCCAAAGACCATCAGGAAACACATAATTTTCTGTTGGTCATGGGGATTCTGTGTGGGAAGTTTGGCCCAATTCTGTCGTTGGTGGAGTTGAGTTGCTCTATGATTGTAGGTGAACTATAAATTCCAGCAACTACAAATCCCAAATGTGAAGCTCTGTTTTCCCCAAACTCCACCAGTGTTCACACTTGGGCATATTGAGTATTTGTGCCAAGTTTGGTCCAGATCCATCATTGTTTGAGTCCACAGTGCTCTCTGGATGTAGGTGAACTACAACTCCCAAACTCAAGGTCAATGCTCACCAAACCCACCCAGTATTTTCTGTTGGTCATGGGAGTTCTGTGTGCTGAGTTTGGTTAAATTCCATTGCTGGTGGAGTTCGTAATGATCTTTGATTATAGGTGAACTATAAATCCCAGCAACTACAACTCCCACATGACAAAATCAACCCCCCCCCCCCAACCTCGCCAGTATTCACAATTGGGCGTATTGGGTATTTGTGCCAAATTTGGTCCAGTGAATAGAAATACATCTTGCATATTGGATATTTACATTACGGTAAATAGTAGTAAAATGACACTTATGAAGTAGCAACAAAAATAATGTTATGGTTCTGGGGTCACCACAACATGAAGGACCGTATTAAGGGGTCGCGGCATTAAGAAGGGTGAGAACTGCTGGCTTAGAGGGTATTAATTGGTCTTTGGATTTGGCCAAATAATAGTGTGATGCTTCTGGTTTCTAAACAACATATTTAGTAAAGAAAGACTATCACTTTCACTGATAGGAATCTGCTTGAGATTGGTGTCAGAAAGCTGCCATTTCCCTTATCAGTGTCAGATAGCAGAACCTTCTTGGTGATGGATCACACAAGTGTTTAAAAAATCCATGTTGAAATCAAACACATTCCCTCCTTTTGAATTTTTAGTTGGGCTTCTATTATGGAAGCCGTTTTGTGATTATGATTTCTGCTCCCCTCTTTTGATTTTGCTATGCATGCTTTAAATGTTTGTTTTTATTTTGTTTAGTGTTTTATTTGTTTTCTGTAATGTAAGAACTTTATAGAGAATTTATCTGGCAAACCCAGGATAGAATTAATAAAGCAAGGGAATATGGAACAGTTCCAGCTTTTATTTGATGAATACATTTTGTTACAAGAGGGACATTATCACACATAACCCTTCTGTGCATCTTTTTTTTTTGCAGAATGTGACAAGTTTAATCAATGTGGGACTTGTGTTACTTTTGGGCAATGTCATGTGGTAAAGAACTACACCCTCTGGAAAGTTGGAGATTATGGCCACGTCAAGGGGAGAGAGAAAATAATGGCAGAAATCTATGAAAATGGCCCCATCAGGTAAAAAAAAAACTCTCATAAAGATGTAAAGAAGTACAGTAATTGTGATGGCATTTCTTCATATCCATTTTGTTTGTTGTTTCATTACAATATTTAGGGATAGAAACCAAAGTAGTGTAGTTTTTTTATTGTCATTGTTGTTGTTGTTGTTATGTGCCTTTAAGTTGCTTCCAACTTATAATAAGTTTTGGGAAATGTGAATCTCTATAACCATTTGAGAAATGGGGTTCATAACCGTTTGGAAAATCACTGGTCACTGGAAAGGCATGGCCTTGTTAGAAGTCACAACCTTTTGAAAAGTGATTTTAGCCACCATGCAAGGCAAATAGATCTCTCAGCTGTTGAACTGATGTACCTAGGTATGTCTTTGAACTGTCAGGGACAAAGACATGCCAATGCACAAAATATATATTCATTTAGCAGAGTTTAAGAAGTGTTCTTTGAAGTTGCCCAAAAATATCTACTCTCCCTTAAAATATATTTGCCTTTAAATCATGCTCTCAAGAGACAAAATAAACAGTCTTCTTAAAAAGTAACAGAGTTGGTTTACTCACAAAACTTCATGTATACAGCATACAGGCACTTTGCTTATGAATCCAGTTACAACAGGATTTTAAGTAGAGACAATAGTCCATAGTCCAATGGAGTCTTTAAGCATACATCTTACTGAAGTCTGAACTGTACCATTCCTGCAGTCTTCTAAAAGCATACAGATGCTTTCTACTTTCTCTAATGGCATCTATCTCCACTGAAGTCTAAAGGAAATACTGATCTTAAATGGAGCCTTAGTCCTGAACATGTCCAGATCAGATCACATGGACTGCAGCCTCTCCCACAACAAAGAAATTAGGTAAAATTGCAAACCAATACACACATACAAAACATAACAAATAACTAATGGAGGCTTGAGAAGGTTGCTATTTCCAAAAGTAACCTCAAAACAAGCCTATCAGAGGGACATTTACCTTTGCCTTCCTCTGAGGCTGAGAGTGTGTGACTTGCCCAAGGTCACCCAGTGGGTTTTCATGGCTGAGTGAGGATTCAAATTGTGGTTGGAGTCCAACAAACCATCACATCATGCTGGCTTTAGATAGATAGGTAGGTAGATCTTCACAAATATATATAGATACACACAGCGGGCTCACATTATGTGAACTCACTGATTTCAGTTATACATGAAGAACTTTGAATTGTGCTGGAGGAACAAATGATGGCTAGGTATTCTCTCTAGACCTCCAGTGTGATTCTGTGTTCAACTTCTGCTGAAAGGTGATCCACTGGAACCAAAATTCAGGATGGTCACAAGCTATGCCGTCTGAGAGTTGTTCAGAAGAACATTTTCCTAGTTCTTATCAATTAAGAAGGAAAAAGGGGACATTTCATGATCAAAGGTCCAAAGACATAAAATTATGTCCCAGCCATGTTGTACTATTTCTATCCATGTAGTTGGTAGGCTATTAGGAATTGTGGGATTTGAAGTCCAAAACACCTGGAGGGCCAAAGTTTGCCCATGCCTGAGCTAACTCCATCCTTGTACTGATGGTTAGATTACCAGTGATTTCTTGACACCTCTGAGGAAGCTTGCCATAGATGCAGGTGAAACGTCAGGAGAAATGCCTCTAGAACATGGCCATATAGCCCGAAAAAACCCACAAGAACTGAGAGATTTCTTGACAACTTCGTTATCGTTGCTTTTTTGAAAAGCAAAACTTTACTATTGAAATGGCAACAATTTTGAGTTTGTCTGGGAATCTTTAACAGATTTTGTTACTATCTTTCATGCATTAAGACAGACAAATAAAAGACCCTTCCATTAAGTGAGCTTTTCTTTGTTTTCTGAGAATCTTTAGCAGACATTGCTACTATCTTTCGTACATTAAGACAAACAAACAGATAAACTTTCCATTGAGTGAGCAGTGCTTTGTTTTCTGATTTCATTGAAAGTTCAAGTGTGTTGAAGTTGGGGGTCAGGCTACAGTTCCTGAATTTCCCAAAGTTAATTCTTGTGTCTTTCTGAATTGGGCCAGTCCACTGATGATCAGATTATGCTCCTTTTATTTTGATGCATCATGTCCCAATATGACAATTTTTAAAAAGCTACCTTTCCTCACTGCAATTCTATACCTACTTTCCTGGGAAAAATCTCTGAACTTGCAAAGGGAAGTGTATCTCTCTTTTGAGTAGAGTCATATAGGACAGGATAACTGATCGTATGAAAACAACAACTGATTTCAAGGGGATACCTAAACTAGCATTGCATCTTAATCTGCATCATTTTGCATAATACATGGACAGAACTAGAGAGCCACTGCAGCATAGTGGTTTGAATTTTGGACTACAGCTCTGGAGACCAGTGTTTGAATTCCCAGTTGGTTATGAAAATTAGTGATCCCAGGCAAGTCACACAGTCCCTGAAAGATCCATGATTGGAGTTAGAATAGCCATAAACCCAAAATGAATTGAAGACACACAACAATGATTTACTTATTGGTTTTGACTTGCATTTTTAATATCACTTAATTTCAACAGTTGTTCAATCATGGCCACTCCAAAACTGCATGAATACACTGGAGGACTATATGAAGAATACAACCCCTCACCTTCTACAAACCATGTGGTTTCCATCGCTGGCTGGGGAATAGAAAATGGGATAGAATACTGGATTGTCCGCAACTCTTGGGGTGAACCCTGGGTAAGCTGGAGACAAATTCTACTCCCAAAAATCCTTCTGTTTTTCTCTTTGTATTGTTTTACTAAAGAGTCCTAAGGAGGAAGTAGAATGCAACATTATAACACAGAGAAGCAGGTTTTGAAACAACTAACCCTAAAACAGGGGTCCTCAAACTTTTTAAACAGAGGGCCAGGTCACAGTCCCTCAAATTGTTGGAGGGCTGGATTATAATTTGGAAAAAAAATAATTTGAATTCCTATGCATACTGCACATATCTTATTTGTAGTGCAAAAAACACTTAAAAACAATACAATAATTAAAATGAAGAACAATGTTAACAAATATAAACTTATTAGTATTTCAATGGGAAGTGTGGGCCTGCTTTTGGCTGATGAGATAGGATTGTTGTTGTTGTGTGCTTTATTTATTTACTTATTTACTATATTTGTGTACCGCTTTTCTCAGCCTCGGGCAACTCAAAGCAGTTAACAATAGCAAAATTCAATGCCCAGAATAATATAAAACAGTTAAAAACAATTAAAACATTGGGTATTAAAACAATCCATTATATATCAATAAACATGTCATTAGCGTCTCGTAATTAGAATAAGGATACAGTTTCATCATCCAGTTGTTCCATATTCCTATATTCTTTACACTGCCTATTTCAGACTTAGGTTGACCTTGAGTGAGGGCCGGGTAAATGACCTTGGAGGGCTGTATCCGGGCCCCGGGCCTTAGTTTTTAGGACCCCTGCCCTAAAGGCACCAGATGCCATCTGAGCTTGGGAGCTAAACAGAGCTGTCTCACATTAGTATTTAGCACTAATTAATATATTTCAAAAGGGGAAAAACACTTCTGAGGATTCCTTGCCTAAGAAAATCCTATGAAATTTATGAGTTCACCATAAATCAACTGGCAACTTGAAGGTACACACACATCATTCACTATCCTCATCTGAACACATATTTAGGACTCCAGGAAAAGTCCAAATTGGTTGCTATGAGATTTTTGGGCTGTATGGCCATGTTTCAGCAGCATTCTCTCCGGCAGCAGAGAATGCTGCTGGAACATAGTCATACAGCCCGATAAACTTCAACCCGGCCATGAAAGCCTTCAACAAAGTCCAACATATTGGAAATATTGGAACTTTTAGTCCAAAGATCTGGAATAACTCAAGTTAAAGGAATAATAATAATAATAATAATAATAATAATAATAATCTTATTTGTACCCCGCTACCATCTCCCCAAGGGACTCGGTGCTTACATGAGGCCGAGCCCACAATACAACAATATAAGCAATAACAATAACAATACATGCATTTAAAATAAATCACATAGACAATAACATAAGCATTGACAATAGCACAGAACACTTTAAAATCTATGGCTGGGCCAAATGTAATTAAAAATTTAAAATGATGCTGGTGATGGATGAGATAAGGAAATGGGGCATAGTGGAAACATACGAACAGACCTAAATCGATATAAAGTGCTTTAGAGGACAAAGTGCTGAGGATTCATTATTCTGGGAAGGCACACTGGAACAACCACGTTTTCAAACTCCTTCTGAAGACTGCCAGAGTTGGGGCCTGCCTGATGTCCTTAGGGAGTGAGTTCCAGAGTCGAGGGGCCACTATCGAGAAGGCCCTCTCTCTCGTCCCCACCAATTGCGCTTGCGATGCAGGGCCTCTCCAGATGATCGAAGAGATCGTGTGGGTTTGTATACAGAAATAGTCTATTTTACTCATAAAAGTCTATTTTACTCATTGAGACCCCCCCCCCCTGCCCTCAGGTTTTAGAGAGGTCTTTTCCCATGGAAGTTTGTGTCACTGGATGTGATATGTTCTCCATGGAAAGCATATACGATGCCACCAAGTTCTGAGCTTGGCACAGTAAACTGTAGAAACCTTGTTGCAATCTTTCTTTGTTCCTACTTTCCACATGCAGATGTGCATGGCCAGTTTACAGTATGAGCTTCTCAAGATTTATAACTTTGCATAGTTTTGAGTGTGGTGTTGGTTATTCTTTGTTGCTAATTTTGTTATTCTGTTCTGCTTATGTTATTTTGTAAAGCACCAGTTATATGGTAGACCATGTTAACTACACTCTTTTGGGAGCTATAGCCCCCAAAGTAATGTTTCCAAATGCTGTACAAGACATAAAAGGTAGCTGAATGTGACTTCGTGATCATTTGCCTGTATAACTAATGCCACTTAATATCTTGCAGGGTGAACAAGGCTGGCTTAGAATTGTGACCAGTGCATATAAAGGGGGCAAAGGAGCAGAGTACAACCTCGCTGTTGAAGAAAAGTGTTCTTACGGAGACCCAATCCTTTCCTGAGTTTGCACTGATCTCTGTTTGCAATTGTGGTTTAGGAATGCAAGGACAGTTCCAGCCAGTTATCTCTCCTCTTCAAACAGATGGGCCGATTTACTGCAATATCATGGACTCAGGGAATGGTAACCTAACTGAGCCCATTCTCCCAGGTTCATTCTCTGAGGCTTTAAAGCCCCCTTTCCCCAGTAATATTACTCTCATAAACTTGTCTGGTCAGAATTTGAAACAGGGACTCTGCTACTACGTCTTTTTGGACCACAATTCCTACATGAAATAAATTAGCTCCTTCTGTCAGCGGCTGAAGAGTTCTTTTTAGTGTGCTCTTCAATTTTTATTCCTTGGGGGTTTTTTTAGTGGCTCCATTTGAAATTGCTTGCAATCATATGTTTGCATTTGTACATTTTTACTGATACATCCTTTTTATCTGTATCTATTTTATAAGGCACCTTGCATCCAAGCGCTTGAAGGGGGCGGGGGGAGGGGAGAGATGTGGTATGAAGAAATAAATAAAATGACAATCATGATAACTGAGACTGAGTGTCGCCCTGCATTATTTAATGTCAAAATGCCTGCTTTTTTGAAACCAAAAGTGGACTGGGTCATTCGTTGTATTTTATTTTAGAGTCCACGTGGCTGCAGAAAATTAGAGTAGAATCATAGAGTTGGAAGAGACCTCATGGGCCATCCAGTCCAACCCAAGAAGCAGGAAAATCACATTTAAAGCACCCCTGACAGATGGTCACCCAGCCTCTCTTTAAAAGCATCCAAAGAAGGAGCCTCCACCACACTCCGGAGCAGAGAGTTCCACTGCTGAACAGCTCTTACAGTCAGGAAATTCTTCCTAATGTTCAGGTGGAATCTCCTTTCCTGTAGTTTGAAACTATTGTTCCACTTCCTAGTCTCTAGGGCAGCAGAAAACAAGCTTGCTCCCTACTCCCTATGACTTCCCCTCACATATTTATCCATGGCTATCATGTCTCCTCTCTTCTGTCTTCTTCTCTTCTGAAGGCTAAACATGCCCAGCTTTTTAAGCTGCTCCTCATAGGGTTTGTTCTCCAGACCCTTGATCATTTGAGTCGCCCTCCTCTGGACACAATCCATCTTGTCAACATTGTCCTTCAATTGCAGTGCCCAGAATTGGACACAGTGTGGTCTGACCAAAGCAGACTAGGGGGTAGCATGACTTTCCTGAATCTAGACACTATACTCTTATTTATGCAGGCCAAAATCCCATTGGCTTTTTTAGCCACTGCATCACATTGTTGGCTCATGTAACTTGTTGCCCACGAGGATGCCCAAGATCTTTTCCACATGTACTGCTGTCAAGCCAGGCATCGTCCCCCATTCTGTATCTTTGCATTTCATTTTTTTCTGCCTAGAAGAATCATAGAATAAAAGAGTTGGAAAGGACCACATGGACCATCCAGTCCAACCCCAACATACAGGGAAAGCACAATTAAAGTACCCCTGATAGATGGCCATCCAGCCTCTGTTTAAAAGTCTCCAAGGAAGGAGCTTCCACCACACACCAAATTTGGCCACTGGACTTGCTTTGGTTGCCCATCTCTACCTTCAGGTTGTGTTGCCTCCAGCTTCCACTGATGTGCCCAAGAGGCCATGGTTGCCATCTCTAACCTGGACTAAGGGCAGGTGCCACAAATCTCCCACATCTGTTTTGACCCCATATCAAGTGATTGCTGAGAGCACAAATGTTCTTGTTTAAACCTCTGATGAAACACACCCAGCCATTGTTTCAGGAAAGACAATCACTCTTTGCTTTGGTTTGTCCAAAACCCTTGGGTCAGGAGTCCTTCTTATCTTACCCTGGCTTTCTCTTGTACTGAGTCACACAATTGGTTTATCTAATCCTTTTACAAAGGTGAGCTGGCACTCCTTCCCCTGGAAGTGGAAATCATGTGCTCTCCCATTGAACTGGGGCCTCTTCTCCTTCTCCTGTCTTCCAAAGACGGTTCCTACTGGTGGCTATCTTGAGACATTTGTGTAGTGCTTGAGAATGGGCCAAAAAGCAGCTCACCTGCTCAAAGTGCTCATGGAAACGGCAAGGTTGGGTACCCATGTTTTTCTACTGTTCAAACAGGCATGGCCAAAGTTTGGCCCTCCAAATGTTTTGGACTTCAACTCCTACAATTCCTAACAGCCGGTAGGCTGTTAGGAATTGTGGGAGTTGAAGTCCAAAACACCTGGAGGGCTGAACTTTGCCAATTCCTGATGTAGAGCAACTCTGAAACTTGAGATGACATTTAACAAAACCTGAGGTACCATTACATGTTCCATAGTTTGTTGATTGCCCGGTGCCAAATGTGAATGTAACTTCACCAGATTTATTTCCCTCAACTTTTCTAACTTCTTATTCATAGGGATATCCCCCAAATGGTTAGTGATCACTACCTACCTACTTATCTAATACAGTAGTGTATTTAAAGATGTGTAATGCATATTTAAAAATTGCAGTCTCAACATTTTTGACAGTCCACAGAGGATACATGGAGCACAAAATTGGCTCATGAATCCAGTGCATTAACCCACCTCTGCTTTGCAGGGCAAGTAATTATAATAAATGGAAAAATATCATCTCTAAGGTTTTGTTAAGTTCTCCAATGCAGCTCTATGGTAACTTCTGGAGGAAAACATACCATAGAATAACCTGTCCATGGAGGATTCCAGCAAATTCCCAGAGAAACCATAGGTCAGTGGTTCAAATCTAGGGAGCTGGGTGAGCTCCTGTCTGTCAGTTCCAGCTTCTCATGCAGGGACATGAGAGAAGCTTCCCACAGGATGGTAAAACATCCAGGAGTCCCATGGGTAACCCCCTTGCAGACGGCCAATTCTCTCACACCAAAAGCGGCTTGCAGTTTCTCAAGTCGCTCCTGAAATGGAAAAAAAATGGTATATATGCAACCTTTGGTCAGCAAATTATTTTTCTTCAAAGGTCTATTGCTATGGTGTCAACTGTAATAAAAAGGGCCAAGATCCCAATATTCACTCCAAAACATACATACATAATATGTTAGAGCTGGCTATGATGCTAACGTTTTTTAGTATTAAGGATCCCTATTAGTTACAAAGAACAAGCTGTATTTGTTGCCTTCTGTGCTCTCTGCTAATGCAGTTGCCAAATGTAGTAAATCAACCTGCATCCAAATGTTTCCTACAACCCTTTACTACTATATAGCATCTAAGAAATTCATATCATGCAAAGAAATCTGCCCATCAGGTGGAATAATATTCAGTTTTTGTGCTTCAACCAGCAGTGGGATTGGTGGACTGTGCATTTTTATGTGCAGAGGTTTTTGAGTTAATATGCACATTAATCCAGCTCTGGACTGTTCAGCATATTAATCCACCTCTGGAGCAGCCATGATCCATAGGTGTTTGGAGATTAACACCAACCACAACCAACAAAGCACTTTTAATATGTTAGTAATAAACAACCACCAATTTTGAATGCCTACGCTGGCTGTCATTACAAAAAGCTTCATCTGACTTAAAGAGAAAAAGATTTTTCCAGGCGAGAGTTAAGATGACTTCCACAATCCCATTTAGAGGTAGAGTTCTAGTCTCCAAGGCCTTTTTTGACATTCCCCATCCCACCTTTTATATAAGTATCAAAACCTTATGTGTTCCCAGTGAAATATAAATTTTCAGATCCTCCGTGTGCTTTTATTTTTAATTAGATGTTATATAGAATTAAGTATGGCAACTAAGCCCCCTTCTACACTGTCCTTATATCCCAGGATCTGATCCCAGGTTATCTGCTTTGAACTGGATTATATGAGTCTCCACTGCCATATAATCTGGGATAATCAGATAATCTCGGATCAGATCTTGGGATATAAGGACAGTGTAGAAGGGGCCTTAGTGTACTCTTGCATGTTATTCTATCTCTGAGCTGTCTCTAAGTTATACAATAACTTTCAAAGACTTCCAAGAAGTAATGAGAGTTGGCAGCACATAGCAAAGGGAACTTCCAGGCATTTGTCAATCAATTATGACACAACTTTGTGCACTTGACACAGATGGGCTCCGTGCCATACAGATGTTGCAGCACTCAAGAACTGTCCTCCAGTGTTAGACACATCATGGATTTCTAAATGTCGCATTTGGATTCAATCCTAGTTTGGTAAAACTATGTTTTTGAATTGTAATGATGAGAATCTTGCTGCCAGGTTCTCCAGTGTCTCTGGTCCCTTCTCTGCCATATAGTCCAAATTTTCAAAGCAGTTAATCCACATTATCTACTTTGAACTGGATTATATGTATCTACACTCCCATATAATCCCGTTCAAAGCAGATAATCTAGATTTTATATGGCAATGTAGAAGAGGCTTTATGCTTTTATGGTTTTACCCTGAATTGTTTTAGTATTTATTTTAAGTTGTATTGTAATGCTCTAAATTGTGAGCTGCTTTGAGTCTCTGTATGGAGAGAAAAAGCAGGATATAAATAAACATAATAATAATAATCATCATCATCATCACCATCATCATCATCATCATCATCATCATCATCTCAATGGTGATCAGCACACTGGGTGCAGTGCCTAAAGACCTTGGCCTGCACTTAAAAACAAATCCGCGCTGACAAAATTACCATCTGTCAGCTTTAAAAGGCCACCCTACTGGGATCTGCACGCATTATCTACTGATGCATCAAATAGTCTTGGACACTTGGGAAGTCTCCGATGTCTGATTTAATACAAAAGCCAGCATAGTGATCTTAGAATCATAGAAATGGAAGAGACCTCATGGGCCATCCAGTCCAACCCCCTGTGAAGAAGCAGGAAAATTGCATTCAAAGCACCCCTGACAGATGGCCATTCAGACTCTGTTTAATAGCCTCCAAAGAAGGAGCCTCCACCACACAGATAGTTCCACTGCTGAACGGCTCTCACAGTCAGGAAGTTCTTCCTAATTTTCAGATGGAATCGCCTTTCTTGTAGTTTCTTTTTGTTTGTTTGTTTATTTATAGTATTTATATCTCACCTTTCTCAGCCCAAAGGTGACTGTTTGCTGTGTACTAATCTTGGTGTGTGTCAAATAATAATAATCTCTACTCCAAGACAGTATTATTTTCAAGCTCTGGAGGTAGTGTTGCAGCAAGTACATGAACCGTCCATATCCATGGGGGATTGATTCCAGGATCCACCTGTGGATACCCCAAACTGTGCATGTTCAGGCTTTTATTAAAATTGGTGCAGGTCATCAGTGGTTGGACCTCTATTGATGTCCTATGCCAGTTTTAAGTGAATGTATTCAGTCCCTCTGCAAATCTCACAAAAGGAATGCCTGCACTTCCCAAGTTTTTAGAGAGCTGAACTAAAAACAGATTAGACAACCAATTGTTGAAATCTTTCCTTAAAGAAAGGAAAGTGAGATGAAGGGAGGAGAATGGGGGAGGAAAGACAGAAGAAATGACCCACAGCATCTTTGAGACTGATTTTTATGTCGGCATGAACACTTCATATTGAGCCCCCGGTGGTGCAATGGGTTAAAACCTTGTGTCGGCAGGTCAGAGGTTCGAATCTGAGGAGAGCACAGATGAGCTCCCTCTGTTGGCTCCAGCTCCCCATGCGGGGACATGAGAGAAGCCTCCCATGAGGATGGTAAACCATCAAAAATATGCGGGTGTCCCCTGGGCAACGTCCTTGCAGATGGCCAATTCTCTCACACCAGAAGTGACTTGCAGTTTCTCAAGTCGCTCCTGACACAAGAACAAAAATCCACTTCGTCAGATGCACTTCAAAATTAAATTGAAGTGGCAGTAAAGTAGTTGAAAAAACTAGTTTTGCTCAGCCTTGGGCTTTCATTTGTCAAGAAAGACTACTAAATTTCTATTTCAGTCTCATTGTTGGAGGTTTTACTGCCAAGTGCTGGTCTAAACATCTCCATCTGATTTCAGAAACGAAGCAGGTTGTTAGTCTAGATCACCAATGAATAGCAGGTGCTGTAGGCTATGTTTCAGAAGAAGGAACAGGCAAAACCACTGCTGAGTATCACTTGACCAGAGGGGAAATAACTCTGTGAAATCCCTGGGGTTGTTATTGCGTGGTGGAACCTCCTTCTTTGGAAGCTTTTAAACAGAGGCTGGATGGCCATCTGTCAGGGATACTGTGATTGTGATTTTTCTGCATGGCAGAGGGTTGAACTTGATGGCCCATCTGTTCTCTCCCAACTCTATTCTTCTATGATTCTATGCAGTCATAAAACTTCTGTTCTTGAGGAAGTAACTATTAGTTCTGGTTAAGCAACCAGGTATCCAAAAGCACAGTCATAGTGGTCTTCTACTCAAACAACAAAACTCAGAGACTTTTGTTCTTTCCAAATAAGCAGGAAGACTTTTCTTTCTCTATTGTTGCACAAAATATACAAGGTTTACAGCACCTTCTCTCTCACTACTCAGGGCACTAATTCTCCAATAGGCTTGTGCAAGGATTCGGTTTGATCGGTTCCCTTTGGCCAATCCGGCTTGTTCGGCTGGCCATAACAGTTAGGGCTCAACCACCATGTTTTTTTATCACCTGAAACAGCCTACGTGGCTGCCGGGTGACGCTTCTTTCCTTCTTTTCAGGAGCATGCAGTGCATGCTTCCTTAACCCTGTTCCTCAGGTCACCTTGAAAGGAAAAAAGGGAACAAGCCCTGGAACCGAAAGGGGAGTCTTGTAAGTTCCCCATTCCCACCATTGGGCCGGATCTTCCAGCTGCCTAGCCAAAAACAATTTTTTCAAATTGCACACAACTATTCTCCAACACTCCCCAAACCACCACTCTCCAAATCTTCCTCCTTCAGAAACCGTCATCAAATTTACTCAGTAGTACTACAAGATTTACTCAGTATATACAACTCCCATTGCATTAACCACCGCACCCTAACTTAATTTTTTTACAGGTAGTTAGGCCAGATGTATTAACTCTGCTATCACTTAGAAAATGTCACATAATTTCCAAATCTGGACCATTCCAACTGGACATGTGACTGGAATCATAGAATCCTAGAGTGGGAAGAGACCTCATGGGCCATCCAGTACAACCCCATTCTGCCAAAAAGCAGGAAAATTACATTCAAAGCACCCCCAACACATGGCCATCCAGCCTCTGCTTAAAAGCCTCCAAAGAAGGAGCCTCTACCACACTCCAAGGCAGAGAGTTCCACTGTTGAACAACTCTCGAAGTTTGGAAGTTCTTGCTAATGTTCAGGTAGCAAGAAGCCATTATTCCGAGTCCTAGTCTCCAGGGAAGCAGAAAACAAGCTTGCTCCCTCCTCCCTATGGGTTCCCCTCACATATTTATACATGGCCATCATGTCTCCTCTTCTCAACCTGTGGGTCTCCAGTTGTTGTGGCCTACAACTCCCAGAAATTCCAGCCAGTTTACTAGTTGTTAGGATTTCTGGGAGTTGACGGACGAAACATCTGGGGACCCACAGGTTGAGGACCACTAGTCTAGAGCCAGGGAAGTCATGCTATCCTTTTATTCTGCCTTAGTCAGACCACGCTTGGAATCGCACTGTTTCCAGTTCTGGGCACCACAATTGAAAGGAAATGTTGACAAGCTGGAATATGTCCAGAGAAGAGTGACAACTAATAGCAAACTAATTTTGATATTGGATTGCAGCACTTGAAATAAAATGATGGCAAAGAGGGAAGCTGGAATGTGTCCAGAGGAGGGCGACTAAGAAATTCCAGCCAGTTTACTAGTTGTTAGGATCATTATCAAGGATCTGGAGAACAAGCCCTATGAGGAGTGGCTTAAAGAACTGAGCATGTTTAGCCTGTAGAAGAGAAGGTTAAGAGGAGACATGATGAGGGCCATGTATCAAGATGTGAGGGGAAATTCATGGGGAAGAGGGAGCAAGCTTGTTTTCTGCTGCCCTGGAGATTAGGCTTCAGGGCCTCCAAACTACAGGAAAGAAGGGAAGTCCCATCTGAACATTAGGAAAAACTTCCTGCCTGTGAGAACTGTTCAACAGTGGAACTCTCTGTCCCGGAGTGTGGTGGAGACTCCTTCTTTGGGGGCTTTTAAGCAGAGGCTGGATGGCCATCTGTCAGGGATGCTTTGAATGCGATTGTCCTGCTTTTTGGCAGAAAGGGGTTGGACTGGATGACCCAAGAGGTCTCTTCCCACTCTAGGATTGTCCTCCGACTTCGGGCAGCAAAATGCCTCAGGCGGCCCATGATATCACCGGGAGTTGTGCAAGTCTAGGCAAACCTAGGTGAGCTGTGTCCTTTCGCCTCTCTCCCTCCCTCCCTCTCTCTCTCTCTCTCTCTCACTCACTCCCCCCAGCCTTGGTTTTGCTCCTCCCCCCTTCCCTCCTCCCTCCCTCCCTCCAGACAAAGGCGCAGCCCATCGAAATCACGCGGCTGAGCCAAACTCTTCTCTTTGCTTTTTCTTTTCTCAGCCCGGAAGGAGACCTCCGACCGGCTTCTTCTTGCAAGGCGGGCTTTGCAGCGGGATCATGCCGGGGCGCTTCCTCCGTGCGGCTCCTCTCCTCTGCCTGCAAGCCCTCTTCCTGGGGCTTTCCTTGGGCGCCGGCCTCTATTTCCAGGAAGGACAGAGCTGCTACAAGCCGCTAAAAGGGAAAGCGGCCTCTCTCCGGTAAGGAAAGAACCCGCCCTTGAGAAGCAGGATGGGATATGTATCCACACTTTAGAATTAATGCAGTTTGATACCACTTTTTCATTATGCTGCTTTGGAGTCATAGAGGTCGCACTCTTTGGCAGGGAAAGGGAAAGATTTCATGTAGACAGCGCCCGGGGAGGTGGAATTCGAAACCATAACTCAGCTCCAAAGCTGCTGCAAGAGTCCTTGCACTTGGGCAGGTGGGGCGCAGAAGGAAGGAAGGACCTGCTCTATGCAGCTTGGCTTCACTTGCTTGCTGGCCTGGAATGACCTTGTCACTAGAGTGGTTCAGAAGAGCCAATGGCATGGCCTCCCCCTGAGGCTGAGAGAGAGGGACTTGCCCTTAGGGTTCCTGGTCTCTAGAGTCTACACCAGGCCTGGGCTATCTTGGGCCCTCCGGGTGTTTTGGACTTCAACTCCCACCATTCCTAACAGCCTCAGGCCCTTTCCTTTTCCCCCTCAGCCGCTTCCTTTTCCCCCTCAGCCAAAACACCCGGAGGGGCCAAGCTTGCCCAGGCTTAATCTACACAAATCTATTTACTTCCAAAGAAGTCTTAATCATCTATTACATGGGGGCAGGGAATTGCCCAATGGAGCAAATATCAGGTCATTTTTGGATTGAGGAGGCCAAGAATTGATAATTGGATCCAATTTAAGAGATGCATCTACATCAGGTATGGGCAAACCCAAGCCCTGGGCAGATGTGGCCCTTGGGGTATTTTCTTAGGCCTCCCTCTTTCTCACCCTCCTATCCTTCCTTCCCTCTTTCCTTACTTCTTCCTTCCTTCCCTCTCTCTTTCTCCTTTCCTCCCTCCTTCCTTCCTTCCCTTTTGTCTTTCCTTCCCGCTTTCTCCTTTTCTCCCTCTCTCTTTCTCCTTCCTTCCTTCCTTCCTTCCTACCTACCTTCCCTTTTTGTCTTTCCTTCCCTCTTTTCTCTTTCCCCCTCTCTTTTTCTTCTTCCTTCCCTTTTGTCTTTCCTTCCTTCTCTCTTTCTCCCTCTCTCTTTCTCTATCCTCCCTCCCTCCCTCCCTCCCTCCCTTCCTTCCTTCCTTCCTTCCTTCCTTCCTTCCTTTCCTTTCCTTTCCTTTCCTTTCCTTTCCTTTCCTTTCCTTTCCTTTTTGTCTTTCCTTCCCTCTTTTCTCTTTCCCCCTCTCTTTTTCTTCTTCCTTCCCTCTTGTCTTTCCTTCCTTCTCTTTTTCTCCCTCTCTCTCTTTCTCTATCCTTCCTCCCTCCCTCCCTTCCTCCCTTCCTTCCCTTTTTGTCTTTCCTTCCCTCTTTTCTGCTTCCCCCCCTCTCATTCTCCTTCCTTCCTTTTTCAGTGTCCACCGATTCGTGTCATTCACCACCAAGAGACTGCTGATGTTTTTGGTGCATGAGAGGGAGGTATTGGCGTAAAGTGAAGACTATGTGGTGTCAAACTGCATTTGATGCACCCATCTAAGACGGAACCCTTATAGGATTTCCTTGGGTAGATTTGTTCGGTGATGTAGTTCACTTTGGGCACATCCACACAGCAGAATTAATGCAGTTTGGCCCCACTTTAACTGCCACGGCTCAATGCTGTGGCATCATGGGAGTTGTTTTAAAAGGTCTTTAGCCTTCTCTGCTAAAGAATTTTGGTGCCTCTCCAAACTACATCTCCCAGGCTTGCATAGCATCCTATGATAAGTTCACTTTAAGAATTGCCATAAGTTGAAAATGATATGAAGGCCACAATAACAATCTCCCCATCTTCAGTTCATTTGAAAGTGCTGACATGGTCCAAATAGCTGCCTTTCAAGCCATTCTAAGCATTTCTTGGGGCAGTTGTGCAAGAAGCTGGTCAAATTCCTGCTTTGGGGGAAATCACATGAGAATGAATCGGCCTCCAAAGTGATCACATGTTTGCTGGGAGGAAAAAAGGTTAAGTTTGCAAGAGCAGTCATGTGATTCCCAGGCAAGAAAGGTCAAACTATGCCAGACCAAACTCCATGTTTGGGGGCAACTCCTAGTTTTTTTAATCGTTAGTAATGATATGGGCTCATGGCTGGTCTAGAGAATTACAAGGTCTCCATCTTTAGATTAGACTACTGGTGGTGCAGCAGGTTAAACCACTGAGCTGCTGAACTTGCTGACCAAAAGGTTGGCAGTTCGAAACTGGGGAGTGGAGTGAGCTCCCGCTGTTAGCCCCAGTTTCTCCCAACCCAGCAGTTCAAAAACATGCAAATGTGAGTAGATCAATAGGTACCGCTTCTGCAGGAAGGTAGTGGCACTCCATGCAGTCATGCAGGCCACATAATCTTCGAGGTGTCTATGGACAACACCAACTCTTCAGATAAGAAATGGACACTCCCCAGAGTTGGACACAACTAGACCTAATGTCAGGGGAAACCTTTTCCTTTCCCAGGCTGTTCCCCTCTATTGTTTATAGATATCCTGCGCTTTCTCCAAAAATGAAACACAAGAGCTTGACTTATAATAATAATATAATAACACTTTATTTGTACCCCGCGACCATCTCCCCAAGGGACTCGGTGCAGCTTACATGAGGCCGAGCCCAAACATAACAATACAGGCAATAATCACAACAATACTAGCAATTAAAATAAAACATAAACGATAAACATATAACCTTATCAATAAGACAACATACAGTTAAACTGTGGAAAGGCCAAATGTAAAAATTAAAATTGGAATAGTGCTGAGACTTCCAAATGTTTAAAAAGATACAAATAGAAACACAATCAGTTATAATATTACCACATGATGAAACAGATTATCATCTTAAAGCATAACCACACAAGGAACAATTTAAAACCACAAATATAGTTAAGATCTCCATTTTAAGGCGGCAGTAGTTTGCCGAAATCTGAAAAAGAAAGGAAGACAGGTAGACTAAAAAAAAGTGTCCTGGTTAGTAAGTATGGTAGCATATTAGGGTAGCTTTTTTGGCCACGTAGCAAATACCAGTAACACCCAGAATCCACAGCATGCAATATCTTTATGCATTAAAGACAGGATTCAAGCTTCTGTAGCTCCATTGGTTTCTTCATCAAACAAAAATGTTTCAAATCTTATAGGAAAAGGAGAAAATGATTATATTAGAATCAAAGTCCTTCATTTTGTCTATATATTTTTGTTGTTGCCAGTTAAGATGGTTAGAGATATGACTCTATGGACTCTGGCAAACAAAGAGTCATGAAATCCAGGAAATAAATTGTAAATTCCTTTAGCAACAGAAAAAAAGCAACTTCCTTTAAGATCCAGGGTGTTTCTTTGCTTGGTGTGGCTTCCCACTCCTTTCTTAGGTGATCATTAAATTGCTCGTATGGGAAAAAAGTTTCATGCTGTATAGGGAAATAGATGCAGTGCTCTTCCCCATAGCAATATAAATCAGAATATCAAGGCAGATAATCCACAATGGGCCTCATCACACTAGAGGAAAAATCCACTTAAAATCCAGTTTCTGCTTCCTGCAGAATTCTGGGATTTGTAGTTTAAGGAAGAGCCTTTAACAGCCTCACTAAACTACAAACCCCAGAATTCTGCAGGAGGCAGAAACATTATTTTAAGTTGATTTTTTCTCTCTAGTGTGATGAATATCTGCTTTGAACTGGGTTATCTGAATCCACACTGCCATAGAATCCAGTTCAGTGTGGGTTTTATACAACTGTGTGGAAGGGGCCACAGTCTCAATTAAAAAAACATTGTTGGAGGTACAAACCTCAGAGCCTAGTTCTAGTCCCTTGACTCCCACTTCTTTTGGATTTTCCTGTTGCAGCTAAAATGTGATATCCTCAAATCAAGAAAGCCTACTAGGGGTAGCTGTGTGAATATGGCATCTTGGTGTCCATTGGAAGGAGCTCCATGGACTGGGAGCAGCCACTGAAAAATCCCTTTCATTGTATGTGCCACTGAAAAGTAGTGGAAAAGAAGGGGGGTCTCCTCCGAATAGCCTAAATTTGTGCAGATATGGTGCTGTAACACCCGTCTGTAGAAGGCACCAACTTTGGGGAAGGATAGGCCAATATATAAGACTGGGGTGGGGGCAAGCAGGGAAATAATGTTCCCTGGGTGACCTTAGCTAATCCTTCCCTTTTACTGTAACCTTCTTTGCAGAGTTGTTGTGAGAATAAAATGGGAAGGAGAGAACCATGCATGCCGCATTCTGCTTGCAAGGTTTCATATAAATGAAATAAACAATGAATGAGACCCAATAACAACAACAACAACGACTCTGGCACAAGCTAGTGAAGGTGGTCCCAGTGGGGATCAGCACACTGGGTGCAGTGCCTAAAGACCGTGGTCTGCACTTAAACACAATTGGCACTGACAAAATTACTGTCTGCCAGCTGCAGAAGACCTCCTTACTGGGATCTGCACGCATTATTCGCTGATACATCACACAGACCTAGAGACTTAGGAAGTGTTCCAACGTGTGATCCAATACAACAGTAATCTTGACTGCTGTGATCTTGACTGATGTGGACTCATCTTGTTGTGTTTCTAATAATAATAATAATAATAATAATAATAATAATAATAATAATACACTTTACTTATATGCCACTTTATCTTCCTGGAGAGACTCAGAGCTGATTACAGTACATATAAGGTAAACATTCAGTGCCTTTTTACATACAATACACAAATAAGGTAAAGGCCTTCCCCTCTCATTTCCAGCATCTGAAGGCAATGCTCAACTTCCAGTCATGGGGAGGTGCTGTTGTTTTATTTTTCATGCCAAAGGAAAATAAAAAATCTGATCATTTTGCTGGTATGTTTGCCTTTTACCTTCCCGCCGAGGTGGTACTTATTGATCTGCTCACATTGCATGATTTCGAACTGCTAGGTTGGCAGAAGCTAGGACTGACAGTCAAGACCTCGCCCTGACTCGTGGCTTCAAACTGCTGACCTTCTGGTCAGCAGCCTTTACTCATTCCTCTTTAAATGTTGAACCAAGATTTAATCTGTGCTGTCTTTTTCTTCCACACAGAACCTACCCTCGTCCCCATGAATATTTGGACATCGCTGAGCTGCCCAAGACCTGGGACTGGAGGAATGTAGACGGGGTCAATTACGTGAGCACTACCCGGAACCAGCACATCCCTCAGTATTGTGGGTCCTGTTGGGCTCATGGCAGCACCAGCGCTTTGGCAGGTATGGCAAGTCGGCTGGGACTGATTTTGGTCTTGTTCCAGGATTAGTAAATGCACACAGCTTACCAGAGTGCATCCAGGGGAAGGCCTGGGCTTTCTTTCCTTGATTCTTACCTGTGTGCCAATTCTCCTTTGGTATTGCCTTGGTTCATTTATTGTGGTTTGCCCTGTTGAACTGGATAAGCATTTGCCAAGATCCTAGATGAGCTACTTTGTCACGGAAATAACTTGGTGTGTAGCTCAGGGCTGTATCATATGACACTATTATTTTAGCTGTTATTCCACTCCACCTACAATTCTATGGGAAATCCTGAAATTTGCAGTTTAAGAAGGTGTAGTTAGGGGTTTCAGGCAGAAAGCTCTTGGGCCTCATTATACTACAAATCCCAGAATTCTACAGAATGTTGTCACGGCCGTTCAAGTGAAGTAATAGCGCAATAACAGTGTAGTGTGATAGGGATCTAAGTAGCATCTCTCAGCCCAGCCACAGCAGGATATTTTCCTCTGTGATCAGGACACAAAGTTAAGATCCCTTAGTGATCCCTTGACACAACAGTCAGAAAGAGGATCCTGGTTGCAAATCCTCCTTCTTCCAGAGATCACTTGCTGGAGAGATGGTGGTGGAAATGCCAGTCTGCTGCATCCCAATAGACAGGAGAACAGAGCACTGTTGCTCAGAACAGCTGCTGCCTGGTAAACCAGGATTGGGGAAATGTTATGATCTTCCCTGGAGCCCCTGGTGGCACAATGGATTAAATGCTTATGCCGGCAGGACTGGTCAACTGACAGGTTGGTGGCTCAAATCTGACAAGTGGGGTAAGCTCCTGTCTGTCGAGCTCTATCTTCTCATGTAGGGACAAGAGAGAAGCCTCCCATGGGATGGTGAAACATCAGTCATCTGGGCATCCCCTGGACAACGTCCTTGCAGATGACCAATTCTTTCACACCAGAAGCGACTTGCAGTTTTTCAAGTCACTCCTGACATGAACCCCCCCCCCCCATATATTCTCTACACTACATGAATGTCAGGATTGTGAATATGAACCAGTGACAAATGCAAAGCTCTAGGTTATACATTTGTAACTGCAATCATGAATTCCAGACATGGATATTTGGTGAAGGGGGTGCTCTGGGTTGCTCAGTTCCTCAACCTCACTGATTGTGGTAGCCATAACCATTGGTCTTATAATCTCCAGCCAGTTTACATTAACTCATAGCCACAGTCGGGAAATGCTGATTTTATGGTCTGCCACTCAGTGGACATGTGACCTCTGAAAACTGTAATCCCAAAGGTTAATGTTAAGGTTAAACATTACGACCGCAAGTTCTGCCAATAACTCATTTTGAGATCAAAGTGACATAACTGTGGTAAGTGATTGAAGCCATAGAGGACTTTAGTGAGAGAAGAGCTGCGATTTGGAAAAAGGGGAAGGAAACGATGAAGTAAACATAATGCAAGCATGTGCTCAATAGCAGAAGTGGGCAGATGTTGTTGTTTTCTTTGTTGCATCTACCGTATATTCCGGCATATAAGGCGACTGGGTGTATAAGACGACCCCCAACTTTTCCAGTTAAAATATAGAGTTAAGACGACTCCCATGCATAAGACTACACCCGTGTATAAGACGACCCCTGACTTTTGAGGAGATTTTCTTGGGTTAAAAAGTAGTCTTATACGCCAGAATATACTGTACTTCTTTTTTTCACTACCTCTGTGGTTTACTAATCTATAGCAAAGTAATTGTGTGGAGGGTAGCAATATGTTAGCTTCCACCCCACAAGTCACTCATTTTGGCTGCAGTCCTACATCCCTTCAACACAGCATAAATATCAACATAGGGATATATGCCACATCACTATTATGGGAACCCAGTACAGAATACCAGCACTGTGAAATGTACATTTGTATATGGACCCTGTTACATAATGTGCAATTCATAGTGATTCATATGAATAGGGATAGCAGCATAAGATGTCAAATAATTCCTTTGCATGTACAGCACAATATATGCATACTATATCATTTACAAGATGCCACTCTGTATAGCGAAATACAAGGGATTCGGGGATTGGAGAAATTACTTTTTGAACTACAAATCCCAGAATCCTACAACCAACATGTTGCATGTACATATTAACTTTGAGAGTTGAGATCCAAAAAAGCAAATTCTTTCATTTATGGGGGGGGGGGGGGGGTGGACATAGATTATAAAATCACCGAGTTGGAAGAGATCCAAGGGTCATCCAGTCAGCAGTGGAACTCTCTGCCCCGGAGTGTGGTGGAGGCTCCTTCTTTGGAAGCTTTTAAACAGAGGCTGGATGGCCGTCTGTCAGGGGTGATTTGAATGCAATATTCCTGTTTCTTGGCAGGGGGTTTGCCTGGATGGCCCATGAGGTCTCTTCCAACTCTTTGATTCTTTGATTTGAGTCCACCCCCTGCCATGAAGGAACATCCAATCAAAACACTCCTGACAGATGGCCACTCAGCCTCTGCTTAAAAACCTCCACGGACGAAGATTCCACCATACTTTGAGGCAGAATATTCCATTGCTGGACAGCTTCTACCAAAAGGAAGTTCTTCCTAATATTTAGGTGCAATCTGTTTTCCAGAAAGTCTTAAAATTCTTCTGTAATTCCCATTAGCAGTGTGTACTGTCCCTGGGAACCTTTGAAATAAGCTCCTGCTTGTGAACAAAGAAGTAACCTGCTCAGGTCTTGTTTCATCAGTCTCCTGTCATATTTTACCATTGAAGGAACTTGTCCTGAAACCCAACTGCAATGTGCTTTATGTGGGGTTGCCTTTGAAGACTGTTCAGAAGCTTCAGTTAATCCAATGGACAGCAGCCAAGTTGATCACCGGAGTGGCGTACAGGGAGCATTCAACCCTCCCTGTTGCACCAGCTCCACTGGCTGCCAGTTTGCTACCAAGCACAATTCAAAGTACTGGCTTTATCCTATAAAGCCCTGAATGGTTCCAGCCCATCTTACCTGCTCTGATGTATCTCCCATCAACCACCTAGGAGATTAAGATCGTCAGGGGAAGCCCCGCTCCCAGTCCCGCCACCTTTGCAGGCACATCCAATAGGAATGAGAGACAGGGCCTTTTCAGTGGTGGCCCATTGGCTGTGGAACTCCTTCAACGGTGATTTTGGAGCAGCTCCCTCCCTCCTGGCCTTCAGAAGGGAAGTGAAAACCTGGCTCTGGGGTCAAGCCTTTGGAGATTAACTGCACTGTAGTAATAACTATGATATATGTGCAATGTTGCTTGGAACGCCCCTGGATTACGATTGCGAATGGTGATTTTAATAGTGGTTATAATGTTGATATGTTTGAATGTGCATTTTAGCTCTAATTTTTAATTTTAACTTAAATGTATTTAAACATCTGTTGTTTAAAGGCATCCAATAATTGCCATATGTAAAGCCGCCTTGAGTCCCCTTTTGGGTAGAGAAAGGCTGGATATAAATGGAGTAAATAAATAATGAAATACATACGGCCAGATATATTTAGCCTTATACCAGATTTGGGACATTGAGTGCTGGTTACTCATTGGTGTCCCCAGTTGCAGGCATGTAGCCGGAGGGGGGGGGGCTTGAGGGGCTTCAGGCCCCCCCCCCCCCCGAAATTCTCATGGTGGTTCGCGAAAAGGCCTTACTGGTGCATTATTTAAACTGTTATGTTTATTCATATCATGATCTGATCACCATACTCAATATATCCCATATGCATGGGGGTATGGGGGTAATGATACAAAAGGTTTGCTAGGCTAGACCCTCTTTCACCCGAAACTCAGCCCCCCGACCCCCCCCTGAAAAAAATTCAGCCCCCCCCCCCCCCCCCGAAACGAAATCCTGGCTACGGGCCTGCCCAGTTGCATATTTATTTCAGTTACATCCCTTGTTTTCTAGAGGTATCTCCAAAACAGGAACTCATGGCTAAAGTACACAACTTGCACAATATGGTAGCACGCTGTTTATCTGTTTAACTTTTCTTTACTTTTTAAAATTGTCTCCACTTGTCTTGACAGCTTAATTTGCTTCTTATTATTTCCATTTGTGCCTCAGATCGCATCAATATCAAGAAGAAAGGTGCCTGGCCCTCTGCTTACCTCTCTGTTCAGCATGTCATTGACTGTGGCAATGCAGGATCCTGTGAAGGAGGAGATGACAGCGCTGTCTGGCAGTATGCGCATGACCACGGCATCCCAGATGAGACCTGCAACAATTACCAGGCAAAAGACCAGCGTACGTGAAGTCAAAGCAAGGGCTACTCTTTCCTCCTTTTTCCTACCCAAAGCTGGTTGTACAGGCAGGAAAGAAATTCAGATGTCTTAGTTTGTTTGTAGTACACTGTGCAAATAAATCCCATTGTCTATGCTTACTGGTAGAGACAGTATGGTGGAATGGTTTGGGAATTGGAACTCTGGAGACATGAGCAAGTCATAACAGTAAATAAAGAACCACACTCAAAAACAGGGGAATTCCAGACAAGAAACAACCAGGGCCAGCTAATCACCACCCAACAAATGATTTCCCAGACATTAAGAAGCCAGACCTTGAAACTGCTAGGCCATTAAATGCTAATCAAGGTGGCCAATTGCAACATTCATACCTACCTCAAAAAGTCAAGAGTTCTTTCTCCCATCCTGGACATTCCACAGATATATAAACCCCATTTTCCTACAGACCTTATAACCTCTGAGGATGCCTGCCATAGATGTGGGTGAAACATCAGGAGAGAATGCTTCTGGAACATGGTCACACAGCCCAGAAAACTCACAACAACCCAAATCTGAGCAAGGTTTGCCCTTGAGGCAGAGAGTGTGTGGCTTGCTCAAGGCTACCCGGTGGATTTTCATGGCTGAGTGGGTTTGAAACTCAGGATTTCCAGAGTCCAAATCCAAGGACCATTTTGCTAGGATCAGAGAACCTCCACGTTTGCCTCTGTGGATGAATGACAGGGACTTACTGGTGGCGGCTCACCATATGGAAGTTTATATTTAAGGAAGCCAAGCGAGGTCCATGTTTTCTCATTTTTGGATGAGAAACTTCCATACTGGAAGGTGTTTTATAACGAAATGTGTTCTGGTTTTTGTTTGTTTTCTTGGTTTGATAAAATGTAGCTGCATACTTTTAAATTTGTGTGTTATATTTGTTTTGCTTATCTCTATAGTGTACGATGATAAGGAGCAGAAACAATATAAAATAACATAACACTACAGCAGTGGTTCTCAACCTTCCTAATGCCGCAACCCCTTAATACAGTTCTTCACGTTGTGGTGAACCCAACCATACAATTATTTTCGTTGCTTCTTCATAACTCTGATTTTGCTACTGTTATGAATTGTAATGTAAATATCTGATATGCAAGATGTATTTTCATTCACTGGACAAAATTTGGCACAAATACCCAATAAGCCCAAATTTGAATACTAGTGGGGTTGGGTGGGATTGATTTTGTCATTTGGGAAATGTAGTTTCTGGGATTTGTAGTTAACCTGCAATCAAAAAGCATTCTGAACTCCACCAGCGATGGAACTGAACCAAACTTGGCACACGGAACTCCCATGACCAACAGAAAATACTGGAAGAATTTGGTGGGCATTGACCTTGAGTTTGGGAGTTGTAGTTCACCTACATTCAGAGAGCACTGTGGACTCAAACTATGATGGATCTGGACCAGACTTGGCACAAATACTCAATATGCCCAAATGTGAATACTGGTGGAGTTTGGAGAAAATAGATCTTGATATTTGGGAGTTGTAGTTGCTGGGATTTATAGTTCACCTACAATCAAAAAGGATTCTGAACCCCACCGACAACAGAATTGGGTCAAACTTCCCACAAAGAATCCCCATGACTTGTCGAAGGCTTTCATGGCCGAAATCACCGGGTTATTGTAGGTTTTTTGCGCTATATGGCCATGGTCTAGAGGCATTCTCTCCTGACGTTTCGCCTGCATCTATGGCAAGCATCCTCAGAGGTAGTGAGGTAGAACCTCACTACCTCTGAGGATGCTTGCCATAGATGCAGGCGAAACGTCAGGAGAGAATGCCTCTAGACCATGGCCATATAGTCCAAAAAAACCTACAACAACCCAATCCCCATGACTAACAGAAAATACTGTGTTTTCTGATGGTCTTTGGCGACCCCTCTGACACCCCTTTGTAACCCCCCCCCCCCAGGGATCTCTACCCCCAGGTTGAGAAACAGTGCACTACAGTATGCTCTATATGAGGTATCAGCAAATTTCGACCCTCCACGTGTTTTGGACTTCAGCTCCCACGATTCCTAACAGCTGGTGGGCTGTTAGGAATAGTGAGATTTGAAGTCCAAAATACCTGGAGGGCCAAAGTTTGCCCATGCCTGCTCTGTACAGTGAACTTTCATTCCCAATTTGTTCTCACAGGATGGACTGCATACTGTCTGATACACTTTTCTTGTTTATTTTGCAGCATGCCAGAAGTTCAATCAGTGTGGAACATGCGTTACTTTTGGACAATGTCACATAGTAAAGAACTACACTCTCTGGAAAGTTGCAGATTATGGAATGGTCTCAGGACGAGAGAAAATGATGGCAGAAATCTATGAGAATGGTCCCATCAGGTAAAGCCAAAGCTAATTGCATAATAAGTGACTATGATCTGTTTATTTTTGCATTTCTTTAAGAAAATATCCTAAAATAAACCAGTTTCCTGGGAATAAGCCCCACTGAATTTACACATAGGGGATTGCACTGAAGACCCTATAGAAGTTGTGGCGTAATGTAAAATAAACAATGTGTAGTTCACATTTCATCAGCCCACACACTGTCTTGCCAAAGAAACAAAATATGCCATACAGGTGAACAATAAAGAGCAAGTAGTTTACTCTTCTTAGTTCAGACCAACATATGCACAATGTCATCAGTTGCATCAACTCACATAATGTCCTTTTATGAGAGGTTTAAATTAGTCTTTCTTTTGTCATTGTTGGATAGACTCCTTCAGCAGCTTAGGAAGTAAAAGTACACTCCAAACTCTGTCATTCTTTGCTTCTCTCTTCAAACTGTCTCTGCACCTGTGTAGCTTAAGCCTGAACAAAAATGTAACCATATCCAAAAGTCCCAGGCTTAGCCATCTCCCTGGGCATTGCCTGACCAATCAGCTTCATGCATCTTATTTTATAATTGACACACACACATTAACTGATTCCTTGTATGCTCTAACAGAAGTGCCACTTGGTCTCATTGAAATATTTGTCACAGAATTTACTCATACTGTGCATGTTTTGCATAAGATAAAATAATATTCTTTAGAGCACTACATTGAAAACTGTTGAACTCTGAGCAGATAATTGATGTTTAAATTAATATGTGATATCATTTAAAACAGTTGTGGGATTATGGCCACTCAGAAGCTGGATGACTACACTGGAGGACTGTATGCAGAATACCACCCCTCTCCTTTTATAAACCACGTTGTCTCTGTTGCCGGCTGGGGAGTGGAAAATGGAACAGAATACTGGATTGTACGCAACTCTTGGGGCGAGCCCTGGGTGAGTATCAGAAAAAGAACAGGAAGAAAAATCCTTCCCTTGATATCACTCTCTCTCCCTTTCTAAAGACTTGTGATAGATGAGCAATGTTTACATTATAAAGTCTGGATGTTGGTCTTGAACTCATAAGACTACGCCTGGTGTCCTGTTAGTGACAACCCAGTGATTGGGTTGTTGCAAAAGCTGATATTCCTCCCTCCCTCCACAATAACCAAAGCCCTTCCAAGTCTACTGTAGTCCCCCAATGGCCATTTCATGGCTCGGGGAGGGTATTGCGGATTGGAGGCACCTCCGTTTATGTCCTTGTATTCAAATGCAAAAGGATTAACTCATTTGTGAAGAGCTCCAGAGAGTGATATTATCATTCTGTGTACGACAATGAGGGGGAATCATAGAATCGTAGAGCTGGAAGAGACCTTGTGTGCCATCCAATCCAACCCCCTGTCAAGAAGCAGGAACATTGCATTTAAAGCATCCCCGATAGATGGCCATCCAGCCTCTGTTTAAAAGGGTGAAGCCAGATGCTTCTCCAATACTGTCCCAGTCACAGAATTGCCACATAACTTTGCATTCAACATGCTTAAACTGTGTGTATAATTTTGCATTGTATAACTTTGCATTGGAGCACCCAGTGGCACAATGGGTTAAACCCTTGTGCCAGTAGGACTGCTGACAGAAAGATAGGAAGTTCTAATCCGGGGAGCGGGGTGAGCTCCCATCTGTCAGCTCCGGCTTCCTATGCAGGAATATGAGAGAAGCCTCCAACAGGATTGTAAAAAATCCAGGTGTCCCTGGGCAATGTCCTTGCAGACAGCCAATTTTTCTCACACCAGAAGCAACTTGAACTTTCTCAAGTTGCTTCTGACTAAAAAAACAAACCTTTGCATGCTATATATAAAGGAACTTGAAAAATTGCTGCCATAGGCATGTTAGTTAGAAGGTTTGTAGACTTACAATGCAAATCTTTTCTGAACTTTAAATGACATTCAAAACCTACTGTGCCTATATAACTAATACAAACTTAATATTTTGCAGGGTGAGAGAGGCTGGCTTAGGATTGTGACAAGTGCATATAAAGGGGGGAAAGGAGAAGACTACAATCTCGCCATCGAATCGCAATGTAATTATGGAGATCCTATTCTTCCATGAGCTTATCCTGCCTTCTGTTTGGGGTCATGGTTTGGACTGCAAGGACTTCTCCAGCCAGTTGTTTCTTCTTTTCAAAGGGATGAGGTGACTTACTGCAATATCATTTAATGAAGGACTTATGGAATTTGGAACCTAATTCAGACTTTATATCTTCCTTTTCCATTATTGTTTTTTTCATATATGTGTGTGATTTTTTAAAAAATATTCAGGGCTATCTTTGAAACAACCAAATGCATTACTTGTACTGATTGCACTGTGAGAGAGCACGAAAGCACCTTTCTGAACCTCAGTGAATTGTAATAAATGTCTTTGTAGTGAAATCTCAAACTCCTGGATTAAGGGGGCTTTGAGGGAGAAGTCTTGTGCATATGGGGAGTGGGATCTATTATATTTATAATCCCTTGTTCTTTGGGTCTGAGCTGTGTTTCAGGCTGAGATCAATTTTAAGATGCCTATAACCTTTAAGCTGGAGCCAGAGCCCCTGTGCTTTTGTAATTCTTTCCTCCCTGCATACTTAGTTCAAGAGACTCGCCTTTCTTCAGCAATTGTCAATATATTACTGTTGTCTCCTTCACACTTTTTATTGAGTTGCTGTGTCTGATGAAGGAGGCAGAGGACAAGATGAAAAGTGGAGAAATCTCTGGATTTTCTTGTGTCTGTCAAGTAAAACCAGATCTCTTCCTTGTGCCGCCTGGAGTCAGAATGGATGTAACTTCCTATATATCTTTCAATCCATGTATTGAGCTTCTCTTTCCATGCTATTTTAAATGAAAGAAGTTTTATGCACACTTACATGCCCACCTTGGATTTATACTGTTTCCTCCACTGAAAATGACCCCAAAGATTCTTTGTGGCAAATAGGAGCTTTGTAGGAGTTGGTGGTTTCTCAGTGGGGAAAGGGTGGAGCCCCCTGTGGTGCAATGGGTTAAACCCTTGTGCCAACAGGACTTCTGACCAAAAGGTTGGCAGTTCGAATCTGGGGAGTAGGGTGAGCTCCTGTCTGTCAGCTCTAACTTCTCATGCGGGGACAGGAGAGAAGCCTCCCATAGGATGGTAAAACATCCAGGCGTCCCCTGGGCAACATCCTTGCAGATGGCCAATTCTCTCACAGCAGAAGTGACTTGCACTTTCTCAAGTTGCTCCTAACATAATAAAAAAGTGGGGAAAGGGTGACAGCAAGAACAGACTATACCGACCTCCTGTCCCATTGTCCTAATTCCCACTTGCAGCCTGCAGACATTTTGGAAATAAGGTTTTTTTTTTCGATGTCAGGGAGCAACTTGAGAAACTGCAAGTTGCTTCTGGTGTGAGAGAATTGGCTGTCTGCAAGGATGTTGCCCACGGGATGCCCAGATATGTTTTGATGTTTTACTATCCTTGTAGGAGGCTTCTCTCATGTCCCCTTATGGGGAGCTGGAGCTGACAGAGGGAGCTCATCTGCACTCTCCCCAGATTGGAACCTTCGACCTGTTGATCTTCAGTCCTGCTGGCACAAGGGTTTAACCCACTTCACCCCCGGGGCTCCTTGGGAATTAATTAAGTTGGCAACAACTTAATGAACAAGGAATGCAGAGATACTTCTGAAGTAATGTTTTGTTTGGGTCCATCAGAAGCATGACAAGGCACAGAACGGAGAAACTGTAATGTAGTGCAGACTGGTGGTGACACTCCATTCTTACAAGAAAGGTTTGCCATTGCCATCATGTGAGTTGTCTCTTCATTTCAACGCCCAGATGCAGCTCTTAATTAAATCAGCTTGGCACAGGGCAACTCCAAGGTACTTATCTGGCTTCTGCAGCCTTCATTCCACCCTCCCAGTCTCCACACATATCTGAACCTATCTAGTTCCAGAGGCCGTAGCACGCAGCTGACCCCTAAACTGGGTGCTTGCATCTTTTATTAAATGTACCAGAAGGCCAGCATTCCTTTATGAGATTCAACCCAGGCATTGCTTCCACATAGCGATCCCTTTTCTGTTCCTCATTTGCAGAAAGCAATCTCTCAAGGAAGGGGAAAGCTGCTTCTATAATCCATCAATACACATAATTCCTAGGAAGTCTCTGCAACTTTGGCATGTTCCAAGCCTAACTATGCTCCCAAACTAAACAATTTTCTCCCTGATAAAGACAAGGGTTGGCAAACAACTGGAAGGACATAATTGATGGGTGGTGTACACTTTTTATTATTGGTCCATGTGTTAGGTCATAAATTGTGCGGATCTGGAGCTTTTCTGGATTGTACCTTGGTATCCTGGTGCAACAGAAAATCCTGCTTCATTTCCCATCCCTGAGGTTGGAGGAGGACCTGTATTGCTGCCAAAGATCTTGCTTTAAGGCCATCAGCTAAATTTTCACTGGACATTGGTATCCACTCAGATTATGTTTTAAGACATACAGCCTGCCATAGCCTATTCAACATAAACCTGCTTTTCTTCTGTGTGTTGTCTAAGGACAGATTGCATGGGCAGTTGATGGCACCTTCCTCACCAACCTACCTTTTCCCAATCAAGTGCCTTTCATTATACTCATCTGACCATGCTGGCAAGGGCTGATGGGAGTCGTATTCCAAAATATCTTGGAGACCCAAGATTTACAGGCTGCTGGTCTAGACTGCTAAAGACATTTTAAATTTTGCTCACAATCTTGTGCCTGATGGTTGTATGTATGAAGTAATAAACATAGTGCTTAACAGTGAAGGCTGGCATTTTTTCTCTCTTAAGGACTAACATGAATGATTTGGTTTTCTGTGTTACTTTGAAATAATACATTTGACCTTCCATAACCATGGTTTCTGCATTCATTGATTTGATTATCCATGGCTTGAAAATATACATTTTTAATTCTCCAAAGTAAAGCTTGATTTGCCATTTTATATCAGGGACACCATTTTACTGCCATTATATGGGACTTGAGCATCCATTGATTTTGGCCTCTTGGAACCAAACTCCGCTGTATAAAATTACAACAGCAAAACAACAGAGAGGAAACAATCAGGGACATCTAATCACCTCTCAGGAGCCCCCGGTGGCGCAGTGGATTAAACCCCTGTGCCAGCAGGACTGAAGACCAACAGGTCGCAGGTTCAAATCCGGGGAGAGGCGGATGAGCTCCCTCTATCAACTCCAGCTCTTCATGCGGGGACATGAGAGAAGCCTCCCACAAGGATGATAAAAACATCAAATCATCTGGGCGTCCCCTGGGCAACGTCCTTGCAGACGGCCAATTCTCTCACACCAGAAGCGACTTGCAGTTTCCTCAAGTCGCTCCTGACACGACAAAAGAATCACCTCTCAACAAAAGATTGCCCCAGGCACTAACAAGCCACACCATCAAATGCTAATCAAGGTAGTCAGTTGAAACATTCACATCTAGCTCCAACAGACAAGAGTTCTTTGCCCCACCCTGGTCATTCTACAGATATATAAACCCATTTTCCCAGTTCCAACAGACCTCACTACCTCTGAGGATGCTTGCCATAGATGCAGGCAAAATGTCAGGAGGGAATGCCTCTTTAACATGGCCATATAGCCCGAAAAAACCTACAGCAACCCAGTGATTCCGGCCATGAAAGCCTTCGACAATCTACTGTATTTCATCTTCTTTTTAACTAATTAATATCCCATCTTTCCTCCCAATACTGAGCCTCAAGGCAGTTTACAAAAATTAAAGCCCTTCCTTCTACAAGCTCGAGATAGCACCAACCACTCCTTCCCATTTTCCAGTGGACATGGTGGTGCATTGGGTTAAACTCTTGAGCCTGAAGAACTGATGACCGACAGGTTAGCGGTTTCAATCTGGGGAGAACGGGTTGAGTTCCCTCTGTAAGTTCCACCTCTCCATGCGGGGACATGAGAGAACCTCCCACAAGGATGGTAAACATCAAATATCCGGGTGTCCCCTGAGCAATGTCCTTACAGACAGCCAATTCTCTCACACTAGACGCGACTTTCTCAAGTCACTCCTGACATGAAAAAAAAAAGTGCCCATGCTGGTCAATGAATTTTGGAGCTCTTTTCCAAAGAAGTAATGTTTCTAAGTTCTGACAGGCAGAAAGCCATCCTTCTTCTTGAATAATAATAAATATTATTTGATGTTATTGTCTGTTGTATGTATTTATTTTGCCTTACTGTAATTTTTGGGCTTGGCCTCATGTTAGCCACTTCGAGTCCTTTCAGGGAGATGGTGGCAGGTTATAAATAAAGATTATGATTATTTGAAACACAACAAGATGAATCCACAGCAAACAAGACCACTCTCCTGGTTGTTGTATTGGATCACACGTCGGACACTTCACAAGTGTCTAGGACTGTGTGATGTATCGGCGAATAATGCGTGCAGATCCCAGTAAGGTGGCCTTTTGCAGACAGTAATTTTGTCAGTACTGATTGTGTTTAAGTGCAGGCCAAGGTCTTTAGGCACATAATTATTATTGTTGTTGTTCTTGTTGTTATTAATGTATACTAGGCATAACAACCTGCTATCATGTAGGGGTTGGAAATACAGTACACAGTCCTTCAAATGTTGTTGGATGTCAAACCCTGTTAGTTCCTGTCTCCATATTCAGTAGTCAGAGATGGAATTATAGTTCAACACTGAAATGGAGCAGAGTCCTTATTTCTGAGTTATGTTGTTAGATTAGGGAGAAAGAGACCTCATATACAACAGAGAATTTTTCTGGGAAAAAGGAAGACCCATCACTGTCCCAGACTTCCTGAAAGTATGTTGGAGGTCAGCTTTGCACAACTTGGCAGTAGGTATAGGCCAAAATTGAAATATTCCAAACTTCTTTGCACCACAGATAGAGCCTTATTTTCCAAGTAAAGGTATAATTAATAATTATATGATTTTGCCAATAAACCATATTATGAAAAGGGGATATTAGAACCAAACTACCAGCATTTCCACATCGGTCGCTCACATACAAAGACATATTGGACTGAGTGCCTGACCTTGGAGAGTGCACCACACACGCATGTAATTTTCGGACAGACATGCAACAAGTGGGAAAGAAGCCCTTGTGTTGTAGCTGCTTGTCACATAGCAAACATCAGTTGCGTTGGCACATGGTTGCATTCACTGTGTACCAGCTCAATGACAGTAATGACTGAAAACAGTAAAAAGGTACAACTATTCTTACTCCTCTCAGACTGACCATGATTGCTTGCCATGAGTTGTTTGAGAAATAGGAGTGTGTGCAGTGGAAACTCACCTGCCAAGTTACATGATGAGCACAATAGTGACTAGTGGAAACCACGATGTAACATCAAGCACAAGTTGTGCATGTACAAAACACTTCTTACATCTATATATTTTTTTACATTCTCCGCATTTTCACAGGCCACCTGACATCTTGTGGCCTACTGATTGAATGTAGTGCAGTTCTGCTGGAGGTCAAGGAGGGGAATGCCTCTTCCATTGTACAGCTGCACAATGGTAACCAGAAGATTGTGGTGGTGTCCAGCTACAGTTGTACATGGGTCTTTATGCAAAGAGATGTTGGAGGGACTGCAATTACTGGATCTTATCCCAGTGTTACATTTCACTGTTATGTTTCAGAAGAAGGAACTAACAAAACCACTTCTTGAATATTCGTTGCCTATGAAAACCCAATGAATTCAACAAAGTCACCATAAATTATGATTTCAAGGCACATATATGTGTGACAAACTAATAGCATTCTGGCCTATATGTAGCTATTGGTTTATTTATTAACTTTATTTATATTTGATCCTCCCATGGGGATTCAAGGTGGCTAACAATAATTTGATCACAGTTTAAAACAAAGTGAATGTAAAAAAAAGAAAAAATCCAAATAGTACTTCGTGGACTGTGCTACAAAATAGAAGTTTGCTTGTGCTGCAACCTTCACCTCAGAAGTGCAAGTGACTTGTCCTTGATTGTTTGCAATTTTTGGGAGCTGGAAGATTCCCACATGGTATTTTTGTAGTCAGAAGCACAGAGACAGCTTTATTTTCTAAGCATCTAATTTTCAGAAGGTATCATAACAATATTTATTAGATGCTAACATCTTCATATCTCTATCAACCTCAGAAATGGAGAACCGTGGCCTTTCTCTGCACTCACACACACATCACACACACACATATATATCTTTTTTTGTTTGCAACTCAGTATATGCCATCAAAGTCTTAATCCTTCTCACCTGCTGCTTCTTGTCAAACTCTTTTGGGATGGAGGACTTTCCACATGATGTCAAGGAGCAAGTGATGAAAAAACAACTCTTTGTATTTTCGTGAGACTTACATTTCTCCCCCTTTCTCTTCTGTTTCATGAAAGTGAAATGGATACCATGACTTTTTCTAACAAAACTTAGGAAGTGTAACTCTATTAAATTATCGGGATACCTTCTCCACCTTTAGAATTCCATTTCCAGATGGCTATCTGTTGGGGATACTTCAGTTTTACTTTTTCTCCATGGTGAGGGGTTGGAATGGATGGCCCTCATGGTCTCTTCCAGTTCTGTGAGATGATGATTCCTATTGGCCATACTGGCTGGGATTGCCTCTCTCCACAGCCATCTTGCTTGAATTGCCTGATCGGCTCTTGCAAGGTATCCAACACAAGCCTGCTGGCATGAGATTTGCCTGGGCTGTGGGTTTTTGGCAAGGTTCTATAAATATATAGGATTGCCAGATCTCAAGCATCCGATATCAGGGAATCAGAGTTTTAGCCAGTAAAAATGAGTGCCTTGTATGTCCTGGGTGACTGAATACAACTTTAAAGAAGCTGTCCAAAGTGCTGACTCCCATTTCTAAAAGAGGTTCATCAATCTGGATTCACTGCTTCTCCGATATGGAAACTGTCAGTTACTGTTGTAAGGTTCATTTGGAAAGTATTCTTTGCACCATCAAAGCACTCCCAACAGATGGCCATCCTATCTCTATTGAAAATTCTCCAAGGAAGATGGTGCCACTACAATCCCAGGCAGTGTATTCTACTATCAAGCAGCACATTGATTAGGTTGACGCAGGTAGTTCTAAAGCATATTCTTTCAGACTCTGTACATTTCTATCTCTTTCTGACCAACAGAGAGGCAGAGGCTAATGTAATGCAAAAGAATTATATTTGGAAAGCATATAGGAAAAAGATTGAAGAGGAGGAAATTTAGTAAATAATGCTGTACTTCACCTCTTTCATTCTTAAGCTCTCAAACTCTTCCCCCAAATGAGACGTAACGCAATATAAACAGAACATTGCATGAGATCCCACACAAGATACAATCTCCCTCCCTCTCTGACCTTTTAGGCTCCTTTGGGTGAATGATATAGGCAGATTTGAATAGAAAAGGTAACCAAACAAAATATGTCTCTAGGCTACTATAACATTGTTATTTTGCACAGCTGAAAAGCTAACCTTACTTGTTTAAGGAAAGGAAAAAACATTCTGTGGGATTTCTTTCAGAAGACATTTCTGCAAAGACAGCTCAAATGCAGGTTCAAGGTATGATAGGGTCTCCATAACTGCATTCCTCTTCCACACCCAAGTTGAAGTCATTGCCTTTTCCATTTTTGTATGCACTCGTCACGATTCTAAACCAGCCACGTTCCCCCTGAAAGACATTAAATGGTAAAGGCATATTGGAAGGAGCTGAAGCAACTTCTTAGGATACTACTTTAAAAACACTTGTGCACTAATAATTAATTTAATGGTTCTGAGTTATTCTTGAAGGATGCAAGTGGTTGGGGTGGAATATTTGTGTGTTTATGTGTAGACACAGACCTACATAACACAACAGCTGATCCATTAGAGCCATGAGGATAGGCCAGGCATCCTTCCTGAGATGCCTGGTATCTTGGACCTTGGCTGGTACCCTGGATTAGAATGCCGGACCCTAACCTTGTTCTTGCAACCCCCTTTTGGACACCACTTCTCTTGTAAACTTGTCTTGGACCTTGTTCCCTGAAACCTGGAATTTGAATCTTGGTTGACCTTCTTGGATTTGGCATATGGATTTGGACTTTTCTTTGACCCTTGACCAGCTGGCTCAACTTCGGAACATGAATATGCTTTGCACGCTGGAATTCTGGAACCCTATTTTAAGTGAACTCTTGCAACCTGACTTTTGGACTGCAGACTTAGGTACTGTTTGTTCTTGCCCCTGAACTGGCTTTGTAGTATTCTCAGCCTTAATTTGACTTTTGACCTTGATTTGTATAACCTTGACTGTGTGCTGTATTTCTGTTTTGGTGAGCCAGACTGTTGAAAGACTTAAGGCTTTTGTTCTCAGTTTAAATATGTCTGGTCCTGTCCCATTCGGGTAGTTTGATAAAACTCTGCCAGAGTTACTGGGAAAGAGCTGCCTCGAACATGACAGCTTTCCTAGAAATCTGGTGGCAAGCAGGGTATGTTTTGGTGGGTTCAAGATGTGAGACTCCATTTATGATACATCCATGAATACACTACATATCGAAGGTCTCCAAGAACCTTATTCCAAAGAGTGAAGACAATGAAGACATGTGTTCTTGCACTTTGCTACTCTGCTGCTGAATACACATGCCCAGTGTGGAAAACATCTCACCACGTTAAAACAGTGGATGTCGCTCTTAATGAGACTTGCTACATTATCACAGGATGTCTACACCCCATACCACTGGAGAAATTTCACAATGTAGCAGGCATCACACCACCTGACATCTGCAGGAAGTAGCAGCCAACAATGAAAGAACCAAGACATAGACATCTTCAGCCCATCCTCTGTTCAAATATCAGCCAGCATGCCAACACCTTAAATCAAGGAACAGCTTCCTAAGATCTACAGAGATATTCACAGGAGCACCTCAGCAAACAAGACTCCAAAAGTGGCAGGCTAAAAGCCAGAACATCAATCATTGGCTGATACGAAATGAGAAACTTCCTCCTGGGCACACAGAAGAGTGGACGAACTGGAAGGTGCTGAGCAGGCTGCACTCTGGCACCACAAGATGCAGAGCCAACCTTAAGAAATGGGGCTACAAAGAGGGGGCCACAACATGCGAGTGTAGAGAAGAGCAAACCACAGACTACCTACTACAATGCAACCTGAGCCCTGCCACATGCACAATGGAGGATCTTCTCACAGTGCCACCAGAGGCATTCCAAGTGGCCAGCTTCTGGTCAAAGGACATTTCACATAATGCCAAGTTATTTTTTTAAAGCATTTGTGTTTTTAAATGTATTTTAACTGTACCCTCAACTTTCTTCTTACACAATAAACACATTCTGAAGAAACAAAATGCAAGGAAACACTTGCACCAGTGAAGTTTGTATTGTTCAGAAATCCAGAATGCAAAAGTGCATAAAAACATGGACCACTTCCCTCAATGATAGGTAAGCTTCCATTGGTGTTTAGCACATTAAGTGATCAACATTAAGTGATCAACAAAGGTGTGACCCATGTCCTTTTATCACCAGTTGTAGCCCACAAACATCCAAGCCAAATCCCATCCAGTGATGCAGCGAGGACTTGTTCATGAATGTCCTTATTTTGATTGCAACCTCTTTATAGCTATTGTAACATGTGGCAGTGGAGTGGGGAATCGCATATGGCCTCGTGGCCTCAAATCATGTCAACCTAGTCTGTAGTCAGCAAAAGCTTCGCATTCTGCATACTAACATGAAGATTACCATCCGTGTAAACTCTTTCAGCCACTGGAATGATTCTGCACAGTGTTATATCTAATCTTGTGAACACTAAATGTAACTATAAGGCTTCTGAGAAGTGTAAATCATAATGAAGTAAACTCTCTGTTGTTTATTTCTCTGCATCAGAAATACACAATCTACAACCTGGAGTCAGTATGACCCACCTCATGTTCTAGGATCCTTTCACACTATCCTTCTTTGGTCTAAAATTATTTAACCACTTGGGGTCCCTTTATTTTATAAGTTTTATACTTATTTATGCAATGCTTTTGACATGAAATATAAAAAAATCTTCAGACCCACCATGGACTCCATTCATCCATCTTAAGCCTTAAAGAGCCATTAATCCAACTCCATTCATCCAACTAAAGCCTTAAAGAACCACACACTCATCTCATTTGTGTTTCCATCACCTATCTTACCCAAGGCTCGCCCCAAGAGTTGCGGACAATCCAATATTCGATTCCGTTTTCTACTCCCCAGCCAGAAACGGTGACAACGTGGTTTGCCATTGCTGTCTCATTGTATTCAGTAAAAATGCCTCCTTTGTAATCATCCAGCTTTGAAGTCTGCATAATTGCACAGCTGTTTAAAAACAATAATAAAATACAATTTTAAAGATGCTGCTGAGATTAAATGTACATTCTAGTCACAGATGCTGACATAAGGAGTGAAGACATGGGACAAGTGTAAATAGCAAATAGCAAATAATAACATTAAAGACAATCTGTAATCCAAACGTTGGCATGTGGCAATAAAGTCATCATAGCAACCCAATCAAGCACAAGGTGTTGGAAAAACTAACAATCTTGCATGCACATTGAAATGGTTCAGCAGTCTATATGTTTCTATGTAACCTAACTCTCTTGCCATTTCAGGTTTTATGGCACCCTCATTTAACTATTTGCATGAGGTTTTGGGGAGCTTCCTTCATTGCAGACATGGCCCAAGTTACATAGACAGGTCTTCGAAGTCCGAAGACTATAAAAGAGAGGTGCTCCTTTGTCTGGGTGTTGATTTGGTCTTTCGCTTTACTCTTAACAGAGTGACCATCATCTGTTTTCCCAGGTATGTAGTTTGCATGCCACATGTCACCTTATTTTACCTTAGGCCCATGCTCTCAAACTAGAGAATGCTACCTTTTTACTCTCTATTTTTTGGGATTGTACTTTTGATATACTGCAACGAAGTTTATTTATTTATTTATTTATTTATTTCTTGCACTTATTGACCGCCACTCTCAGCCCTAGGGGCGACTCGTGGCGGTGAACAACAACAAAGAAAGACAGGATACAAAATCATAACAGTACATAACAAACTACTACTACAACATATACTTATGCTAAAAATCCGCTTCGTCTAATCCTGGGGTCATAGCCAAGTTCGTAGTCATAATCCATTCTAACGTCGTTCCACAGATACACTTAGTTGAAGGCCTGCTCGCAGAGCCAAGTTTTCAGGCTCCTACGAAAGGCCATCAAAGAGGGCGCCTGTCTAACTTCAGTAGGGAGGGTGTTCCACAGCCGGGGGGCCACCACCGAGAAGGCCCTCTCTCTCGTCCCCGCCAGACGTGCCTGCGAGGCAGGCGGGACCGAGAGAAGAGCCTCCCCGGATGATCTCAAGGCCCTCGTGGGCTCGTAGGCCGAGAGGCGGTCTGCAAGGTATTTTGGGCCGGAACCGTTTAGGGCTTTGTAGGCTAACACCAGCACCTTAAATTGGGCCCGGTAGCAAATCGGCAGCCAGTGGAGCTGGGACAGCAGGGGCGTTGTACGCTCTCTGCGTCCTGCTCCCGTTAATAACATGGCTGCCGCGCGTTGGACTAGCTGAAGCTTCCGGGCCGTCTTCAAGGGTAGCCCCACGTAGAGAGCGTTGCAGTAGTCAAGGCGGGATGTGACCAGAGCGTGTACCACCGTGGCCAAGTCAGACTTCCCAAGGTACGGGCGCAGCTGGCGCACGAGCCTAAGCTGTGCGAATGCTCCCCTGGTCACCGCTGAAACCTGGGAATCCAGGCTCAGCGATGAATCCAGGGTCACACCCAAGCTGCGAACCTGTGTCTTCAAGGGGAGTGCGACCCCGTCCAGCACAGGCTGTAACCCTATACCCTGTTCGGCCTTGCGACTGACCAGGAGTACCTCTGTCTTGTCTGGATTCAATTTCAATTTGCTTCGTCCTCATCCAGACCGTTACAGCGGCCAGGCACCGGTTCAGGACCTCGACAGCCTCCTTAGTAGCAGGTGGAAAGGAGTGACAGAGTTGGACATCATCTGCGTACAGATGACACCGCAGCCCGAAACTCCGGATGATCTCACCCAGCGGCTTCATGTAGATATTAAACAGCATGGGGGACAGTATAGAGCCCTGTGGAACCCCACAAGTCAAAGGATGTGGCGTTGAACAGGTGTCCCCCACAACACCTTCTGGGTACGACCCTCCAGAAATGATCGGAGCCACTGCAGCGCAGTGCCCCCGAGACCCATCTCTGCAAGGCGCCCCAGAAGAATACCGTGGTCGACGGTATCGAAGGCCGCTGAGAGGTCCAGGAGCACCAACAGGGACACACTCCCCCTGTCTAGCTCCCGGCGCAGATCATCCACTAAGGCGACCAAGACCGTCTCAGTACCATGTCCCGGTCTGAAACCAGACTGTGCCGGATCCAGAATATCCGTGTCTCTCAAGAATACCTGGAGTTGTGAGGCCACCACGCTTTCCATGACTTTGCCCAAGAAGGGAAGATTGGAAACAGGCCGAAAGTTGTCCAGATTAGTGGGGTCCAGTGATGGTTTCTTCAACAGCGGCTTTATAACAGCCTGTTTTAGGCTCGCTGGAATCTTGCCTTCCCGAGGGAGGCATTAACCACCACCGTTACCCACTCGGCCAATCCCCCTCTGGCCTCCTTCAGAAGCCAGGCTGGGCAGGGGTCTAGGATGGACGTGGTGGGTCTCATTCCTCCAAGTATCTTGTCCACATCCTCGGGTTTCACAAACTGAAAGGAATCCCAACAAAATAGGACAAGCAGGTGCTTGTGTCACATCCACAGAGACTGCATTTAATGTGGCGTCCAGCCAGAACGGATCAAAGCGACTTTGTCTGCAAAGAACCGAGCAAATGCTTCACAGCGCGTGTCCGAGTTGTCAGGGCTCCCACCTGATGTAGGGGGAGTTAAAAGACCTCTGACAATCCGAAACAACTCCGCCGGACGGTTTTTTGCAGACGCAATAGTGGCCGCAAAGAAAGATTTCTTTGCGGCTTTTATTGCCGCGGCATATGCCCTTAAAAAGGACACAAACCGTGTTCGGTTTGGCTCGCTTGGATCCGAGCGCCACACGCTCTCTAGACCCCTCTTCTTTCGCTTCATCGCTGCCAGCTCCTCAGTGAACCAAGGGGCTGGTTTAGCTCGGTTACTTGAGAGGGGACGTTCCGGAGCGATCATGTCAATTGCCCTAGTCATCTCCCCATTCCAGAGAGCGACCAAGGCCTCGACATGAGCACCTACCGAGGTGGCGGGAAACTCCCCAAGAGCCGTCAGGAATCCATTCGGATCCATTAGCCTCCTGGGGCGGACCATCTTAATGGGTCCTCCACCCCTGCGGAGGTTAGGGGGCGCAGTGAGTCTAAATCTAATCAGGAAGTGGTCGGTCCACGGCAACGGAGAGATGACCAACTCCTCCACACCGCCACCCTGCTCCCATCCCTGGCAGAAAACCAAGTCCAATGTATGTCCAGCACAGTGGGTGGGGCCAGTTATTCGTTGGGACAGCCCCATGGTTGCCATGGCGGACATGAAGTCCTGAGCCGCACCTGTGAGGGTTGCCTCGGCATGGATGTTGAAGTCCCCCAGCACAAGGAGCCGTTGGGACTCCACCGCCAGGCTCGAGACCACCCCCGCTAGCTCAGGTAGGGAGACTGTAGTGCAGCGAGGTGGACGGTACACTAACAGAATCCCTATTCTGTCCCGGTCACCCACCCTCAGGTGGACGCATTCAAAATTTGTGGTCTGCGGGATGGGGCCCCTGGTTAGATGGATGGAATCTCTATAGACCACTGCGACACCGCCTCCCCGTCCTCCGGCTCTTGGTTGGTGTTGCACGGAAAAACCTGGAGGACAAAGCTGGGAGAGGTTTACGCCCCCCGCTTCATCCAGCCAGGTCTCCGTGATGCACGCCAGATCTGCCCGCTCCTCCAGGATTAAATCCTGGATCCAAGTTGTTTTTCCGTTGACAGACCTGGCGTTCAACAACACCACCTTCAAGCCGGAGGGCCCGCTCACCTGGTTACACCAATTTACCTTAGGAGATCTTTTGGGAATAGTTAATTTAGATAAGTGGTCCGAATTAGGCCGAATTCGGGGTCTCCTTCTCCCGCATCTCCTCCTTCCCACCACGACCTCTATGGGGGCCCCTCGGCTAGTGGAACACCTCCCCCCCTCCATGCCGCAATCCCGGGGTATGAGAACACTGTCTCCTACGGTTGTTGTTAGGTGCATTAGTTCTTGCCAGCATCTCCCCTCCCCCTCCTCCCCCCTCCCCACCACACCTTCAATCCCAGGCTCCAGGCCACCTCCCCTTCTGCCCCCACCGCTACACCCGAGCAGCAGGAATAATACACAAAAGGGGGCAGGGGAACACATGGGTAGCGGCTATACAGATGGCGGTCGATGTTCCGACGGCTTCTATAGAACAGTTCTTACAGTGCATAAATTTTTGGAGCAGTCCGTCAGTGATCGTAACTGATCGCAATTAGTTGGTAGCAACACACATCAAAGGCACACATTAATAAAGTGCTAGGTCTAAAGTGCTCTGCTTAACAATAGTAAAGTGCGGCACGGAGGGACAAGGAAGGGGCGAAAGTGCTGGTGCAATCTAGCAGCAGATGGCAAGCGCCTCAGTGCTCTATCTCGTTCTTATTGCTATAACGACAAATGGTAACAGATGACTACCAGACATGTACTAGTTGGTATTGTACAACTCCCCCTTATAGATGGGAATGGTGGTAGTTAATTAAATATTGCTATGACCCCGGTAAGTCTTTAGACGGTTGGTAACCCAGCGGATGGGCTTCCGGAGTTGATAACTCGGGGGTGGGCCAGCCCAGATGTTCTGACGATGGGCGGCCCTTCCAGGGGTGGAAAGCAGGGGGGGCGAACTCGCCTAAAGATGGAGCAACTTCCCACCAGCCGCGGCTGTGGAGACCAGGGGCACCCGGCCTCCCCACCCAGCGGCCGGCGGCGGCGGCGGTCGGCGGCGGCAGCTCCGCGGCACTGGTCCGGCCCCCCGGCCTCTTCACCTGGCAGCCGGCAGCGGCGGCGGCGGGGGCCGGTGGCGATGGTCTGGCGGCGATGGATCAGCGGCCCAGCGGATCAGGGCGGAGGGGGCCAGGCAGATAATAATATCAGGCTCGAGAGGGTGCCGCCAGCCTCGTCCTCTTCTCCACTCCTCCTCTCCTTCTCCTCTGGTCGATGGGAGGAGGTCAGATGGAACGCTGGGCCAACCAGGCCCGAAGGGGAGCTGCCGAGTCGGCGGGAGGCAGGCGGGTGGCGCAAAGGGGCCTACCAGGCTCGGGAGGGCGCTACCGGCCTCGCCTTCTTCTCCTCTCCTCTTCTCCTCCTCCCCTGGTCGATGGGAGGAGGTCAGGTGGAACGCTGGGGCCTACCGGGCCCGAAGGGGAGCCGTCGGGTCGACGGGAGACAGGCGGGCCGCGCAGCGGAGGCTCGGGAGGGGGCCGCCGGCCTCCTCTCCTCTCCTCTTCTCCTCCTCCCCTGGTCTCTTCTCCTCTCCTCTTCTCCTCCTCCCCCTCGGGAGGGGGCCGCCTCGTCCTCCTCTCCTCTCCTCTTCTCCTCCTCCCCTGGTCCTGGTCGGCGGGAGGAGGGCGGATGACGCGGTAGGGCCGGCTAGGCCCGAAGCGTTGCCGGTCTCGTCTCGTCCTCCTCTCCTCTCCTCTCCTCCTCCCCTGGTCGGCGGGAGGAGGGCAGATGGAACCCCGAGAAGGAGTAAGGTGGTTCCTGCTTCCTTCCCCCGGCAACAAGCGGCCTGGTCCAAACCTGCGCCGGCAAAATGGCGGCCGCGGCGCATCCAGTGCCGGCCCAGCCGACCAAGGCAGCAGCTCAGGCGGTGGCGAAGACTCAGCGCCGGGGTCGGGCACAGGAGGCACAGTGCCGGTGGCTCCGCCGGCCAACTCCTCACCAGGAAGGTCGACAGTGCTGGTGGGTTTCTTGGGAGGGCGAGCTGGGAGGGAGAGCTGGGAGAGCTGGCCGCGTTTCAATGGCGGCACTCCCTTGCCTCCTCTCGGCTCCTTCTGGTCCCTTCCTCTCAGTTTCTTAGTTCTTCCGAGGCCTTTCGGCCTCACTGCGACCGTGGTGGACGTTGGTCTCACCCCCTCCTTAATTTGATGGTCGGGGAGGGGGGATTCCCTAGGGTTACCTAGGATTTTGTCCCCTTCGTCAGCGCAGCTCAGCGTTGCCGCTGCTGACCGCCATACCCGGAACCGGAAGTTATTCATGTACATGTGTGATCTTTCACTCAAGATTTCATAAGTAAACTACTTTTACTACATCAACCAGATATGGAGTCTTTTGTTTTCTGGTGGCTCTGAATGTGTATTCCTTTGCATGCTAAATGGGGGTGCTGTGATCAATCATTAAGAAAGCTTTAACTCTGCCTGTAGTCTTCCTTTTGAAAGGCAAGCTGCCCTATCTCATACCTCTGGCTCTCCCATTGTGTTTAACTCTGCAAATGTAGTGCTTTAGAGGAAAGTATAACTTTTTCAAATATTTTAGTTTGCCTCTGGTCAAACGACCAAGCCCTTCCATGCTGTAAGCATTTACATAACCTCAATACAAGGTACCATCTAGTCCAGCATTTAACATTCTCGGCTGACCTGGGAATCTGTGGTTTTTCTTACAAGAGCCATGGTAATTAAAACTAGGCAGACCTATAAAAAACAGCAACAAGCCCCTCTCACCATTAATGTTTTCCCCTTCCCTTAGAAAAGGAAGAGAAGAACAAAACAAACAGAGATAAAAGCCTACTTCTCCCCAATAGTCAAAATACAGGAGCTGGAACAGAACTCCCCATTAGGTTCACCCCTGGGTTGGACCCTAAATCACTAGCCAAGGAATATTCAATCCCCATGAGAACTCAGGTATAAGCCTAGTTGAGGAGTTTGCCTTTGCTATGGATGGTTCAGATATCCCCAGTGGCAAGGGGGAGCGTAAGAGTCTTGTTCTAACATCCCCTGATGATGATGAGGACCCTAAGAACATTACAGAGGGCTACCTAAAGACAAATTCAACAGCAGAGGTTCTTAAAAATCCAGTTATAGCAAATCTGGTCAACCAAATTACAAACATGAATTCGGACATCCAAGTGATTAAGTCATATTTTACAGAAATAAACACCCTGCTGACTACAATCACACAATTCGTGGTTACACAGGAGGCAAGTAAGGAAAAAACACTTCAGATCACAAACCAAGACATGGAGATTGACAACTCAAGTGAAAAAGTGAACCAAGTAAAAAAGGCAAAATACAAAAATACAAAAGTATCCTCTAAACCCAGCAGAGCAGATAAAAAGGCAAAGTCCAAATGGCTCGATTTCTGCCATAAAACCATCTAACATGAACTTTCAAAAGCTTTTTAAACGTATGGACAAGAAGAAAGAGCAAACTATCACTGTGAAGTCCTCTAAAGCCAAGAAAGTCAAACTCAGCCACAATCCAGAATTTGAAAATAAAGGGTCAACTATTCAGACTAATCCAGGATCATCTCTAGAAGTCAACCAAAATATACTTCTATCTGGTGAGCCTCCAGAACCAGAAGATCCACTAGTTAACAGGATCCCTGGGAAAGTGCCTCTCTAAGGGGAAAGGAAAACAAGGTCAGCAGTGTAAAGAAATTGGTTTAAAAAAACCTTGATGGGGATTGGGAGTTGTTACTTGTCTTAAATAAGCTGGCGATTACTAACTATACCAAGCCCTGGGGTCTCCTATTGCATACAGCACAGGTAGACCACCTTCTAAGGGTATTAGAAGACATAAGAGTGAAGCTATCAGTCCAGTGGAAATTACCCAGAAAGAAGACCTATTTCATCATTACTCCCATGCACGGGCAGTTATAATGTGTATAAACAAGCAAGTCAACAAAATATAACAGTTCTCCTCCCACTCCATTATTTAAAAAGGAACTCAAAAGATCCTCTATGGATAACCAAAACCACTCTAATGTGGCCAGTCTCATAGATCTATTAGACATCCCTAAAACTTTAAATCAGCTTCCTGTAACAATGCAGCCAGAAATAGCACCCAGAAATTGCCTCAAATATTGTAATTTTTCCCCACTTGATTTCAGCCGAAGGTTTATTGACTGAAATAAAGGCAACTGACTGACTGACTGATGGATTTTGTCAAATTATGATATATTAGTTACAATAGTGTGGTGTGCTCTGGTCTGGTATGTTACTGGTGCTGAAATTAGAGTGTGTCTTACGATTGATTGTGTCTCAGAACTGAAGAAATATGGTATTATCTAGTCATTGTCTATAAAGGCTTCGTTTCTTTACCTGATTGGTCCATTTTTGTAGATTTCTCTCATCATATCTTCTCGCCCATGGATATATCCATAATCTCCCACTTTCCAGAGGGTGTAATTCTTTACCACATAACATTTGTCGAAAATAACACATGTCCCGCATTTTGTAAACTGTTTACAATCTGCAAAAATGTTGGTAAGAGAAAGCTTTGACTGACATGGAAAGTTACCTATCATCCAATAACCAAAAAGATTGAAATGAAATTCTGCAATGCCTGGCTTTCACATGGATTAGATTCTTTTAACTTATTTATTTATTTCACGGTGGTACACGCCACGGTGGTACACGCTCTTGTCACATCCCGCCTGGATTACTGCAACGCTCTCTACGTGGGGCTGCCCTTGAAGACGGCCCGGAAGCTTCAGCTGGTTCAGCGTGCGGCAGCCATGTTACTAACTGGAGCGGGTGGCAGGGAGCACACAACGCCCTTGTTGTCCCAGCTCCACTGGCTGCCAATTTGCTACCGGACCCAATTCAAGGTACTGGTTTTGGCCTTCAAAGCCCTAAACGGTTCCGGCCCAAAATACCTTGCTGACCGCATCTTGGCCTACGAGCCCACGAGGACCTTGAGATCGTCTGGGGAGGCCCTTCTCTCGATCCCGCCTGCATCACAGGCACGGCTGGCGGGGACGAGGGAGAGGGCCTTCTCGGTGGTGGCCCCCCGGCTGTGGAACACTCTCCCGGCACACATTAGACAGGCGCCCTCCCTCATGTCCTTTCGAAAAAGCCTTAAGACCTGGCTGTTCGAGAGGGCATTTAATTAAGTACGAGCAACAACACTACGGTAATGAGAACTGGAATGGTATAAGGATGATGAGACTAGCCTATGATTCTACTAAGAGACGAAGCGGATTTTTTGTAGTTTGTATTTGTTGTATAGTTATGTGTTGTGGATACTGGCTTTTGTAACTGTCTTTTTTATGTGTACTGTACACCGCCATGAGTCGCCCGTAAGGGCTGAGAATGGCGGTTAATAAGTGCATCAAATAAATAAATAAATAAATAAATACCTAAGCAGCCTCCTATTTAACTCATATAGGAATCGGGACACAATAATTAGAGAGCAGAGGAAGAAGCAGAATCATGCCCTTCTCTGTTTTCTACCAGCAAACTACTTTTCCATTTTGAACTCAATTTGCAGCAAATGAAGAAAACCAAGAAGAAGGAGGGAAATGAGAGATGGAAAGGAAAAACTATAAGATTTTTAAGTAATCTGAAGAACCAGCCTGTGAAAGGGTTAATCGGGTCTACAGAGTCAGACCTCTGACCTCTTGCAGAAGGAAATGCCAGGCACCTTTTCTGTGTTTGCCAGGAACAGAATGCTTGCAAATTCCAACATGCATTCTCTCTATTATACTGTACCGTTTTAATTATTTTTGAGTTAAACACTTCTGACTAGAAAACATAATTTATAATTTATAATAAGAGTAGAAAAACAAAACAGAAATCCAGGTCTTACTTTGATCCTTAGCTACATAATTGCTGCATGTCTCATCCGGGATGCCACGGCGATTGGCAAATGCCCACACGCGCATCTCATCACCACCCTTGCAACTCCCACCACGAGAACAATCCACAACATGCTGAACGGAGAGAAAAGTAGAAGGCCAGGCCCCTTTTCTCTTGATATTGATGCGGTCTGAGAAGTGGAGGCAAACAACAGTTGGTTAAAGGCACAGATAGAAACTTCCAATAACCTGCAGTTTGTGGAATATGTTACAGATCTAGGTTCTTGTGGGTTTTTTCGGGCTATAGAGCCATGTTCTAGAGGCATTTCTCCTGACGTTTCGCCTGCATCTATGGCAAGCATCCTCAGAGTGTGAGGTCTGTTGGAAGTAGGAAAAATGGGTTTATATATCTGTGGAATGGCTGGGGTGGGGCAAGGAGCTCTTCCCTGCTGCAGTTAGGTGTGAATGTTTAGCTGATCACCTTCATTAGCATTTGAAGGCCTTCCTGAGCCTGGGAAAATCTGTTGCTGGGAGGTGTTAATCTGTGCCTGGTTTTTTCCTCTCTGTTGTTTAGCTGTTATAATTTTAGAGTTTTTTTTAATACTGGTAGCCAGATTTTGTTCATTTTCATGGTTTCTTCCTTTCTGTTGAAATTGTCCACATGCTTGTGGATTTCAATGGCTTCTCTGTGTAGTCTGACATGGTGGTTGTGAGAGTGGTCCAGCATTTCTGTGTTCTCAAATAATATGCTGTGTACAGGCTGGTTCATCAGGTGCTCTGCTATGGCTGACTTCTCTGGTTGAAGTAGACTGCAGTGCCTTTCATGTTCCTTGATGCGTTCTGGGCGCTGCGTTTGGTGGTCCCTATGTAGACTTGTCCACAGCTGCATGGTATACGGTAGACTCCTGCAGAGGTGAGAGGATCCCTCTTGTCCTTTGCTGAACGTAGCATTTGTTGGATTTTCTTGGTGGGTTTGTAGATTGTTTGTATGTTGTGTTTCCTCATCAGCTTCCCTATGCGATCAGTGGTTCCCTTGATGTATGGCAGGAACACTTTTCCTCTGGGTGGATCTTCATCTTTACTCTCGTGGCTTGTTCTTGGTCTTGCAGCTCTTCTGATGTCTGAGGTGGAGTATCCATTGGCCTGGAGAGCCCAGTTGAGGTGGTTCAGTTCATCTTGGAGGAGGTGGGGTTCGCAGATTCTTTTTGCACGGTCTGCCAAGGCTTTAATGGTGCTTCTTTTTTGACTTGGGTGATGGTTGGAGTTTTTATGTAGATATCTATCTGTGTGTGTGGGTTTTCTGTGACCCAATTGTTGATCTGGTTTGCGGATGACTAGGACATCTAGAAAAGGCAGTCTTCCTTCATTTTCTTTTTCCATGGTGAACTGGATGTTTGGGTGGATGCTGTTAAGATGGTCCAGGAACCTGTTGAGTTCTTCTTCTCCATGGCTCCAAATGGTGAAGGTGTCATCCACATATCTGAACCATATAGTGGGCTTTTTGGTTGCTGTCTCCAGGGCTTGTTCTTCAAAGTGTTCCATGTAGAAGTTAGCTATGACCGGGCTGAGAGGGCTCCCCATAGCTACTCCATCTTTCTGTTCGTAGAATTCATTGTCCCACTGAAAGTAACTGGTGGTGAGGCAATGGTGAAACAGAGCCGTGATGTCTTCTGGGAACCTCTGGTTGATGAGTGCCATGGTGTCTGCTACCGGGACCATGGTAAATAGAGATACCACATCGAAGCTGATCAGTTTGTCGTTGTATTTAGCTTGAGATTGCTGATTTTTTCTATGAAGTGGGCTGAGTCCTTGATGTAGTGTGTAGTGAGCCCAATATGGCTTTGTAACTGTGCAGCAAGAAATTTTGCTAGGTCGTATGTGGGGATCCCATTGTCCCGGTAGCTTCCTGCACAGTTACAAAGCCATATTGGGCTCACTACCCACTACATCAGTTACAAAGCCATATTGGGCTCACTACACACACTATTGGCCATATTGTAACTGTGCAGCAAGAAATTTTGCTAGGTTGTATGTGGGGGATCCTCTCACCTCTGCAGGAGTCTACCGTATACCATGCAGCTGTGGACAAGTCTACATAGGGACCACCAAACGCAGCGCCCAGACACGAATCAAGGAACATGAAAGGCACTGCAGACTACTTCAACCAGAGAAGTCAGCCATAGCAGAGCACCTGATGAACCAACCTGGACACAGCATATTATTTGAGAACACAGAAATGCTGGACCACACCAACAACCACATGTCAGACTACACAGAGAAGCCATTGAAATCCACAAGCATGTGGACAATTTCAACAGAAAGGAAGAGACCATGAAAATGAACAAAATCTGGCTACCAGTATTAAAAAACTCTAAAATTACAACAGCAAAACACCAGAGAGGAAACAACCAGGCACATCTTAACACCTCTCAACAAAAGATTTTCCCAGGCTCAGCCAGGCCTTCAAATGCTAATGAAGGTGGTCAGTTGAAACATTCACACCTAGCTCCAGCAGGGAAGAGCTCCTTGCCCCACCCCAGCCATTCCATAGATATATAAACCCATTGTCCTAATTCCAACAGACCTCACTACCTCTGAGGATGCTTGCCATAGATGCAGGCGAAACGTCAGGAGAAATGCCTCTAGAACATGGCTCTATAGCCCGAAAAAACCCACAAGAACCTAGTGATTCCAGCCATGATAGCCTTCGACAATACATTGTTACAGATCTAATAGCATGAGTGGAATTTGCATCTCCATCAAGCCATGCCCTTGCCTAGAACACTCTAATCAGGAATACCATTCTCACAAAAGTAAGTGAGTGTCAACATGATAAAAGTTTCTCACCTGGAACCACTCTGAATTTGCATCCAAGTTTCAATTGATACTAACATGTAGTGCCCAAAATATTTCCCTTCAATTGATTGGGGAACCACATGGAATGGTAAGGTTATGGTTTCAAGGTGGGGTGTAAAAAAAAGGGAATTGTTGGAATGTGTCTCCCTTAACATCATAATACTGAGGAATAGATCATACTGATGTCCAGAAGCATATAAAGTCCCTTTCTCTATCCCAACTGCCACCGCATTTATCTTGGAGGAAGAGAAGAAGACACGGTATCTGCTGGACTTAATGCCGCCCCACGCAGCCGTCCCCGTTCTCTTTATGTCATGTCTTAATTAGATTGTAAGGCTGAGGCAGGAAGCCTAGAGAAACATTTCTTCCATAAACTTCCCACTGTAGTATATTCCTGTTACAGGAATGAGCAACTTCAGAAAGTTTTGAAGTTATTTGTTCTAGACCTTCAACTGTTTGTTTTTCTTCAAACCTGCCTTATGATGCTCCAAAAATGGCCCTTTGAAATGGAGACATTTGGGACATCATTGTGGTTGTTTTGATGGAGACCTTTTGGTATGGGAGAATTCAGCAGCTTAAGGGGCTACATTAAGGGATACATACACCTTACAGGTGCACTTAGTCTACTGCTGTTCCATGGGAGCTGCGGACAAGGACAGGGTGATAATCACAACAGGACAATAACAGCCACATACCGGCCAGGGCGCTGGTACTAGCGTGAGCCCAGCAAGATCCACAGAACTGTGGGACACCCTGGTTGCGAGTAGGGCTTGCGTAATTGACACCATTCACGTTTCTCCAGTCCCACTTCTTGGGGATTTCAGACATCTTCAGGTATTCATGTGGACGAGGGTAAGTTCTGTGATGCGAGAAACAGAATGGAGAATGTTATAATGTTTCTATAGTCAGACAAGGGTAGTAGCATCTCCTTCTCCAGCTTATCAAGTGGATGCCAGAAATAAATTAGAATCAACCTTTCGAAATGATCCCAAGAGCCATCCCGTCCAACACCATTCTGCGATGAAGGAATACACAATGAAGCCACGCCTGACAGATGGCCTCTGTTTAAAAACTCCCAAATAAGGAGATTCAGCTTCACTCGCAGTTAACTGTTACTGTCAACTTAACAGCAGCTAACAACAACAAAGCCATTGGTGGGCAAACTGCACCTAGTAAAATGTTCTCTTCTACCCAAATATCAAAGATAAAAGAGGCTTTTCATTCCTCATCTGTACACTCTGTTTGGCAGAGCAGGTTGCCAGATGTGTGGTCTAGCCTGGGCTATAGGGACAAGGAGAAGTAGGTTTAGCTAGGATTTCCACCTTACCTAACTCCTTGAATCCTGTGTGGCATTGGTTTGTAGCAACTTTCCCCTTCCTTGAAGTGGAGAGTGGCAGCTGATGCAGGAGAATGGCCGACATAGGCACAGAGCAGAAGTGCCAAGAGGAAGGAGGGCATGTGGGCATTTACCAGCATGGCTCCCGGTTCTTGTGACAGCCCCAGCAAAAGTAGGGTGCACACAGCTCCAACAGACCTACAAGAAAAAATATTTCTATAGATTTCAGCTTTAAAAATATTACAATAAGAAATAGTTATAGCAGGAAATATGCTCCTACCTGTTGTTGTTGTTTTCTTTGCCCTGGCTGCTATGAAATGCAGCTGGCCAGAGGGTTCCTTCCTTTAGGATATTGTCCAGTCTGCCATTGAAGTCAAAGATGTAACTGAATTGCTATATCATCTGAGCAGCCTTTTAATATTGTTTCTGTTCATATGTTCTTTCCTATCTCAGCTTTAGCATCTGTATTGATTGCCATCTGCACTGATATGTTCAACTGCCAAAATACTCCCGCAGCCTTTCAACTGTAAACTTTGGACTGCCCACAAGAAAGTTCTTCTTTTTCACTGTATTCTGGCATATACTTGGCTAGCCTTTTGCTTTTGGTTTTCTTGGATGGGGTGTATTGCTCTCCTCTATGTCAACTGGCATTCATGACTGCCATGTTTTTAAATTTGTCTTCCAATTCCTGCCATTGTTTCCAGAGAGCAAATTCATAATCTCTTTGCACACTCTTTTGCCCTTATACACATGGTCCATTGACTATTAGGAGAGTGCTTTCTAAAAATTGTAATGTGATTTTTGGTTGCACATGATTTTTTATCACATCATTACCATCTGGACAGATTGCCATCTGAACTGACAGCCACATTCTTTCCAACTGGCAAAATAAATACTTGCCTTTTCTTATTTTCAATAGCAATCCCTAAAAGTGTTTTCCTGTTCTCAATTTCTAACTACATTTATACATACCGCTAAAGGCAAATCCCTGATTCATCTTACATAAAAGCAGCAATCCATTTAAGAATGAGACTTCTGTGAGCAATAGTATTTGAGTGGTGGCTGCTGCAATACAGAGAGATCCAAAAGTGAGTTTGGGGTGGAGGGCAGCCCATACATTCTTCACTAGCAATTTGACAATTTAAAAAACCATCTTGGAGCTGAGCTATTCTTAACATTTCTCCCCTTACTGTGTGAGAAACTATATCAGTGTTTCTCAACCTGGGAGTTGGGACTCCTGGAGGGGTCGCAAGGGGGTTTCAGAGGGGTTGCCAAAGACCATCACAAAAGACATATTTTTGATGGTCTTAGGAACCCCTTTGGTAGAGAAGGCTGAAGATCTCTCTGCCTTTTCATCTCTTCCTTTTTAGAAACAGATGGTGAATCCTCCTACCAAAAGCCCTCCTCCTGTAGTTGGCTGGCCTCTCAGCGGGCTTCTCAGCCAAGGGGAGGATCATTTCTGAGACATCAAGTGGTGCACATGCATGGGTGAGGGAGAGCATGTGAGGCTGGAGGAAAGCTCATGCCAGTGAGTCTCTTCAAGGTAGGGGGAAAAGCATCCATGCTACATGAGAGTGGCCCAACAGCATCAGGAGGAGGAGCAGCAACAGAAGCAGCTTAGGTAATTGATAATGCTGTTTATTAGAAAGAATCCAGTCTTTCCTTTTGTTTTTTTAATTAATGCTCCCATTAGAAAATACATAACGATGTGGGTGAACTACAGCTCCCAAAATGGTGGGTCAGTCCTCTCCAAATCCCACCGGTATTCATAGTTGGCCATGTTGGGTCTGTTGTGCTCAGTTTGGTTCAGATCCATCATCGGTAGGGGTCACAAGGTTCTCTGGATGAAGGGAGAACTACAATTGTCATCATGTTGCGTCAGTCTCTCCCCCCCCCCCCCCAAACTCCACCAGTATTCAAAGTTGGCCATATTGGGTATTTGTGCCAAGTTTGGTCCAGATCCATCAGCTGGGTGCACATTGCTCTTTTAATGTGGGTGAAGTATAACTCCCAACTTCTGAGGTCAGTCCCCTCGAAAGCCCACCAGCATTAAAGTTTGGCATGTTAAGTTATGCCAAGTTTACTAGTTCCATCACCAGTCTGGTACAGAGTGCACTATGAGTGTTGGTGAACTACAGCTCCCACAATTCAGAAACAACCACCACCCAACCCCAGAAGTATTCAAGATTGGCCATGTAGGTAGTGTGCCAAGTTTGGTGCAGATCCACTGTGGGCTGGGTTCAGAGTGCTCTTTGATTGTAAGTTAACTATAAATTCCAGCAACTACAACTCCCGAATGACAAAATCAATCCTCTTCCAGGAAATTATTTCCCACTTAGCAAGTACAACATAGGGTTCTATTTTTTCCTGCCCAGGAAAATCTTTATATAAAAACCTATTTGTTTTCTTCTTTCTAAGCTCAGATCTTAGTAACTTGCATGGATCCTGTGGTCACTCACAATACGCATAACCCATGAATCTGGTAATCTGTTCTGCTTTCAAGAAACGGTGTGTCTTTCTGCGTTCCATTGTATTTCCACAAAACACTGAAAATATGTACAACGGCTGGTGGGGGGGGGGGGCAGCCTATTAATTCATGAAAAAGCATCTAATTTTCAGAAGGTATTGTAGCAGAAGGTATCTGTATCTAACCTAGAAATGGAGAACTGTGGCCTTTCAAACATACCCCTTTCTCTGCACTCACACACATTCACACAGATATATTTTTTGTTTGCAACTCAGTATATGCCATCAAAGGCTTAATCCTTCTCACCTGCTGCTTCTTGTCAAATTTTTAACATGATGTCAGGGAGCAGGTGATGAAAAAGCAAAATTTTGTGTTTTTGTGAGACTTCCCTTTCTCCCCTTTTCACTTCTGCTTCATCAAGGTGAAATGGATACCATGACTTTTTTCTAACAAACCTTAGGAATTGTAACTCTATTAAATTGTTGGGATACCTTCTCCTCCTTTAGAATTCCAGTTCCAGATAAAGTTGAATTGTAACTGGCTATCTGTTGGGGATACTTCAATTTTGCTTTTTCTGCATGGCAGGGAGTTGGACTGGATGGCCCTCATGGTCTCTTTCAACTCTGTGATTACATGATTCCTATCAGCAATCCGGCCTGGGATTGCTCCTCATCACAGCCATTTTGCTTGAATTACCCAATCGGCTCTTGCAAGGTATCCAATACAAGCCTGCTGGCATGAGATTTGCTTGGGCTGTGGGGGTTTTTTTGCATGTTTTTATAAATATATAGGATTGCTAGATCTCAAGAATCCAGTATCAGGGAATCAGAGTTTTAGCCAGTAACGATGGATGCCTTCAGTGTCGTGTGTGACTGAACATAACTTTAAAAGAGCTATCCGAAGTGCGGACTCCCATTTCTAAAAGAGGTTCAGCAATCTGGATTCACTGCCTCTCTGATATGCAAGCTATCAGTTACTGCTGTTAAGGTTCATTTGGAAAGTCTTCTTTGCACCATCAAAGCACTCCCAACAGATGGCCATGCTATTTCTATTGAAAATTCTCCAAGGAAGATGATACTACCACAATCCCTGGCAGTGCATTCTACTATTAAACAGCTCATAGATTAGGATGGCACAGGTAGTTTTAAAGCTTATTCTTTCAGACTCCATACCTTTCTATCTCTTTCTGACCAACAAAGAGGCAGAGACTAATGAAATGCAAAAGAATTATATTTGGAAAGCATATAGGAAAAAGATTGAAGAGGAGGAAATTTAGTAAATAATTGTGTACTTCACCTCTCTTTCATTCTTAGGCTCTCAAACTCTGCCCAAAAATGAGACATATAAATAGAACATTGCATGGCATGCCACACATGATACAGTCTCCTCTCCCCACCCCTGACCTTTCCTGCTCCTTTGGGTGAATGTTATGGGAAGGTTTGAATAGAAAAGGTAACTAAACAAACATATGAATCAAGGCTATTATAGTATTGCTATTTTGCACAGCTGAAAAGCTAACCCTACTTGTTTAAGGAAAGAAAGAAAATATTCTGTGGGATTTCTTCCAGAAGACAGGCATGCAAAAACAGGTCAAATGCAGATTCAAGGTATGATAGGGTCTCCATAGCTGCAGTCGTCTTCTATACCCAAGTTGAAGGCATTACCTTTTCCATTTTTATATGCACTCGTCACAATTCTAAACCAGCCACGTTCCCCCTGCAAAACATTAATTGATAAAGGCATATTGGAAGGAGCTCAAATTGAAGCAACTTGTTGGGATACTACTTTAAAAACACATATGCACCAAGAATTAATTGAATTATTCTGTGTTATTCCTGAAGGATGCAGGTGGTTGGGGTGGGATATTTGGATGTTTATGGGTAGACACAGAACTACATAATACAACAGCTGATCAGTGAGAGCCACGAGGGTAGGCCAGACATCCTTCCTAAGAGAATTAGACCAGGGGTAACAAATTTTCTGGTGATGGTTTGTGTCATGGCCAGCATTTAGTCTGACTTGGCTTGGCTGCTGCTAGGTGCTTGGAAGGAATTGGAATCTGACTCAGCTTCTTGGAAGGGGTCAAGATGACCTTTCCCTTTGAGGAATGCATCACAGCCTTCTGTGATGATCTATACTTGAACAAATTAGTAGCAACAGGAATCTCAGGAGAAATAATGGGTCTGGAAGAGACAGCTCTTTGGTAACAGATGATGTACCTTCATACTCATATCTTAGACCTTGGCTGTTACCCCAGATTAGAATGTTTGGCCCTAATCTTGTTCCTGTTCCTAACTATAAAGACTCTGAGAAGTACAAATCATTATGAAGTAACACCCCCTCCCCAATTGTTTACTCTGTCACTCCTTTCCACCTGCTACAAAGGAGGCTGTTCAGGTCCTGAACTGGTGCTTGGCCACTGTAACGGTCTGGATGAGGGCGAACAAATTAAAATTGAATCCAGACAAGACAGAGGTACTCCTGGTCAGTTGTAAGGCCAAACAGGGCATAGGGTTACAGCCTGTGTTGGACGGGGTTACACTCCCCCTGAAGACGCAGGTTCGGAGCTTGGATGTGATCTTGGACTCGTTGCTGAGCCTGGAACCCCAGGTTTCAGCGGAGACCAGGAGAGCATTCGCACAGTTAAAACTTGTGTGCCAGCTGCGCCCGTACCTTGGGAAGTCTGACTTGGCCACTGTCGTCCATGCTCTGGTTACATCCTGTATAGACTACTGCAGCGCTCTCTACATGGGGTTGCCTTTGAAGACTGCTCGAAAGCTTCAAGTGGTCCAGCGTTTGGCAGCCAGGTTGCTAACAGGAGCGGCACTCAGGGAGCATACAACTCCTCTGTTGCGCCAGCTCCACTGGCTGCCAGTTTGCTATCGGGCACAATTCAAAGTGCTGGCGTTAGCCTATAAAGCCCTAAACAGTTCTGGCCCTACTTACCTCTCCGAACGCATCTCCTCCTATGAACCGACTAGGACACTAAGATCATCTGGGGAGGCCCTGCTCTCTGTCCCGCCTGCATCACAGACGCGCTTGGTGGGGACGAGAGACATGGCCTTCTCAGTGGTGGCCCCTCGGCTGTGGAATGCCCTGCCTGCAGATATCAGATCAGCCCCCTCCCTGCTGGCGTTTCGGTGGAAAGTGAAGACCTGACTGTTCGAACAAGCATTTGATTAAACAGTGTAATTGAACATAGGAATACGGAATAATGGATGATGAGACTGGATTCTGATTTTACTGTTGAGGCGCTAATGATTGTTATACGGATATTTAATGATTTATGTTACAATTGTTTTTAATTGCCCTATACTTGTCTCGTGATGTTTTGTATTGATATTGTTCACCACTTTGAGTCACCTGAGGGCTGAGAAAAGCGGTATATAAATAAAGTAAATAAAGTAAATAAATAAATAATATTTTTCTGCACCAGAAATGCACAATCTACAGCCTGGGGTCAGAATTACTCTCCTCATGTTCTAGGGTCCTTTCACACTATCCTATAGTATTATGTTCCACTTTAATTGCCCTGGCAACACTCTAAGTCTATATGTGTGCATACATCTACATGCATGACAAATGTCATTTTTGGACCCAAACTTCCCCAGTCTACGCTGAAAAGGGTCTGCCTCCCTTTCGCTTCTCCTTTGATGGATTCGTGTTCATCACCTTCACACCTGTCATGGACTCCATTCATCCAACTAAAAACTTAAAGAACCACACACTCATCTCATTTGTGTTTCCATTTCCCGTCTTACCCAGGGCTCGCCCCAAGAGTTGCGGACAATCCAGTATTCGATTCCATCTTCTACTCCCCAGCCAGAAACACTGACAAGGTGGTTTGCCCTTGCTGTCATATTGTATTCAGTAAAAATGCCTCCTTTGTATTCATCCAGCTTTGGAGTCTGCATAATTGTACAGCTGTTTAAAAACAATAACAAAATACCATTTGAAAGATGCTGCTGAGATTCAATGTATTCTTTGGACACTGCCACCAAAATAAAGGATCACATCCTGATTATCTGAGAACATTGGAACTCTCAATAAGAAAAATAATCTTACAGGCTCATAACCACACTCCAAAGCCAAGTAACAAAGCTCCTCTATTAACGTGAAGGTTGTGCCACAGAATACTATGTCTACTACTTTTGGAGCTGTGGTGGCACAGTGGGTTAAACCCTTGTGCTGTTGAACAGCTCACCAGCAGGCTGGTTGAACTGTTGACCTGAAGGTTGGCAGTTCCAATGCACGAGAGCTCCCCTCTGTCAGCTCCAGTTCCTGTAAACTTAGCAGTTCAAAAACATGCAAATGTGAGTAGATAAATAAGTACCACTTTGGCGGGAAAAGACAAGAGACATTACAAGCAATCTTGCCGGCTATACAACTAGGAGGTGACAACGCAGGGTCCTCGGCTTGAAGATGGAGAAAAGCATCTCCTCAGAGCCAGAGATGAGCACCACCTCCAGAAGCCAAAAATGAAAGGAGAAGCCTCTGTCTTTGTTTGTGTGTCTCATTGTATGTGATTGTAAAAGGCATTGAATGTTTGCCTATGCGCATAAATGCTGTAATCTGCTCTGACTCCCCTAGGGGAAAAGGTTGGAATATAAATAAAGTGTATTATTATTATTATTATTATTATTATTATTATTATTATTACCACCACTGATTCCTCATCCTCATAAAATAAAGCAATGATGTAGGTTCAGCCTGTTCTAACTTCTTTCTGTAGTTGGATTCACCACTCACTAGACAAAATGAAATGGAAGAAATGAAAATTGCTGGTGTGAAAATTTCTTATAGTTTAAACTGTATCGTTTCAGAAATGCATAGGTTAAAACAATAGAGACATGTAGAATTGGTAGTGTGTCACTTTTGGAGTTTCCTGTTGAAACCAGAAAAGAAGCTTTGTAACATGCTGACCATGTGCTTCATGCAGCGTGCTAAGATGTGATCAGACATGATAGGAGATTTTGATGTATATTTTGTAAATAAAGATAAAAAGTGAAAGCTTAATTGAAGAGCCCGATACTTTTACAACTTTGTGCCTTCAAGTAGAACTTGGAAGGTTGAAGCAACTGATATAAGAATGATGATTTATCTTAATTTTTCACTGACAAATGTTATGGGCCCAGCACACTTCTGCTGCTCAAAGAAGCTAATGAGGACAATTAGCAGTAATGAGATTTATGGCAGGTAATGGAGTGAGCTTTGGAGTAAACTGCAGATGTGGCAACAGCTGGCTACAACCTACGATCTAGTGGATGAGAGTGAGTAGAGTCTTGATTAGCTTAAACCCAGGTCCTGAGGGTCACAAAGAGCTAGTTTGAAGTTGAGTGGATAACAAAAGTATCCAAGCAGGCTTAACAGCAGCTTGGGAGAGCTGTGAGAGAAACAGCAGAGATGGCAGCTGGAAGCCATAGTACCAGTATTAGTCAATCTTCTTCTGCTCCAGGTCTGAAACAAATTCAGACCCATTCAATCAACAGAAGCAGTGGTGTCACCACAGCATGAAGGCAATACAAACCTTCCCTGGAGGTTACACCAAGATGACTTGCCTATAAAATATTTCTGCAGCAGAAATTTACTGTAATTTTTTTAAAAAAAACATAAACTTGGATTAAGATGTAACTATGAAAATGTTTTCATAACCCAGTTTACCTACTCTATGCTAATTTGCTTTCTGATATCTTTTCATAATTTATAGGCATTTTGTTCAGAACTGTCATTATTACCCAATGACAATAATGGTATGAGATGGTTGGTCGCAGAATTCGGATTTAAATATGGCCAATCACTTAGTACTAATTTAAATGGATTTTAATTTAATTTAATGTTTTTTTACTTATTGTGTAATTGTTGTGTTTTATTATGTTTGTATGTGGGAGTTTCTAATTGTTGCCAGCTGTAAGCTGCCCTGAGTCCCCCTCCGGGTGTTGAGAAGGGCAGGGTACAAATGTTTCAAATAAATAGTAATAATAATAATATATAAATAACAATAAGCAGTTTCATCTGTACATGCTGGTTTTTCAAAATTGTTGATTTTGTCAAATTATGATATATTAGTTACAATATTGTGGAATGGTTTGGTCTGGTATGTTGCTGGTAGTGAAAGTAGAGTGTGTCTTACAATCAATGGTGTCTCAGAATTGAAGAAATATGGTATTATCTAGTTACTGTCTATAAAGGCTGGGCTTTAGCACAGGTTTACCACCAGCTGCAGTAAATTCTGCCAATTGAAAGGTTGACAGATCAAAGTCTGCGTTGGTGTGAGCTCTTGGCCTTTAGCCCAGTTTCTGCCTACCTAGCAGATCATGAGTAGATAATACAGTTGTGAGTAGATAAATAGGTACCACTTTAAAGCGGGGAGATATTTAAGGCACCTATAAGGAAATGGCAGAAAAAATGCTGGTGATTTGATCTAGGAGGAAGTTTATGAATAAAACTCTCCAGCAGGAAAGATGGAGCGACAGCAGCCGCCCCTCTCCCCCATGGCCAGAACCAAGCACAAGCCTCAAAGATGCCAAAGACGGAAAAGCCGATATATACCTCTGTCTATATACAGTTGTCTGTTTGCTGTATATGTGTTCCTTGATCCACCCTGAGTCCCGTTTGGGGTGAGAAGGGCAGAATATAAATACTGTGAATAAATAAATTTACCTGATTGGTCCATTTTTGTAGATTTCTCTCATCATATCCTCTCTCCCACTGATAGATCCAAAATCCCCCACTTTCCAGAGGGTGTAGTTCTTTACCACATAACATTTGTCGAAAATAACACATGTTCCACACGCTGTAAACTTTTTGCAATCTGCAAAAATGTTGATAAGAGAAAGCTTTGACTGACATGGAAAGTTGCCTTTCATCCAATAACCAAAACGGTTAAAATGAAATTCTGCAATGGGTTGTTGTAGGTTTTTTCAGGCTATATGGCCATGTTCTAGAGGCATTCTCTCCTGACGTTTCGTCTGCATCTATGGCAATCATCCTCAGATGTAGTGAGGATGCTTGCCATAGATGCAGGTGAAACGTCAGGAAAGAATGCCTCTAGAACATGGCCATATAGCCCGAAAAAACCTACAACAACCCAGTGATTCCGGCCATGAAAGCCTTCGACAATACAAATTCTGCAAAGTCTTCCTTTCATCTGGATTTGATCCTTTTTTACTTACTTACTTACTTATTTATTTATTTATTCACAGAGATACCTAAGGAGCCTCCTGATCACAAGTCACAAGAATTAGAGAGGGAAGGAAGAGGATGAATCTTGCCCTTCCCTGTTTTCAACCAGCAAACTACTTTTCCATTTTGAACTCCATTTGCAGCAAATAAAGTAACCCAAGAAGAAAGGAGGGAAATGAGTGATGGAAAGGAAAAACTAGAAGATTTTAAAGGCATCTGAAAAAAAGCAGTGAAAGGATTAATCAGGGCTACAGAGTCAGACCTCTGACCTCTTCCAGGGGAAAATGTCAGGCACCTTGCCTGTGTTTGCCAGTCACAGAATGTTTGCAAACTCCAACATGCATTCTCTGTATTATATTCTATTTTTCCATCTCAATTCTTTGTAAGTTAAGCAATTCTGACTAGAAAACAAAATCTATAATAGAGTAAAAAAAAATAAAACAGAAATCTAGGTCTTACCTTGATCCTTAGCTACATAATTGCTGCAGGTCTCATCCGGGATGCCATGGAGATAGGCATATAACCACACATAAACGTCATTTCCACCTTTGCAGCTCCCACCACCGGAACAATCCACAACATGCTGAACGGAGAGAAAAGTAGAAGGCCAGGCCCCTTTTCTCTTGATATTGATGCGGTCTGAGAAGTGGAGGCAAACAGCAGTTGGTTAAAGGCACAGATAGAAACTTCAATATTCTGCAGTTTGTGGAATATGCTACAGATCTAATAGCATGAGTGGAATTTGCAACTCCATCAAACCATGCCCTTGCCTGGAACACTCTATCCTACACACACTATCAGATTTTCTCATTTTCAATGGTTTAAGAATATTATTTTATAGCCAGACTATTCCCAGTTTTTCTCAAAGGGTTATCTCCCTCTGAAACTTCTTCATGCTTTCTGATATCTCCTTACAGGGAATTGGAAGTCACATAAGGCTACACAGAGATCTGCACTCAGAGAAATGATTTCAGTTACATAAGATGATAATGTTGGGATTTGCCCTGTTAAGTGATGGAAGATTTTGTCTAGGAGCAACATCCACTTTGCTAATTCCTCTAACAATCAGGAATACCATTCCCACAAAAGTCAGTGAATGATAAAAGTATCACGTGGAACCATTCTGAGTGTGACCTCTGTGCGCCTTTGTGTGTGTGTGACCTTGCATTGAGAAGAAAAATACACATGTATTGCCCAACATATTCCACTTCAAGTGGCTGAGGATCCACGTGGAATGGTAAGGCTATGGTTTCAAGGTGGGTGTAAATAAAAGGGAATTGTTGAAATGTGTCTCTCTCAGCAGCATAAAACTGAGGAATGAATTATGCTGATGTCCAGAAGCAGATAAAGTCCCTTCCTCTATATCAAGTACCACTACCTTTGTCTTGGAGCAATGGTTCCCAACCTGTGGTCTGTGGACCACTAGTGGTCTGCAAGAATGAAAATATGGTCAGTGGCATCACCATTACTACACTGTTGCTTCGAAACCACACAACAATGGGAGCAACTGAACCCACGAAACCCTCTTATAGTGCCTGGACAATGGGGCTGTCAAGACGGGAGAGGCTGACTACCCACGAAAGATTACTACAACCACCTCAGCTCTAGATTGTTAAATATGGTTTTCTGTGAGTGAGCAGATGGTGACTACTGGATGGCATATATTCTGTACCAGAAACTAGAGCTGTTGTGATCTCTCCAATGCAATTTTCTGAACCGGCACTCCAAGTAACCAAACCAAACATAAAGTTGACCAAAAACTGATTCATAACCTTTTTGGTACTAATGTTGGAGAGTGGTCCCTGGTCAAAGTGGCCCGTGGTCAAAGTAGTCCCTGGTCAAAAAAAGGTTGGGAACCACAGTCTTGGAAGAAGGGAAGAAGAGGAGTATCAGTTGGACTGAATGCAATCCCACACAGCCATCCCCTTTCTCTGCCTATCTTAATTAGATAGGCAGAAAGCCTAGAGCAATCTTTATTCCATAAATTTTCTCCTGTAGTAGATTCCTGTAACAGAGATTTACAACTTCTGAGGATTTGGAAATTAATTAGTCTAGACCAGGCATGGGCAAACTTCAGCCCTCCAGGTGTTCTTGCAGTTCAAGTCCAAAACGCTCAGAGGCCAAAGTTTGCCCATATCTGGTCTAGACCCTCATCTGTTCATTTTTCTTCAAACCTCCCAAAAATAGCCTTTTGAAAGGTCAATGGTTCTTTGGAGACATCTGGGACATAGTTGTGGCTGTTTTGATGGAGACCTTTTGGTATGGGAGAATAGGCCACATTAAGGGATACATGTGCCTTACAGATGCACTTGGTCTACTGCTGCTCCATGAGAGATGGGGACCAGCACAGGGTGATAATCACAACAGCACAATAACAGCCACATACCGGCCAGGGCGCTGGTGCTGCCGTGAGCCCAGCAAGATCCGCAGAACTGTGGGACGCCCTGGTTCCGAGTAGGGCTTGCATAATTGATGCCGTTCACATTTCGCCAGTCCCACCTCTTGGGGATTTCTGACATCTTCAGGTATTCATGTGGACGAGGGTAAGTTCTGAGATGCGAGAAACCGGATGGAGACTGTTATAATTTTTCTATAGTCAGACAAGGATCATAGCATTTCTTTCTACATCTTAATAAGTGAAAGCCAGAAATAAATTAGAATCATAGATCTCCAAGTGATCCCAAGAGCCATCTAGTCCAACATGTTTCTGACATGGAGGAATACACAATCAAGCCACATCTGACAGATGGCCATCCAACCTCTGTTTAACAACTTCCAAATAAGGAGATTCAGCAACGAGGAGTAGGTTTAGCTAGGATTGTCACCTTACCTAACTCCTTGAATCCTGTGTGGCATTGGTTTGTAGCAACTTTCCCCTTCCTTGAAGTGGAGTGTGGCAGCTGATGCAGGAGAATGGCAGACATAGGCACAGAGCAGAAGTGCCAAGAGGAAGGAGGGCAAGTGGGCATTTACGGGCATGGCTCTCATTACAGCCCCAGCAAAAGTAGGGTGCAAACAGCTCCAACAGACCTACAAGAAAAAAATATTTCTATAGATTTCAACTTTAAAAATATTACAATAAGAAATTGTTAAAGCAGGAAATATGCTCCTACCTTCTGTTGTTGTTTTCTTTGCCCTGGCTGCTATGAAATGCAGCTGGCCGGAGGGATATTGTCCGGTCTGTCAGTGAAGTCAAAGATGGAACTGAATTGTTCCATCATCTGAGCAGCCTTTTTAAATGGTTTCTGTCCATCCTATCTCAGTTTCAGTATCTGTACTGATTGCCATCTGCATTGATATGTTTAACTGCCTTTCAACCGTAAACTATGGTCTCCCCACAAGAATGTCCTTATTTTTCCCTGTATTCTGGCATATACTTGGCTAGTCGTTTTCTTTTGGCTTTCTTAAATGGGATGTGCTGCTCTCCTCCATGTCAACTGGCATTCATGACTGCCATGATTTCCAATTTATCTTCCAGTTGCTGCCATTGCTTCCAGAGGGCCAGTTCATAATCTGTTTGCACACTATTTTGCCCTTATACACATGGCCCATTGAGTTTCTAAAAACTGTAATGTGATTTGGGTTGCACTTGATAGTTTATCATACCATTACCATCTGGATAGATTGCCATCTGAACTGACAGTCACATTATTTCCAACTGGCAAAAGAAATACTCTCTCTTTTTTAAAGCTCAACCCAACCCAGGCTTTAGTGCAGTGAGTTAAACCACTAGCTACAGAAAACCTTGCCGATCTAAAGGTCGACAGTTCAAGCCCAGGTTGGAGCGAGCTCCCAAACATCAGCCGAGCTTCTGCTCACCTAGCAGTTCGAAAACAGTAATGTGAGTAGATAGATTGGTACCACTTTGGCAGTGAGGTAATAAAAGGCATCCATGCAGACATCAGTATAGTGTATAAAGAGAACGTAACTCCTCGGCAGGCCTGTAGGGAGGGGTTAAGGGTTCAACCCCCCCCCCCCCGAAATGTTTCAGATTTTTTAAAAAACCTGGTTTACTCATGAATTTTAACTGGTTAACCAAACCCCATGCTAAGTCTATGAGATGCAAAAATTTAAGAGTCCCTCCAGAACTGCAAGCACTATCTCAAGCAAATATTGGCAATTTATTCACACTGTCATTACTTGCAACAATAGCCGATGTAGTGAAGCAACCAAGTTGGGAGTGTGTGTGTTGAATGTTCTCATTAAGGAGGCCAGACTTGATGGAGGTGGTTGACAGGGGCGGAGCTGCAGGCTATTGAAGGCTGTGCTCTTTGCTTCGGCGTGAACTAGAAGGCAGGTTTCAACCCCTTCCCCTGCGAAATTTTCAACCCCCCCCCTCCGGAAATTTCAACCCCTTCCGAAATTTTTTTCTGGCCACGGCCCTGCTCGGCATTGAAGATGGAGCACCAAAGCCCCCCCCACCCCCTAGTGGCCAAAGCTGAGCACAGCCTCCAGATGCCAGGGATGGAAAAAGATGGGAAGCCTTTAGTTCTGCTTATGTACTGTCTGTTTTTGTTAATTGTATAATAGCATGGAATGTTTGCCGTACATGTGTTCTGTAATCTGCCCTGAGTCCCCTCTGGGAGATAGGATGGAATATAAATAAAGTGTTTCCTATTCTCCACATCTCATTACATGTATGTGCTTTGAATGCAATTTCCTGCTTCTTGGCAGGGGTTGGACTGAATGGCCCATGAGGTCTCTTCCAACTCCTTGATTCTATTATTCTAAACACAAATCCATGGTTCATCATACATAAGGGCAGCAAACCGTTTAAAAATGAGACTTTGGTGAGCAATAATATTTGAGTGGTGACTGCTGCATTAAAGAGAGATCCAAACGTGAGTTTGGGTTGGAGGGTAGCCCATACATTCCTCATTATAAATCTGACAATTTAAATAAACACTCTTGGAGCTGAGCTACTATTAATATTTTTCCCCTTAGTGTGGAGCATCTATATCATAGAATTAACACAGTTTGACACCACTTTAACTACTATAGCGCAGTGCTTTACAAGACCTTTAACTTTTTCTGCCAAAGTGTGCAGGTGCCTCACCATAGTTTTAGGGTATTTAGGTATTTTTGAAATATCCTTCCTGTCAATTCTCTTCTGGGAAATTATTTCACATTTAGCAAGTGCTACATAGGATACTATTTTTTTCCTTCCCTCAGGAGAAATCTTTATGAAAACCTATTTGTTTTCTTCTTTCTAAGCTCAGTTCTTCCTAATTGTAACTTGCATGAATCCTGTGGTCACTCACAATACGCATAACCCATGAGTCTGAGAACCTTATTACTTTGCAAATGCTTAAAACTACAGGTTCTGCTTTCAAGGAACTGTGTGTCTTTCTGTCTTTCATTGTATTGCCACAAAACACTGAAAACATGTACAACTGCTGGGTGGAAGGGGCAGCCTTTTAATTAGTGAAAAACCATCTAATTTTCAGAAGGTATTGTAGTGGAATGGCTCCAGGTGGCGCAGAGGGTTAAACTGCTGAGTTGCTGAACTTGCTGACTGAAAGGCTGGTGGTTTGAATCCAGGGAGTGGGGTAAGCTCCTCCTCTTAGTCCCAGATTCTGCCAACCTAGTAATTTGAAAACATGCGAATGTGAGTAGATCAATAGGTACTTCTTCAGCGGGAAGTTAATGATGCTCCATGCAGTGATGCTGGACACATGACCTAGGAGGTGTCTACAGACAATGGCGGCTCTTTGTCTTAGAAATAGAGATGAGCACCACCTTTTAGAGTCAGACATGAGTTAGAGTTAGAGCAGGTGATGAAAAAAGCAACACTTTGTGTTTTTTGTGAGACTTGCCTTTCTCCCCTTTTCGCTTCTGCTTCATGAAAGTGAAATGTATACCATGACTTTTTCTAACAAAACTTAGGAATTGTAGCTCTGTTAAATAGCTGGGATATTTTTTCTCCACCTTTAGAATTCCAATTCCAGATGAAGCTGGATTGCAACTGGCTATCTGTTGGGGATACTTCAGTTTTGCTTTTCCTGCATGGCAGGGGGTTGGACAGGATGACCCTCATGGTCTCTTTCAACTCTTGTGATTCGATGATTCCTATTGGCTAAACAGGCTGGGATTGCTCCTCACCACAGCCATCTTGCTTGAATTGCCCAATCAGCTCTTGCAAGGTATCCTACACAAGCCTTCTGGTATGAGATTTGTCTGGGCTGTGGGGTTTATTTTTGCATGTTTGTATAAATATATAGGATTTCCAGACCTCAAGAATCCAATATCTAGTCCAACGGGCGGCAGCTAGATGAATCACCGGAGCGTCATACAGGGAACATACCACTCCTCTGTTATGTCAGCTCCACTGGCTGCCGATCCAGTTCTGAGCACAATTCAAAGTGCTGGTTTTGACCTATAAAACCCTATATGGCTCAGGCCCAGAGTACCTGTCCGAACGTATCTCCTTCTATGTTCCACCTTGGAGTTTAAGATCTTCTGGCGAGACCCTGCTCTCGGCCCCGCCTCTATCACAAGTGAGGTTGGTGGGGATGAGGGACAGGGCCTTCTCAGTGGTGGCCCCTCACCTGTGGAATTCACTCCCCGGGGAAATTAGGTAATCAACATCCCTCCTCTCCTTCAGAAGGAAGCTGAAAACATGGATATGGGACCAGGCTTTTGGGTAATCTGGCAGACTGACAAGGTAATGACGACCAGAATTTGGAAAGGACTATGGTAATGCTGAATGGACTTATGGATTTTAGAACTCGGTGAACATTGGCCACTAGATTGGCTTTTTAGTTGTTATTGTATTAATTGAATGTTTTAATTATTGTGGTTATTGCTGTCATGTATTTTATCTGATGAATTGTTGGCATCGAATTGTGCTGGTTGTAAGCTGCCCTGAGTCCCCCCTAGGGAGTTGAGAAGGGCGGGGTAGAAGTGCCCTAAATAAATAAACAAACAAATAATAACTACCAGGGAATCAGAGTTTTAGCCAATAACAATGCCTTCCATGTCCAAGTGTTACTGAATACAACTTTACAGGAACTATCCAAAGTGCTGATTCCCATTTCTAAAAGAAATTCAGCAATTTAGATTCACTGCCTCTCTGATATGGAAGCTGTCAGTTACTGCTATAAGGTTTATTTGGAAAGTCTTCTTTGCACCATCGAAGCACTCCCAGCAGATGGCCATCCTATCTCTATTTAAAATTTGTCAGAAATATTAAAAATCAACTAGGTATGTTTTGATTGCAAAAGTGTGAGTCAAGCACTGAAAGAGCTAGCAGGCTGTAGCCTGTTAGAGTTAGTGGGCCAAAGCTAGTGTCACCCTGAGGAGAGTGACCAGACCCAGGCCTGTTAGTGTTAGTTTGCTTCACTGAGGGAACTCCTCAGTCTAGTTGAGGAGGCTTCTCTGTGAGGTAGGCTTCACAGTATGAGAAAGACCTGGTATGAGAGAAGCCTCATGTGTAAAGCTCCAGTATAAAGGCTTCTGCGTGTAAAGCTACTATGTATTTGTTTATTTGGGTTATGGAAACCTAGATCTTGTAAATAGTGTAACTCTATTATTTTACTACAAAGAAAAGCCTCCTATGGAAGAGATAACATTGGTCGGTGTTTTTGTTTATCACTTGGGCTACTGGTACTGGGTAGCACTGCTACTAATATTCATGGAGAGTGTGTTTTGTTAATAAGTTTTGTTAACAAAGGTTATGGGCCCAGTATAGCTAAGTATAACCCAGAGTAGCCCAGTACAGACCAATAGAGATCATATTGTGGTTGAAGATAATGACTTGAGGGCAGATGAGCGTTCAAAGGCTTCTATCATATTGGCATTAGAGGACAGTCAACTGCCATTTCAAGATGAAGTTCAGCAATCTGGATTCACTTCCTCTCTGATATGCACGCTATCATTACTGCAGTTAAGGTTCATTTGGAAAGTCATCTTTGCACCATCAAAGCACTCCCAACAGATGGCCATCCTATCTCTATGGAAAATTCTCCAAGGAAGATGATATTACCACAATCCCAGACAGTGTATTCTATTATTAAACAGCTCATAGATTAGGATGACGCAGATCATTCTAAAGCATGTTCTTTCAGACGCCGTACCTTTCTATCTCTTCCTGACCAACAGAGAGGCAGAGACTAATGAAATGCAAAAGAGCTATATTTGGAAACATGTAGGAAAAAGATTAGGGAAGGGGTAACTTAGTAAATAATGATGTACTTCACCTCTCTTTCATTCTTAAGCTCTCAAACTCTGCCCAAAAATGAGACATAACTGAATGTAAACAGTGGGAGACAGGATGCAGTCTCCCTCCCACTCTGCCCCTTCCCACTCCTTTGGGTGAATGTTATGTGCAGGTTTGAATAGAAAAGGTAACTAAACAAACATATGTCTCTAGGCTATTATAGTATTGCTATTTTGCACAGCTGAAAAAACTAACTTTACTTTTTTTAAGGAAAGAAAAAAAACTATTCTGTGGGATTTCTTTCAGAAGACATGCCTGCAAAGACAGCTCAAATGCAGGTTCAAGGTATGATAGGGTCTCCATAAGTGCAGCGTTCTTCCACACCCAAGTTGAAGTCATTGCCTTTTCCATTTTTATATGCACTCGTCACGATTCTAAACCAGCCACGTTCCCCCTGAAAGACATTAATTGATAAAGGCATATTGGAAGGAGCTCAAGTTGAAGCAAATTGTTAGGATACTACTTTTAAAACGGTTGTGCACCAACAGTGAATTGAACTGTCCTGGGTTATTCCAGAAGGGTGCAAGTGGTTGGGATAGGATATTTGGGTAGACACAGAACCACATAATATGACAGCTGATCAATGATAGCCACGAGGTTAGGCCAGGCATCTTTCCTAAGAGATTTAGACCAGGGAAAACCAATTTTCTGGTGGTGGTTTGTGGCCAGGAAATAGTCTGGCTTGGCTTGGATGCTGCTGAATGCTTGGAAGGAGTTAATCTGACTCAGATTCTTGGAAGGGGTCAAGATGATCTTTCCCTTTGAAGACTGCAGCAGAGGCTTCTGTGATGATCTGTACAGGTTTGACTAAATGAGTAGTAACAGGAATCTCAGGATAAACAATAGGTCTGGAAGAGACAGCTCTTTGGTAACAGATGACTTAGTACCTCCATACTAGTTTCTTAATCTTTGGCTATTACCCCGGTTTAGACCCTCACCTTGTTCCTGCAGTGCAACTATAAGGCCTCTGAGAAGTACAAATCATTATGAAGTAAACCCCCATTTTTAATTTATCTACACCAGAGATGCACAATCTATAGCCTGGAGTCCGTATGACTCTTCTCATGTTCTACGGTCCTTTCAAGCTATCCTATAGTGTTATGTTCCACTTTAATTGCCCTGGCAACATTCTAAGTCTATATGTATCCATACATCTACATGCTTGACAGATGTAATTTTGGACCCAGCCATCCCCAGCCTACGCTGCTCAAGACTGAAAAGGGTTTTCCTCCCTCTTGCATCCTCTTTGAGGGAATAGTGTTGATCATCATCACACCCACCATGGACTCCATTCATCCAATTAAAGCCTTAAAGAGCCACACACTCATCTCACTTGTGTTTCCATTGCACGTCTTACCCAGGGCTCGCCCCAAGAGTTGCGGACAATCCAGTATTCGATTCCATCTTCTACTCCCCAGCCAGAAACGCTGACAATGTGATTTGCCCTTGTTGACTCTCTGTATTCAGTAAAAATGCCTCCTTTGTAATCATCTAGCTTTGGAGTCTGCATAATTGTACAGCTGTTTAAAAACAATAACAAAATACCATTTGAAAGATGCTGCTGAGATTCAATGTACACTGTAGATACTGCTGCCGAAATAAAGGATCATAGTCTGATTATCTCAGAATATTGAAACTCTCAATAAGAAACATAACCTTACAGGCTCATAACCATACTAGAAGGCTGTGTAACAAAGCTCCTGTATTAACTTGAAGGTAGTGCCACAAAATAGCATGTCTACTACTACTCCAGCAAAGGATCACCGCCTTGTCGGGGCGCTGGAGCTTGAGCACCTCAATGATGTCATGAGCGAAACCGTGAAGGGACACCCAAGACGGGACGGTTGTGGCAGAGAGGTCAGACCAAGCGTGATCCCTGGGGAAGGCAATGGCAAACCACTCCAGTATCCTTGCCAAGAAAACTAAATGGACCAGTACAACCAGAGATATGTCGGTATGCCATTGGAAGATGGGACTCCCAGGTCGGAAGATGGCCAAAATACTACTGGGGAGGAGCAGAGGATAAGTTCAACTAGTCCCAGATGTGATGACGCAGCTAGCTCAAAGCCGAAAGGAAGGCTAGCGGCCGACGGTACTGGAGGTGAACGACGAATCCGATGCTCTAAAGATCAACACACCATAGGAACCTGGAATGTAAGATCTATGAGCCAGGGCAAATTGGATGTTGTTATTGGCGAGATGTCAAGACTAAAGATAGACATTCTGGGGGTCAGCGAACTGAAGTGGACTGGAATGGGCCACTTCACAGCAGATGACCACCAGATCTACTACTGCGGACAAGAGGAACATCGAAGAAATGGAGTAGCCTTCATAATTAATAAGAAATTCGCTAAAGCGGTGCTTGGATATAACCCAAAAAATGACAGAATGATCTCAATTCGAGTGCAAGGAAAGCCTTTCAACATTACAGTGATCCAAATATACGCCCCAACCACAGCTGCCGAAGAAGCAGAAGTAGATCAGTTCTATGAGGATCTGCAGGACCTACTGGATAATACACCAAAAAGAGACATTATTTTCATTACAGGAGACTGGAATGCCAAGGTGGGAAGTCAAATGACAACTGGGATCACAGGCAAGCATGGTCTGGGAGAACAAAATGAAGCGGGACGCAGGCTGATAGAATTTTGCCAGGAAAACTCGCTGTGTATAACGAATACTCTCTTCCAACAACCTAAAAGACGGCTTTACACATGGACCTCACCAGACGGTCAACACCGAAATCAGATTGACTACATCCTTTGCAGCCAAAGGTGGCGGACATCCATCCAGTCGGTGAAAACAAGACCTGGGGCTGACTGTAGCTCAGATCACGAACTTCTTATTGCCAATTTAGAATAAAACTAAAGAGATCAGGGAAAATACACAGACCAGTTAGATATGATCTCACTAACATTCCTAGCGAATATACAGTGGAAGGGAAGAACAGATTTGAAGGACTAGATTTAGTAAACAGAGTCCCAGAAGAACTATGGACAGAAGTCCGAGACATTGTTCAGGAGGCGGCAACAAAGTACGTCCCAAAGAAAAAGAAAACCAAGAAGGCAAAATGGTTGTCTGCTGAGACACTGGAAGTAGCCCAAGAATGGAGGAAAGCAAAAGGAAACAGGGATAAGGGGAGATATGCCCAGTTAAATGCGCAATTCCAGAGGTTAGCCAGAAGAGATAAGGAACTATTTTTAAATAAGCAATGCATGGAAGTGGAAGAAGACAACAGAATAGGAAGGACAAGAGACCTCTTCCAGAAAATTAGAAACATTGGAGGTAAATTTCAGGCAAAAATTGGTATGATAAGAAACAAAGATGGCAGGGACCTAACAGAAGCTGAAGAGATCAAGAGAAGGTGGCGAGACTATACAGAAGATCTGTATAGGAAGGATAATAATATTGAGGATAGTTTTGACGGTGTGGTGAATGAATTAGAACAGACATCCTGAGGAGTGAGGTTGAATGGGCCTTAAGAAGCATTGCTAACAACAAGGCAGCAGGAGATGACGGGATCCCAGCTGAACTGTTTAAAATCTTAAAAGATGATGCTGTCAAGGTGATGCATGCCATTTGCCAGCAAATATGGAAAACACAAGAATGGCCATCAGACTGGAAAAAATCAACTTATATACCCATACCAAAAAAGGGAAATGCGAAAGACTGCTCAAACTTCCGTACAGTGGCCCTTATTTCTCATGCCAGTAAGGTAATGCTCAAGATCCTGCAAGGAAGACTCCAGCAATACATGGAGCGAGAGTTGCCAGATGTTCAAGCTGGGTTTAGAAAAGGCAGAGGAACGAGAGACCAAAATGCCAATATCCGCTGGATAATGGAGAAAGGCAGGGAGTTTCAGAAAAACATCTACTTCTGCTTCATTGACTATTCTAAAGCCTTTGACTGTGTGGATCATAATAAATTGTGGCAAGTTCTTAGTGGGATGGGCATCCCAAGCCACCTTGTCTCTCTCCTGAGGAATCTTACAAGGACCAAGTAGCAACAGTCAGAACTGACCACGGAACAACAGACTGGTTCAAGATTGGGAAAGGCGTACGGCAAGGCTGCATCCTCTCACCCAACCTTTCTAACTTGTATGCAGAACACATCATGCGAGGATGTGCGGGGCTGGATGAATGCAAAGCTGGGGTGAAAATTGCTGGAAGAAACATTAACAACCTCAGATATGCAGATGACACCACTCTGATGGCCGAAAGCGAGGAGGAGCTGAGTAGCCTTCTAATCAAGGTGAAAGAAGAAAGCGCAAAAGCCGGGTTGCAGCTAAACGTCAAAAAAACCAAGATTATGGCAACAAGAATGATTGACAACTGGAAAATAGAGGGAGAAACCGTGGAGGCCGTGACAGACGTTTGTATTTCTAGGTGCAAAGATTACTGCAGATGCAGACTGTGGCCAGGAAATCAGAAGACGCTTACTTCTTGGGAGGAGAGCAATGTCCAATCTCGATAAAATAGTAAAGAGTAGAGACATCACACTGGCAACAAAGATCCGCATAGTCAAAGCCGTGGTATTCCTTGTAGTAACCTATGGATGTGAGAACTGGACCATAGGGAAGGCTGAGCGAAGGAAGATCGATGTTTTTGAACTGTGGTGTTGGAGGAAAGTTCTGAGAGTGCCTTGGACTGCGAGAAGATCCAACCAGTCCATCCTCCAGGAAATAAAGCCTGACTGCTCACTGGAGGGAAAGATACTAGAGACAAAGTTGAAGTACTTTGGCCACATCATGAGGAGACAGGAAAGCCTAGAGAAGACAATTATGCTGGGGAAAGTGGAAGGCAAAGGAAGAGGGGCCGACCAAGGGCAAGATGGATGGATGGCATCCTTGAAGTGACTGGACTGACCTTGAGGGAGCTGGGGGTGGTAACGGCCGACAGGGAGCTCTGGCGTGGGCTGGTCCATGAGGTCACGAAGAGTCGGAGACGACTGAACGAATGAACAACAACAAACTACTTTTGGAGCTGCTGTGGCACAGTGGGTTAAACCCTTGAGCTGCTGAACTGCTGACCTGCAGGTCGGCAGTTCCAATGCTTGTCTTACCCAGACGTGCAATGGACCTGCAGGCTGACTGAACTGCTGACCTGAAGGTCGGCAGTTCCAATGCTTGAGAGGTGGTTAGCTCCCATCTGTCAGCTCCAATTCCTGCAAACTTAGCAGTTCAAAGACATGCAAACATGAGTAGATAAATACGTACAACCGGCAGGAAAAGACAAGAGACATTACCAGCAATCTTGCCGGCTATACAACTAGGAGGTGACAACACAGGCTTGAAAATGGAGAAAAGCACTTCCCCAGAGACAGAGATGAGCACCGCCTCCAGAAGCCGGAAATGAAAGGAGAAGCCTCTGTCTTTGTTTGTGCATCTCATTGTATATGATTATAAAAGGCATTGAATGTTTGCCTGTGTGTGTAAATACTATAATCAGCTCTGAGTCCCCAAGGGGAGAAGGGTGGAATATAAATAAAGTGTATGATGATGAGTAGATGATTATCTGTCGGGAGTGCTTTGAATCCTATTTTCCTGCTTCTTGGCAGGGGGTTGGACTGGATGGTCCATGAGGTCTCTTCCAACTCTATGATTCTATGATGATGATTATTATTACTACCACCACTGATTCCTTATCCTCATAAAATAAAGCAATGATGATGTAGCCTGTTCTAACTTCTTTCTGTAGTTGGATTCACCACTCACTAGAAGAAATGAAATGGAAGAAATGAAAATTGCTGGTGTAAAAAATGCTTATAGTTTAAACTGTATGGTCAGGGGTGGCTCAACCATTATGCAAAGTAAGCATTTGCAGTACAGTTGATTTTGCCCCGGGGCGGTCTTGAGGCGCTCTTGGGGGGAAATAGACCTTGACATATGCGAGTTGTAGTTACTGGGATGTATAGTTCACCTACAATCAAAGAGCATTCTGAACTCCACTAATGATGGAATTGAACCAAATATGGCACACAGAACTCCCACGACGAACAGAAAATATATATCAGTGATTGGTTGGTGGTGGTGGGGGGGGGGGGGGGGGGGGGGGGCAAAATACTGTTTGCTTACCGTTGAAAATTACCTAGGGCCGCCTCTGTGTATGGTTTCAGAAATTCTTAGGTTAAAACAATAGAGATATGTAGAATTGGTAGAGTGTCACTTTTGGAGTTTCCTGTGCAGACCGGAAAATAAGCTTTGTAACATGCTACTTCATGCAGTGTGCAGTGTGCTAAGATGTGATCAGACATGATAGGAGATTTTGATGTATATTTTGTAAATAAAGATAAAAGGTGAAAGCTTAATTGAAGAGTCCGATGTTTTTACAACTTCGTGCCTTCAAGTAGAACTTGGAAGGTTAAAGCAACTGATATAAGAATGATGATTTATCTCAATTTTTCACTGACAAGTGTTATGGGCCCAGCACACTTCTGCTGCTCAAAGAAGCTAATGAGGACAATTAGCAGCAATGAGATTTATGGCAGGTAATGGAGTGAGCTTTGGAGTAAACTGCAGATGTGGCGACAGCTGGCTACAACCTACGATCTACTGGATGAGAGTGAGTACAGTAGTGATTAGCTTAAACTCAGGTGCTGAGGGTCACAAAGAGGCAGTTTGAAGTTCAGTGGATTACAAAAGTATGCAAGCAGGCTTAACAGCAGCTTGGGAGAGCTGTGAGAGAAACAGCAGCGATGGCAGCTGGAAACCATAGTACCAGTATTAGCCAGTCTTCTGCTCAAGATCTGAAACAAATTCAGACCCATTCAATCAACAGAGTGAAGAACCTGAAGCAGTGGTGTCACCACAGCATGTAGGCAATACAAATCTTCACTGGAGGTTACACCAAAATGACTTGCCTATAAAATATTTGTACAATACAAATTTATTGTTATTTTTATATCTAACCATCCTTCCATCCTTCCATCCTTCCATCCTTCCATCCTTCCATCCTTCCATCCTTCCATCCTTCCATCCTTCCTTCCTTCCTTCCTTCCTTCCTTCCTTCCTTCCTTCCTTCCTTCCTTCCTTCCTTCCTTCCTTCCTTCCTTGTAGTTAGATATAACCATGAAAATGTTTTCATAACCCAGTTTACCTTCTCTATGCTAATTTGCTTTCCGATTGATATCTTCTCATAATTTGTAGTCACTCTGTTCAGAACTGTCATTATTACCCAATGATGGTGTGAGATAAATAGTTTCATCTGTACATGCTGGTTTTTGAAAATTGTTGGTTTTGTCAAATTATACTATATTACTTAATATATTGTGGAGTGGTCTTGTCTGGTATGTCGTTGGTACTGAAAGTAGAAAGTATGGTGTCTCAGAATTGAAGAAATATGGTATTATCTAGTCACTGTCTATAAAGGCCGGGCTTTAGCACAGCAGGTTTAGTGCCAGCTGCAGTAAATCTTGCCAATCGAAAGGTTGACAGATTAAAGTCCAGGTTGGAGTGAGCTCCTGGCCTTTAGCCCAGTTTCTGCCTATCAAGCAGATCAAAAGCAAATGTGAGTAGATAAATAGGTACTGCTTTAAAGCAGGGAGGTATTTAAGGCACCCATAAGGAAATGCTAGAAACATTTTGGTGGTTTGATCCAGGAGGAAGTTTATGAACAAAACTCTCCAGCAGGAAAGATGGAGCGACGGCACCCCTCCCCCCCCCCACACACACACACAATGGCTAGAGCAAAATACAAGCCTCCAAGATGCCGAAGATGGGAAAGCGTATATATACCTGTATCTATGTACAGTTGTCTGCCTTGTCAATGTATCATAGCATTGAATGTTTGCCATATATGTGTTCTGTGATCTGCCCTGAGTCCCCTTTGAGGTGAGAAGGGCGGAATATAAATACAGTGAATAAATAAATTTACCTGATTGGTCCATTTTTGTAGATTTCTTTCATCATATCCTCTCTCCCACTGATAGATCCATAATCTCCCACTTTCCAGAGGGTGTAGTTCTTTACCACATAACATTTGTCGAAAATAACACATGTTCCACATGCTGTAAACTGTTTACAATCTGCAAAAATGTTGGTAAGAGAAAGCTTTGACTGACATGGAAAGTTACCTATCATCCAATAACCAAAAAGGTTGAAATGAAATTCTGCAATGCCTTCCTTTCATCTGGCTTTGATCAATATGAAAGGAAAAACTAGTAGATTTTAAAGGCATCTGAAAAAGCAGTGAAAGGATTAATCAGGGCTAGAGAGTCAGACCTCTGACCTCTTCCAGGGGAAAATGTCAGGCACCTTGCCTGTGTTTGCCAGGCACAGAATGTTTGCAAACTCCAACATGCATTCTCTGTATTATACTCTACTTTTCTGTTTTAATTATTTGTGAGTTAAGCAATTCTGACTAAGAAACAGAATTTATGATAGAATAGAAAAATAAAACAGAAATCCAGGTCTTACCTTGATCCTTAGCTACATAATTGCTGCATGTCTCATCCGGGATGCCATGGCTGTTGGCATATGACCACACAAACATGTCATTTCCACCATTGCAACTCCCACCACCAGAACAATCCACAACATGCTGAACTGAGAGAAAAGTAGAAGGCCAGGCCCCTTTTCTCTTGATATTGATGCGGTCTGAGAAGTGGAGGCAAACAACAGTTGGAATATGTTTCAGATCTAATAGCATAAGTGGAATTTGGAGTTCCATCAAGTCATGCCCTTGCCTAGAAAACTCTATTCTACACACACTATCAGATTTTCTCATTTTCAATGGTTTGAGAATATTATTTGTTTTTAACTGACAGTTTGTTAGCCTGCCTATCCCGTTTTCCTCTAAGGTTTTTTTGTCTCCCTCTGAAACTTCTTCAAGCTTGCTGATATCTCTGTATGGGGCACACACAAGGCTACACAGAGAACTGCACTCAGAGAAATTATTTCAGTTACATAAGATGGTAATGTTGGGATTTGCCCTGTTAAGTGATCCAAGATTTTGGCTAGGAGCAGCAATCACTTAGCTAATTCCTCTAACAATCAGGAATACCATTCCCAGAAAAGTCAGTGAATGAGTCAAGATGTCAGCATGATAAAAGTCATACCTGGAACCACTCTGAGTGTGACCTCTGTGCACCTTTGTCTGTATCTGATCTCAGCATTGAGAAGAAAAATATGTTTGCACCCAAGTTTCAATTGATGCTAACATGTACTGCCCAACATATTCCACTTCAAGTGGCTGTGGAACCACATGGAATAGTAAGGCTATGGTTTCAAGGTGGGGTGGAAATAAAAGGGAATTGTTGGAACGTGTCTCCCTTAACAGCATAATACTGAGGAGTGAATTATGCTGATGTCCAGAAGCAGAAAAAGTTCCATCCTCTATCCCAAGTACCACTGCCTTTGTCTTGGAGCAGTCATTCTTAACCTTTGGTCTGTGGACACTAGTGGTCCGCAAAAAAAAAAGGGTCAGCTGTATCACCATTACTACACTGTTGTCTCGAAACCACACTTCAATGAGAGCAACTGATCTTGTGAAACCCTCTTATAGCACCAAGACAATGGGGATGTTGGGAGGGGAGAGGCTGACTACTCATGAAAGATTACTACAACCACCTCAGTTCTAGATTATTAAATATGGTTTTCTGTGGGTGAGCAGATGGCAACTACTGGATGGCATATATTCTATATCAGAAACTAGAGCTGATGTGGTCTATCCAAAGCAGTTTTCTGAATCAGCACCTGAAGTAACCAAACCAAATCTAAAGTTGACCAAAAACTGATTCATAATCTTTTTGGTACTAATGTTGGATTATGGTTCCTGGTCATGTAGTCACTGATCAAAAAAAGCTTGGGAACCACTGCCTTGGAGGAAGGGAAGAAGATTAGTATCAGCTGGACTTAATGCAATCCCACACAGTTGTCCTCCTTCTCTTTGTGTCATGTCTTAATTAGATTGTAAGGCTGAGGCAGGAAGCCTAGAGCAAAGTTTTCCCCTATAGAAGATTCCTGTAACAGAGATATACAACTTCAGAGGATTTGGAAATTAATTGTTCTAGACCAGGTATGGGCAAACCTCAGCCCTCTAGTTGTTTTGGCTGAACTCCTGGAGGGCTGCGGTTTGCCCATGCCTGGTCTAGGACAATTGATAAACCCTCATCTGTTCGTTTTCCTTCAAACCTGCATCCTGAAGGTCCCAAAAATAGCCTTTTGAAAAGGTTAATGATTCTCTGGAGACATCTGGGACATCATTGTGGTTGTTTTGATGGAGACTTTTCGGTATGGGAGAATGGGCCACATTAAGGGATACAGATGCACTTGGTCTACTGCTGCTCCATGAGAGATGGGGACAAGGACAGGGTGATAATAACAACAGGACAATAACAGCCACATACCGGCCAGGGCGCTGGTGCTGCCATGAGCCCAGCAAGATCCACAGAACTGTGGGACGCCCTGGTTGCGAGTAGGGCTTGCATAATTGACGCCGTTCACATTTCGCCAGTCCCACCTCTTGGGGATGTCGGACATCTTTAGGTATTCATGCGGACGAGGGTAAGTTCTGAAATGCAAGAAACAGGATGAAGACCATTAGTATTTTTCTATAGTCAGACAAGGATCATAGCATTTCCTTCTACATCTTGATAAGTGGAAGCCAGAAATAAATTAGAATCATAGATCTCCAAGTGATCCCAAGAGTCATCTAGTCCAACATGTTTCTGACATGGAGGAATACACAATCAAGCCACATCTGACAGATGGCCATCCAGCCTCTGTTTAACAACTTCCAAATAAGGAGATTCAACAAGGGGGGCTAGGGTTAGCTTGGATTGTCACCTTACCTAACTCCTTGAATCCTGTGTGGCATTGGTTTGTAGCAACTTTCCCCTTCCTTGAAGTGGAGCGTGGCAGCTGATGCAGGAGAATGGCAGACATAGGCACAGAGTAGAAGTGCCAGGAGGAAGGAGGGCAAGTGGGCATTAACGGGCATGGCTTCCAGCTCTTGTAACAGCCCCAGCAAAAGTAGGGTGCACACAACTCCAACAGACCTACAAGAAACAAGGATATCTCCATAGACTTCAGCTTTAAAACTATTACAATAAGAAATTGTTAAAGCAGGAAGTCTGCTCCTACCTGTTGTTGTTTTCTTTGCCCTGGCTGCTATGAAATGCAGTTGGCCAGAAGGTTCCTTCCTTTAGAATATTGTCCAGTCTGCCATTGAAGTAAAAGATGGAACTGAATTGCTTTATCATCTGAGCAGCATTTTTATATTGTTTCTGTTCACACATTCTTTCCTATCTCAACTTTAGCATCTGTATTGATTGCCATCTGCACTGATATGTTCAACTGCCAGAATACTCCTGCAGACTTTCAACGGTAAACTTTGGACTGCCTACAAGCATGTTCTTTTTCACTGTATTCTGGCATATACTTGGTTAGCCCTTTTCTTTTGGTTTTCTTGGATGGGGTGTATTGCTCTCCTCTATGTCAACTGGCATTCATGACTGCCATGTTTTTCGATTTGTCTTCCAATTGCTGCCATTGTTTCCAGAGGGAATAGGAGCATAGTGTGTAGGTCTAGTGAAGTAATGCTACCCCTCTATTTTGCTTTGGTTAGACCACACCTGGAATATTGTGTCCAATTCTGGGCACCACAATTCAAGAGAGATATTGACAAGCTGGAATGTGTCCAGAGGGGGGCGACTAAAATGATCAAGGGTCTGGAGAACAAGCCCTATGAGGAGCGGCTTAAGGAGCTGGGCATGTTTAGCCTGAAGAAGAGAAGGCTGAGAGGAGATATGATAGCCATGTATAAATATGTGAGAGGAAGCCAAAGGGAGGAGGGAGCAAGCTTGTTTTCTGCTTCCCTTGAGACTAGGACGCGAAACAATGGCTTCAAACTACAAGAGAGGAGGTTCCATCTGAACATGAGGAAGAACTTCCTGACTGTGAGAGCCGTTCAGCAGTGGAACTCTCTGCCCCGGAGTGTGGTGGAGGCTCCTTCTTTGGAAGCTTTTAAACAGAGGCTGGATGGCCATCTGTCAGGGGTGATTTGAATGCAACATTCCTGCTTCTTGGGGTTGGACTGGATGGCCCATGAGGTCTCTTCCAACTCTTTGATTCTATGATTCTAGGGCAAATTCATAATCTATTTGCACACTATTTTGCACTTAAACACATGGCACATTTACTATTAGGATAGCACTTTCTAAAAATTGTAATGTGATTTTTTATCACATCATTAGTATCTGGACAGATAGCCATCTGAACTGACAGCCACATTCTTTCCAACGGGCAAAATAAATACTCTCTTTTTCTAATTTTCAGTAGCTATCTCTAAAAGTGTTTTCCTGTTCTCCATTTCTACCTACATTTATGCATACTGCTAAAGTCAAATCCATGGTTCATCTTACGTAAGGCCATCAAACCATTTAAAAATGAGACTTCAGGTGAGTAATAATATTTGAGTGGTGGCAGCTGCATTAAAGAGAAATGCGGAAACGAGTTTGAGGAGGACGGCAACTCATACATACTTCACTACCAATTTGGTAATATCCAGTTGTATATGTTTGACATGTTGGTCTCCTTCCTCACACCCCGTCCACCCCTGCTCCAAAACACATGGATTTTGAGAGCCATGTTCTTGTTGACATTTTGGAAGAAGTTCAAGAAAAGGGTTAAATAGAAATACTTTGAATAAAACGAACGTCTGCAGTCTTGTGACCAGCTGATAAAGGTTTCCACATTATTAACAACTGTTGTCCATTTAAGGATATGGTTAAAGAAGTCATTGTACTATAATTATATTTCCTGTATAAGTAGATGTCATTTGGACAGGGTTGCCAGAGTAGAAACTTGAGATGGCTCCTGTACCTTTCATGTTTGTGCTAAATAAGATTTTCATTATGGGTTGCTTGTTACCAGCTTGCATGAAAATCAATGACAGCTGAAATTCCCTCTTCTAAACAATCATTTAAAAGTACAGGAATCATCTCCAGTTTTCAGGCTGGCAACATGAATACACCAAACATATATCAATGGGAGAATCTACCAGGGAGACCTTGGAAGTATGGAATAAATATTACCCACCAATATACATTGGCCAAAGGGAACCGCAATGGCGCAGCAGGTCAAACTACTAAGCTGCAGAACTTGCTGACCGGAAGGGCGGTGGTTTGAATCCATGGGACAGGGTGAGCTCCCATTGTTAGCCCCAGCTTCTGCCAAACTAGCAGTTGGAAAACATGTAAATGTGAGTAGATCAATAGGTACCGCTTTGGCAGGAAGATAAAGACGGTCCATACAGTCATGCCAGCCACATGACCTTGGAGGTGTCTATGGACAACAATGACTCTTTGGCTTAGAAATTGAGATCAGCATGACCCCCAGAGTTGGACTCAACTAGATTTAATGTCAAGGGAACCTTTACCTTTACTATACATTGGCCAATATGTGTCTGGATATCAGCTCAACAAGGCTAGCTCTTGAACCAACTGTCTCAGGTGGCAGATATCGGAGGGCAGCTCCCATTAGTCTTCTTTAACTCTTCCTCCTGAGCACTAAAGCAGCCTGCTGGCCATAGGTATGGTCAATGACTTTATCCTTTTTGGAATATTAGAACAAAGTTCTGTGCCCAACAGTGAAAGAGGACCATCTTCTTATTGTTTGCCTAAGCTGCATAACGACGCATGAGAGTTTAATATCTCTAATATCTTTAGCAAAGGCAAGAAAGAAAAGAAGCAGAGGTGTCCTTCAGACCTTCTTCCTCACTGCACCTAGTGAAATGAACTAAAGTCCAGGAAACCTTCTGCTCAGTAAAACGTTAGATCCCTGTTGCACTAATCTATTATAGTGCTATGATTCCGCTTTAACTGTTTTGGCAAAATCCTGTGGAATCCTGGGATTTGAAATTCAGAGATGGATATTTACAATTCCCTACCAGAGAGCGGCAATGCCTTCTCAAACCTTCAGGATTTCCTAGGCACAAGCATCAGCAGTTAAAGTGCAATATAGTATTTTAATTATGAAGTGTGAACGGGTCTTGTACGTGCCAAAACAATTCTAAAGTTCCAGGAATGAGAACTGGAGAGGGCTCTTCTATTACTAATAGTTGTATAGAAGAGGGAATTTCAGCAGGTGCTTATTCTTATCTGTAATACCTACTAAACATCTCCTTCTATGGCCATTAAAGACACAGTTGCACCCTCCACTTTTAGCTTTGGCAAACCTAAAAAAGACTGAGGGCATTTTCACACAACATATGTATAATGCCACGTTAACTTTTATGGTGTTATCCCATGGAACAAGAAAAGCTAAAGTGGGATTTGTAGTTTAGGGAGAAGCATTTAAAAATTTTAATCAAATGTCACTCCACAACTCTTAAGCTGCTGTCCCTTTTCCTCCAATGGTATTTCCATTGGAATGTATTTGTTCCCAATTCTGGCATCTGTATGTTTAAAAGGGCTTAATGCCTTCTTTCTTGTTCTTCTTCATATAATCAGACTGTCATGTGAGGAAACCTTGTATGCAGAGATTGCAAAATATAACTTTCTGAGCTGCAGATCTATAATCTTCTAGCCATCATGGATACTGTCATTGCTATGTGAGGGATTTGGGCAGTTGCAGTCATTCTGTTTAAAACTAAACTTCTTATTTTTGCCAGTCTTTGCTCCATCACATATCACACTCCAATACAGCTAAATGTGCAGAAGCAACTGAAATGCTGTCAAAGAGTGTGCTGAGAGATAGCAAAACCACTCCACTATCAGCAGGAGACATACGTGGCTATGGCTTTTCCACCGGGGCTGGGACGTCAGGGCCGTGGAACCTTGTTTTCAGGGCTCTGTCAATGGACAATGAGTGCTGAGTACTTTGGAGGAAGTAGCTATTATGTGTATTTATATACAAATTAACCGTCCCTTAATTGGAATTCCAAAATCTGAAATATTCCAAAATGCAAAATTGTCCACATAAGTAGTTGAGACAATGACACCATTGGTTTCTGATAGTTCAACTAAAATAAACGTTGTTTCATGCACCACACTATTAAAACTATTGTATACAATTGCAAGGTGTTTCCATAAGGTGTATATGAAAAATAAATGAAGGTTGTGTTCAGACTTGGATCCCATCTCATTATGACCAAATTTCTCATTATGAATATGCAAGTATTCATAATATGTAACTTTGACAGGGACAGTCGCTATTTTTCCCCACTTTTCCAGCTGATTTTTAAAATGCCCCAGCTTCTCTCTTCCTCTATCTCTTTCCCCATTTGTACTTAGTTTATTTCAATTGGTGCAAACTGCTCTCAAAGCCGAATTGTGCCTATATATATGAGCTGCTCGGAGTCCCCTTCGGGGTGAGAAGGGCAGAGTACAAATGTGGTAAACAAATAAAAAAATTAAGTGTAAAAATAGTTTGCACTCCATAAACTCAGCATGGATCTTGCAACTGCTGTGAATGTCATATCAGAGTTCTTGTTAGTCAGCAAAATGGGAGGTGTCAGACACTCCCTCTCCTTGATGCATTTTTCCCCATTCACCATACAAGCCACATTTTGCAGGAGTGATCCTTTCCCCCCCCAGAAAGGACATCTTAGGGGAGAAAACTGAGTCAATTCTCATTGCTGAATTCTATGCAAAATGCGTGAAATTGTCCATGTCCAGATTGGCCAATGTGGGAATCAAATTGGAGCAAAGGTAGGAGGCTTGTTTTAGTAATGTTTTCTGAAAGATAAGGGGAAGCAGTTAGTAAACAATAGTATCTGGGTTGTTGTAGGTTTTCTGGGCTATATGGCCATGTTCTAGAAGCATTTTCTCCTGACGCTTCGCTTGCATCTATGGCAAGCATCCTCAGAGGTAGTGAGGTCTGTTGGAAGTAGGAAAATGGGTTTATACATCTGTGGAATAGTATCTGGTGTGGATTTGGGGAGCATGGGATCAAGAAAATACAATTAACATTGATTGCACGTGCAAACCATGGGATTACAATGAATGAATGAGTGAGTGAGTAAATTAGAATAAATGAGATTAGGTCAAGGGGTCATCCATCCATTGAGGGAGAAATTTACTTTTTTTGGATTACAGTTACCAATGCTGGTTGGGATAATTCTGTGAGTTGTAGTCTAGAAGAGTAACATTTAACCATATGGGGGGAAAACACATATAATTACCCTTTAATTTTATGATCTCATATAACCATCATGACCTCTAGGTCACTGACAGGTTTTCAAATGAAACTGGTACACACACACATACACACACACACTTCTCTTAGTTTATTTGATTTCTTGATTGTTAAAGTAACTATCATATATATGCAGTGAGCAATATAACACTAACACAAATTGCTATTTTTTTCAGCCAACAAATTCATTCATTGGCTCAAAAGGAATAATTAGGTCCTTATCAATACTTGCTGTACTATATTCATTGAAGACCAGTACATCCATATCTGACTAAGGAATTATTTGCCCTTTACTGCACCTCCAGCATTATTACCTTGGGTTCTAGAATGCATTCAAGATTTAGTTCCGTTCTTTTATTAAAGAAATTAGAAAGAAACTACTATATAATTCTGCATGTGTACTCTGATGTGTGGTCACATGAGAAAGGAGGCAGAGCTCCTGTGACCTGAACAGTTGCATGGTTATCCACAATGAATTTTAGTATTACATATAAGACTGTATTGAGGTAGACTGATTTAGCAAGATGCCAGAAGGAAAGGTGGGATTTGATGTCATATTGTAGCACATTGTGAAGAGTTTTATTTGAACTATGGGTGATTGAAATTATCAATGTGGAATGTATAGCAAGGCTCAAGTAAGATCTAAATCTTCTAAATGAGGATCAGTTATTACAGATCAGGTAAACTTCTACATCCAGAGGCAGTATACTTTTGAATACAAATGCAGGGATGGCCATCATCTTCACATTCTAGTTCCAAAAACATCTGGCCAGCTGTTTTTAGTTTGATCCATCAAGACTATTTCTAATCATCTTTGTTTTAGAATTTCAGTCAGGATATTAAAAAGGAGACTCATGCATACACAATTGAGTCTCCTTTTTAATATCCTGACTGAAATTCTAAACCAAAGATGATTAGAAATAGTCTTGATGGATCAAACTAAAAACAGCTGGCCAGATGTTTTTGGAACTAGAATGTGAAGATGATGGCCATCCCGGCATTTGTTTTCAAAAGTATACTGCTTCTGGATGTAAAAGTTAGCTCAAGCAGCATTTGGACACGCTGATGTCCATAGAAGGAGGGTGTGTTTGCACTCACCCCCTGCCATTCCAGATAAGGGGACAGCAGGGTTGAATGTCCTCATGGGTTGGCTAGATAGGCACGCTCTATTAGGAAACCAGCTCTGCATGATTCCTTCCAGTCTGTATCACTTTAGGCTTGTAGAGAAAAGGCACACTGGATATTGCATACTCACCAGCTGCCTTAACTTGAGAGGAGGGGCGGCTCAACCCATTACGCAAAGTAAGCATTTGCAGTATAGTTGATTTTGCCCAGGGGTGCTCTTGAGGCGCTCTTGGGGGAAAATAGACCTTGACATATGCAAGTTGTAGTTACTGGGATGTATAGTTCACCTACAATCAAAGAGCATTCTGAACTCCACCAATGATGGAATTGAACCAAATATGGCACACAGAACTCCCATGACGAACGGAAAATATATATCAATAATTGGTTTGGGGGGGGGGGGTGCCAAACTACTGTTTGCTTACCATTGAAAATTACCTAGAGCCACCTCTGCTTAGGAGGGACAATCCTGATCAGTCCTCTGCCATCCAAATTTTTCAGCTGCATTTAAAATGTTTCAGATTCTCTTTCCCTCTTTGCCATCATTTTATTTCAAGTGCTCCAAACCAATATCAAAATTAGTTTGCACTCAGTTAACTTAGTAGAAGACAGGAAATAAGAGAGAGCTAGAATCTTGTCCTTTCAGTTGGGCTCAGAAAGGTGGTAGGGTCTCCCATATAGAAGGCTGCGCAGCAATCCAGGAAAAGGTAGAGGTAAGGGCTTCCCTTGACATTAAATCTAGTCATGTCTGACTCTGAGGGATGGTGCTCATCTCAATTTCTAAGCTGAAGAGCCAGCGTTGTCCATAGACACCTCCTAGGTCATGTGGCCAGTATGACGGCATGGAGTGTCATTACCTTCCTGCAGAAGCGCTACCTATTGATTTACTCACATTTGGATATTTTTGAACTGCTAGTATCTTTAAGGTCACTGTTTCGTTCTGAATAACAAGAAAGTAAAGGGCTACTTTTAAATTGCAACTATAACATTAACTGTGAGGAGTACAGTACTTATAATATTTTTTTCAGCACAGCTTCGAAGTACTGGTTGCAACTGTGGTGTGGGCTTCATTTTGGCCAAAGCTTTAGCTTTGCAGCCGTGCCTCACTCTCCCCCTGCTGTTTTCCTCCTTAACAGCATTTTAAGGGTTATATCTCTGTTGTCCCATACTGAAAGGTTTAATACTGAGCTTTTAATTTTAGTTAATGTCACTTTCTAATTTTGCTGTCTCACTCTCTCTCTTTACATTTATGGCACTGACTTTTTTGAGCGATTTCTTCCTTCTATTGCATCATGATTTAAGATGTATGATTTAATTTGAATGATGTCCTAAACATGTTTTTAGTGAAAAAGCAAGGTATAAATCAGGGGGAGTGGTATATAGACTGCATGAGGTATCATTCCCAAGGGTGTCCTAAAAACTGTGCCAAATTATGTTCTGGGCTGAGAAACAAACCACATTTGGTACAATTAAATCTGTTATAGTTTGCTACTACATTTTGGCAGTAATGAAAAATATTATTTATCCCATTTAAGGCAGGTAAATGTTGGCTTTCAATGACGGGTGGTTTGCCACATATTTGCCTTCTGTACCTGCTGAAGTTGCCATAAATATATTGAATGAAAGTTCTTGTCTGCCTTAAAAAAAGAGTAGGAAACAAATAATAATGTAGAGGTTCCTCTAATCATTCTTTCTGTTTTTAAAATAAAAAAAATTCAAACTATCTTCTCTGCTCATTTTTCAGTTCTGGGAAGTCATAAGTACTGAGCATGGAATCGACATCACAGGGAATTACTGTGGTGATTCGCCGCTGCAAAAGGAAAGGCTTAATGTGTACTTCAATGAAGCCTATTGTAAGTACGGAGGGTTTTGGCTAAATTGCCTGCTGATGCAATTCTAAAAGATAAAAATAGCAAAGATGTTATCTTCCATGCCCTGAATGAAGTTTGCCTGTATGTATATGTGCAAAACTGTTTGCAATAATAGATAGGCAGTTCGCAGTGTCAACCCCAGAGAGAGAAATTATAGCAATATAGCACAGGGGCTGTGCAGTTGAATTTAATTGAGCTTATTTTGAATACAGGCATCTTCCACTTAATTGATGGAGCACAACATTCTCAAAATGTGGAAATGGTTGAAATGCAGCCTTTTTTTCTTAGCTTCATAAATATATTGCCATTGAGAACTTAAGTTTAGAGCAAACATTTAGCCTTAAACATCTTGGAATAGGGTGGAAAGTTATTCTGAGCACTAATATGGTATAAGACAAGCAGGCCCGTAGCCAGGATTTCAATTCGGGGGGGGGGGGGCTGAGTTTTTTTCAGGGGGGGGGGGCTGAGTTTCGGGGGGGGGGGCTGAGTCTGAGTGAAAGAGGGTCTACCTTAGCAAACCTTTTGTATCATTACCCCAATACCCCCATGCATATGGGATATATTGAGTATGGTGATCAGATTATGATATGAATAAACATAACAGTTTAAATAATGCACCAGTAAGGCCTTTTCGCGAACCACCATGAGAATTTCGGGGGGGGGGGCTGAAGCCCCTCAAGCCCCCCCCCCCCCCCGGCTACATGCCTGAAGACAAGAGATCATGGTATGAGACATGAACAAGTTCTATATAGTACTGTACACACTGGGGAATGGACCTTCAGAATAAAGTCCTGGAGTTTGAGCTGCGGTGACTCCTTTTAGTAACTGGTGGCGCTTCCCTGCTGCGTTGGATCTCTTGGACAGAGGAAGCATTTCTCAGAGTGATAGCTCAAAATGTTTTCAAGTGGTCATGTCACATTCGGCTGTTTGTAGGCCTAGCATCACTGCTTGGCATGTTGAAGCTACTAGTGTGAGTCCATAGATTTCACAGAGCTATTCTGAGCTCTTATTAATATGCCAAAGGACTTCTGTGAGATACAGCAGTTAAAAATAATAATCAGAAATTAAATTTTATATTTAAAAATAATTTTTAAAAGCAACCCCTGATACTTCTTGCAGTAATTGTGGCTCACCTGTTTCTGCAGCCAATAAGTATGTTCCCCGTGCTGTCCTGGTAGACCTGGAGCCTGGAACAATGGACAGTGTGCGGTCAAGCAAAATAGGTCCACTCTTTCGACCTGACAACTTCATTCATGGTAAGCATGATGTGTTAATATTAATACAATGTAATACTGTGGTTCCTTGGGATTCACTGGTTTGAGTTCCAGGACCCTGCAGGGATACCAAAATCTATGAATCCCCAAGTCTCATTATGTACAATGGTGCAATAATAGTGTGCCCCATATATAAAATGACAAACAACTAAATGCTAGAGCCTCTCCCACCCAAATATTTTTGAGACGTAGCTGGTTGGAGAATCTGTGGATATAGGGGGATAACTGAGAATTCTTAGAAGCAAGAGGGCTGGTTTGGACAACCATTGTTTAAGAATTTGGTTTTTGTTATTTTATTTTATACCCTGTGTTTATCTTGTATTATTTTGCTTTGTTTACATTTTATTTGATGTTATTATTTGTTGTATGTATTATTTTTGCTTTGTTGCAATTGTTGGGCTTGACCACATGTTAGCCACCCTGAGTCCCCTTGGGGAGATGGTGGTGGGGTATAAATAAAGTTGTTGTTGTTGTTATTTAAAACATAATAATAATAATAATAATAATAATAATAATAATAAACATTCAATGCCAATCCCTCTTTATTCCCAAAAATATGGCAGTATTTCTAGCTTCCAAATACTCTGGGAAGGTTTTTTGTTAAAATGCTTGCTCACAAGATCTCTTTTAATAATCACAGGTAAAAAGAATCTAAGAGTGCTTTCATACTATAGTATTATTTATTTATTTATTTATTTATTTATTTACTCCATTTGTATACCGCATTTATCAGCCTGAGGCGGCGACTCAATGCGGTTTACAATAAATAAGCAACACTGACAATATATAAGACACACATACACAAACAACACACATATAATCATCAACGCCTCAATTAGAGTCAGATCCCGTTCTCATAGTCCTTTTTTCGTTCCTTGTTCAATGCCGTTTTACTGAGTTAGTTGTCATTGCATATTCATCCAAATGCCTGCTCGTAGAGCCACGTCTTAACCCTCCTCCGAAACACCAGCAACGAAGGAGCCTGCCTGATGTCCACTGGTAGGGCATTCCATAGCCGAGGGGCCACCACCGAGAAGGCCCTGTCTCTCGTCCCCGCCAACCTCACTTGTGACGCTGGCGGAACCGAGAGCAGGGCCTCCCCGGACGATCTTAATGTCCTCTTATATTACTTATAATATAACATCTTATATTACTGCAATATAGCATTGTTAACTGTTATGGCTGCATATTTTGGACAAAAAAACATTACTCAATACATGCTTTTTTGCAATATGTGGACACATGTTGTTTTCAAAGCAATTATGAGCATCTCAATATAGCATGATAGAATTACTTCAGCAGTAGCTGGCTTGTTTTGGACCTTTTTGCATTTGGATGTAGCCATACTTTTAAATTAATTGTGAATTGACTTGTTTGGTAACCTCCTCCTCATCCCATTTCACTATCTAATAATAATAATAATAATAATTTTATAATTATATATATATATATATATATATATATATATATATATAACCAGGAATGTTATATATTTTCTTTCAGGAAATTCAGGTGCTGGTAACAACTGGGCAAAAGGCCATTACACTGAAGGAGCTGAGTTGATTGAAAGTGTCATGGATATTGTGAGGAACGAGTGTGAGGGCTGCGACTGCCTCCAAGGTTTCCAGCTTGCCCACTCTCTTGGCGGTGGAACGGGATCTGGTATGGGTACTCTTCTGATCAACAAGATCAAAGAGGAATATCCAGATAGGATCATGAACACCTTCAGTGTGCTCCCATCGCCCAAAGTTTCTGACACTGTTGTTGAGCCATATAATGCCATCTTATCTGTGCACCAGTTGATTGAGAACACGGATGAGACGTTCTGCATTGATAACGAAGCTCTATATGACATCTGTTTTAGAACACTGAAGCTCCGCTCTCCAACCTATGGGGATCTAAACCATTTGGTGTCTCTCACTATGAGTGGCGTCACCACCTCACTCCGGTTTCCTGGCCAGCTCAACGCTGACTTGAGGAAACTGGCTGTTAACATGGTGCCATTCCCTCGACTCCACTTCTTCATGCCAGGCTTTGCTCCATTAACAGCTCGGGGCAGCCAGGAGTACAGAGCTCTCTCCGTCCCAGAGCTCACTCAACAGATGTTTGATGCAAGAAACATGATGACAGCCAGCGACCCACGCCATGGACGATATCTGACAGTGGCCTGCATCTTTCGAGGCCAGATGTCTACCAGGGAGGTGGATGAGCAACTGTTGGCTGTGCAGACCAAGAACAGCAGCCACTTTGTGGAATGGATTCCCAACAACGTCAAGGTGGCTGTGTGCCACATTCCACCGCGTGGACTGAAGATGTCTTCTACCTTCATAGGGAACAACACGGCCATACAGGAGATCTTCAGCAGGATCTCTGCACAGTTCTCAGCAATGTTCAGGAGGAAAGCATTTCTTCATTGGTATACTGGCGAAGGAATGGATGAAATGGAGTTCTCAGAAGCAGAAGCCAACACTAACGACTTGGTGTCGGAGTACCAGCAGTATCAAGATGCCACAGCAGATGTAGTAGAATATGAGGAAGTAGAAGTAGAAGAGGAGGAAGTCAGTCAGGAAGAAAAGGAAAATCCTTAAGAACAGTAATTTACCCTGTAAAGCACCTTACTTCCCATAGGTTTGCAGGACTCACCTGTTTTCAGAAGGAACGGAATACATTTTTGTATATTAAACCAAAGATCATGGTTCATTCAAAAGATATACGCATCTGAAGAAATCCCTCTACATATTTCTACACATTGTCTTCCTGGATGGATTTTTTTCATATGATAAATTAATTTCAACATATAACCAATCTTATGAGGAGCAGCCATGTGAAGAAAGACTCTGTTTAGATACAAAGTATTATCTGTTTAAAATAAAAGGGGCAGCAATTTTTTTCACCAGCTGTTTAGCTGACTTGCACATCTATTCATCGGACAGATTTTCCTGTGAGTCAGCATTCTAACTATGATGGACGCAGAGCAACAGATTCAAACAATAGGAAAAAAGATTCTACGTAAACATTAGAAAAATCTTCCTGACAGTAAGGGCTATTTGACAATGGAATACTCTGGCTTTGGATGTCGGGGTTTCCTTCTCTGAAGGTTCTTTAACAGAGGCTGAAGTGCTTTTATTGTGTATTCCTGAATGAGATTGGACTGGATGTTCCTCTGAGTTTATTCCAATTCATTGATCCTATAGTTGTGCAACTAAGAATGATGCTCTTGATGAAATCAATAGCAGCACAAAACTGTTCTCTATTTTTGGCATATTCTGAAAAGTTACCAGAACGAGATATCAGCAGTTTTCCCACTGCCCCAACAATCTTTTGAAAAGCAATCAAAACTATTAACCTTGCCATACTTTGAACCACTGAATTTAACAGATTATGTAAAGTACTGTACTTCCTTGAGCCTACCTTGACTCACCCTAATATTTAACATAGAATGAGGATTCTTTTTTTTTCTTCAAGTGAGGAGCGACTTGAAAAACTGAAAGTCGCTTCTGGTGTGAGAGAATTGGCTGTCTGCAAGGACGTTGCCTTGCCTTTTACCATCCTTGTGGGAGGTTTCTCTCATGTCGCCGCTGTTTCAAACTACTGAAGTCAAAGCTATGTGTGAACTCCCAGTCCACTTAGAAAAGTAGCAGAGTAATTGAGAACTTAAGTTAATCTGAATATTTCAATAGTAATAAAATATTTGTAGGACATGGAGCTGGTCTATGTCTTACACACACCTGTTATTCTAAAATGCAGGTTTGCTGTTAACAAAATGAGTTGAGAATATCATTGTTAAAGATTTTAAGGAATACCTTAAATGCGTGAATTCATGAGATGCCTGACTTCTGAAGACTGGTAATCGTGTGCGCTCATATTGTAGTCCTACTGAATTCTGGGTTTAACTTTCCAGTAGACATAGATCAGGTTATGCTGTACAGTGATATGTGTGTATACTCATGTATGAAAAGGGAGTTTCCAACTATGGGATTCAAAGGCCAAGAAATGAAAGAAGAAATAGGACATACTTTGCCCATGTGGTGCTTCCCAAAATTGTTGGCTCACAGCTTGTGTCTAATTCTGGGCATCACAATTTAAGAGAAGTATTGACAAGCTGAAATGTGTCCAGAGGAGGGCAACTAAAATAATCAAGGGTCTGTATGTTTTTACCCTGTTTCCCCTTCCCTTCTGCTCCCTCACCCATATTGTGCTTCAGTAGTTATATTTATATTTTAAATGTACCAAACATACCAAGTTTGTATGAAAATGTGACTATTTCCTGTGCTGGTCAATGACCGAAATAAATGATTTGATTTGACGGGTCTGGAGAACAAGCCCTATGAGGAGCGGCTTAAAGAGCTGAGCATGTTTAGCCTGCAGAAGAGAAGACTGAGAGGAGGCATGATGGCCATGTATAAATATGTGAGGGGAAATCATAGGGAGGATGGAGCCAACTTGTTTTCTGTGTCCTGGAGACTATAACGCAGAACAATAGCTTCAAACTACAGGAAAGGAGATTCTACTTGAACATTAGGAAGAACTTCCTCTATGAGAGCTGTTCTGCAGTGGAACTCTCTGCCCCAGAGTGTGGTGGGGGCTCCTTCTTTGGAGACTTTTAAACAGAGGCTGGATGGCTATCTGTTGGGGGAGCTTTGATTGTGATTTTCGTGTTTCTTGGCAGAATGGGGTTGGACTGGATGGCCCACGAGGTCTCTTCCAGTCCAACCTTCCAGATCTCCCATCAGCTCCAGCTATCATGATCAATTCAATTCAATTCAATATAAGTTTCATGTAAAAAATATTAAATGTATATAAAGCAGTAAACAGAAGGCATGCACAAATGTCAGAATTGATATAGGCAGAGTAACAAATTCTTACAGTACAACAAAAATTTAGCATTAAAATGAGATATTGGTAAACTGTTGCTCTTAGCATCATATGCTCCTGGGATGGAGCTCCGATACACCACCACTGGAAAAGCACAATGTGCCCATTCTGGCTTTAGAGAAAATGAATGACTCTTTACTGCAACTCAATATTCGTTTTCCTTTTCCTCAGCTGACAATTAAAATTGTGCTTTTATTTCCAGGCTATTTTATGGACTCATAAGTGTACACTGAGAGCACCGTTTGAGCTTTTTAGTGCACACTCTTTAATGTTTATATTACTTTTCCTTTTTTTATTGAAACCAATTTTGCTAGCTGAAAAAAGTGATGGATACCAATGTCAGCTTGTGTGACAAGCTATTTTTTAGCTGCCATTGTTACAGTATGCCTTTTCCTGCATGTACTATGCAATAAAACGTAATTAAAAGTATGATAAAATGTTGTGAATGTTTATTTGTTCCTTGATCTTTCCACTAATTAAGGATGAGAGGGAAGACAAACTTTATAGCTAAAGGAAAGAATTGATTTATCTCAAAGTCATTGTGCAGTATTTAAACACTAGCCAAAAGAATTCAAAGACAAGCTACAGAGTATACACATGGATTTGGAATTTGTCTTAATAAAACTATGAGGAAGGCTAGCCTAGGAGTACTAGTCTACCTTTTATAATGAAAGTAAAAAATTTGGGCTGTAGGTATAAATTGGTCCAGTCAAAATTAAAGAAAATGTGAGTTCTTATCTCCTCGTTACAAATGAAATCACATTTGAATTCCTAAGCCTCATAATTTTAAATGGAAAATATTTCAGCACCGATCCCATTGTCTTTTTGAAATTGACAGAACTTGATTACTTTCAAATTGAATTGGTCCTCCAAGTCACAATGAGAAAAAGAAGCATCATTGCATTTTGTACATTCTAGAAACATAGATAACCACTACACATCAAAGGACTTCCCAAAATAATGCTGTGTTCAAAGCAATATCAGGTATTACCTGCCAAATTAAGGTCAAGAGTAAAGGTTTTCCCTGACATTAAGTCTAGTCGTGTCCGACTCTGGGGGGAAATAAAAGCATTTCTAAGCCGAAGAGTTGTCCGTGGACACCTCCAAGGTCATGTGGCCAGCATAAATGCATGGAGCACCATTACCTTCCCAGCATTGAGTATTGATCTACTCACACTTGCACGTTTTCGAACTGCTAAGTTGGCAGAAGTTGGGCCTAACAGAAGGAGCTCGCCCCTCTCCTCGGATTTGAACTGCTACTCATTTACAATTTAAAACTAGCTATTAGAACAAAGCTGCAATATTGTAGTAACTTACTTGGGAATAAGCCCTATTGAAATCAGTGAAACTTCTGAGCGCAGTATTGTTTAGTAAATGAACAATATAATCTTCTCTCAATCTGGATGTTGTTTACTGAGATCTTTGAAGGCGGCTTTAATTATATTTTAAAGCGTATTACCACAATTGATTGAATGCTTTTATCCAAATAACTCTTATTATCCCCTTTTTGTTACACAATTCCCCAAAAAGTGCTGTATCATTATACTGAGTAAGAGAATATACAGTAGAAGCATGTTCATAACGTTCCATTTATTGGCATGCTGATTTACACATTTACAGATAAACATCAGGGAGCACGAAGCAGTTGTGTCTAGGTGCATAACCACCAGCTGTCATTTTGCCTGCTAGAAGATCAGACCCTGTAACACAAATAAAACTTGGAATAAATACATGTTACACTGCACAATTTGGCTCAAAACTCCTAATACAATAATTAAGAAATTATTCTCTATACATCTGAGGTTTACAACTTCTCCAAATAAGTTATTAAAGTGAGCTACTTTGCACAACAAATCAACATAACTCATAACGGTTCCTAACCATATTTCAGTTAGCCAATGACTTTTAATTTATTTGTTTATTTCACTTGTATACTGTTTTTCTCACCCCAGGGGGACTCAAAGCGGTTTCCAATATATCTATGGCAAAATTATTGCCTCACATACATATGAAACCTAACATAAAACAACAATAACATATAACTATCAATTAGATCATAACAACGTAACAACATTAAAACGTGGAGTTAAACACATATTAATATAAACATTAAAAACACATAATCCAGAAATCATGGTCCAAGGCCATTCCAAATATCAAATGCACATAATTGATGCAATATTACATGGCCTAGATGTAATTCTTTCTGCAGCAGACTCACTGAATCGATGGAAATTTGGTAAGTAGGTGTTGTTTAAGGTCTATGACTCAATGTTTCTAATTGGGTGAGTACAACAAATCAAATTAGATTCCTATTGAAAATGCCATTAAATTAAAGATTTTATGTTAAATAGCCAGTAAAGGCTGGCTTTGGAAACCCATGTTTGACATCCCTTTATAAGATCTATTGCAACTGCAACAAAAGAAACTTAGCTGAACACCCCCAATGCCACATAGCTGTATCCTCTCATCATATAATATCACAATACACCTAAATCTTACTTGAGTCTTTATAAACTCTCATTTGAACAGTTAAATGGGATGAACAATTTTGTGGTCTTAAAACACTCAACTCTCAAAGAGGTTTGCAAGGACATTAAAACTCGAATTTTCTCTTTGTGAGTGATGTATGAACCATTTGTAGCATTTAACACAGAGGACAGTAGAAGATACTATTTGGTCCTGTAAAAATGTGTACCACTACACTGAAAAAGGGTCCCAAAAATTCTTCACTTACTTCAACATCATTCTTTTTTAGGTTTCACTATTTTTACATTGGCTCCTGCTGTTTTCTCTGCCTCTGCTTTAAATTGTGGTTTCAGTGCATCTCTTACTGCCTTGGCGCAGATTTGTGAGTATCGGATGTAGCTGTAAAAAGGAAGTACATATCAATGGAATAATCTCCTAGTATCAAACTTTGTTAAAATCAGACAATATACAGCTTTGCTTCTACACTTTCTCAAGACAGAAGGAAGTTCACACATACATTAATCACTGTGAGAGAGGACTAGAAATATTATTTATTTACTTTATTTTCATTCCACCTTTCTACAGATATCAGGATTCAAGATGGCTAAAAAATTGCGACACAATGTAAATTAAAAACATAATATAAAAATGAAGAACAATTAAACCCTTTCTGTCTGTAATCATGATAATATTTGCATGGATTAAAATTTCGGCCCTGCAGGGGTTTTGGACTTCAACCTCTTGATAATGGTTAAGAGTAGCAACCAATTTATCGGACAGAACTTTAAAGGTGTTGGTGAAGGCTTTCACGGCTGGAATCACTGGGATGCTGTGAGTTTTCTGGGCTGTATGGCCATGTTCCAGAAGCATTCTTTCCTGATGTGTAATTCTCATCTAAGGCAGCCATCCTGAAATGTTGAGGGGTCTGTTGGAAACTAAGCAAGTGACGTTTATATATATCTGTACAATGTCCAGGGCGGAAAAAAGAACTCTTGTCTGCTTGAGGCAAGTGAGAATGTAGGTTAGCATTTAATGGACTTTCAGCTTCAAATTCTGGCTGGTTGATGCCTGGGGGACTCCTTTGTTGGGAGGTGTTAGCTGACCCTGACTGATTGTCTGGAATTGTCTGGCAGACATCCTCAACTTCAGAGGATGCCTGCCATAGGTAAAGGTTGTCCCCTGACATTAAATCCAGTCATGTCTGACTCTGGGGTGTGGTGCTCATCTCCATTTCTAAGCCGAAGAGCCGGCATTGTCAACAGACACCTCCAAGGTCATGTGGCCGACATGACTGCATGGAGCGCTGTTACCTTGCTGCCAGAGCGGAACCTATTGATCTACTCACATTTGCATGTTTTCGAACTGCTAGGTTGGCAGAAGCTAGGGCTGACAGTGGAAGCTCACGCCACTCCCCAGAATTGAACCTGTGACCTTTCAGTCAACAAGCTCAGCAGCTCAGCGCTTTAACCCACTGTGCCACTGGGGACTCCATAGACGTGGGCAAAACATCTGGAGAGAATGCTTCCTGAACATAGCCATACAGCCCAGAAAACTCACAGCAACCCAGGACTTTAAACAGTTATTAAAACGATAATTTATAATGCTGGATACCCTGTTCATAAGAACTGACTGGTTTTAAACAGTGTGTATGTGTATATATACACATCCACGCTGTTTTAAAGGGCTAAATAGTCTTTTTAATTGTTTAATATATTTATGTTTACATTATTGTGCTATTTTTGTTTTGATTAATTGATATGTGATTATTGTCTGTGTTAAATCATTTACTGTATTCATTTGTTTTGCTGTAAACCATCCTGAGTCCCTTCAGGGAGAGGGGGTGGGATTTAAATAAAGATAAAGATGACGGTGATGATAATTTGTATTTCAAACACAAGATGAGTCCACAGCAGACAAGATCACTCTGCTGGCTGTTGTATTGGATCACACGTTGGACACTTGCCAAGATGGTGGTAATTTTGTCACTGCCAATTGTGTTTAAGTGCAGACCAAGGTCTTTAGGCACTGCACCCAGTGTGCCGATCAGCACTGGGACCACCTTTACTTGAGCCAGATTCTTTTTCTTATTATTATACCTCCTCCCATATTATACCTCCTTGCTTGCATGCTGGTCGCTGGCCCAGTGTGGAACACATCTCACCACACTAAAACAGTGGATGTGGCTCTTAATGAGACATGCCACATTATCACGGGGTGTCTGCGCCCTACACCACTGGAGAAATTACACTGCTTAGCCGGTATTGCACCACCTGACATCCGCCGGGAAGTAGCAGCCAATAGTGAAAGGACCAAGGCACTACATCTCCAGCTCATCCCCTGTTTGGGTATCAGCCAGCACGTCAACGACTTAAATCTAGAAATAGCTTTCTAAGATCTACAGAGACACTCGCCGAAACACCTCAGCAAGCAAGAGTCCAAAAGTGGCAGGCTCAAACCCAGAACCTCAACCAAGGCTGATACCAAATGAGAGACTCCCCCCTGGGCACACAGAAGACTGGGCGACTTGGAAGGCGCTGAACAGACTGCGCTCTGGCACCACGAGATGCAGAGCCAACCTTCAGAAATGGGGCTACAAAGTGGGATCCTCGACATGCGAGTGTGGAGAGGAGCAAACCACTGACCACCTGCTGCAGTGCAACCTGAGCCCTGCTACATGCACAATGGTGGACCTTCTTGCAGCAACACCAGAAGTACTCCAAGTGGCCAGATACTGGTCAAAGGACATTTAATCAACTACCAAACTCACAAATTTTGTATTTTATCTGTTTGTTTGTTTGTTCTGTTAGAAATGTAATATAATTTGACTGGTTGTCCTGACACGACAAATAAAGGAATATATAAGTAGACTCAAGTCAGAAGGAAGTTTCATGAGAACCACCACTCCTCTTAATGTTTCCCCAGAAACAGCAAGAATATCCCTTGTTGTTGTTCATTCGTTCAGTCGTCTCCGACTCTTCGTGACCTCATTGACCAGCCCACGCCAGAGCTCCCTGTCGGCCGTCACCACCCCCAGCTCCTTCAAGGTCAGTCCAGTCACTTCAAGGATGCCATCCATCCATCTTGCCCTTGGTCGGCCCCTCTTCCTTTTGCCTTCCACTTTCCCCAGCATAATTGTCTTCTCTAGGCTTTGCTGTCTCCTCATGATGTGGCCAAAGTACCTCAACTTTGTCTCTAGTATCTTTCCCTCCAGTGAGCAGTCGGGCTTTATTTCCTGGAGGATGGACTGGTTGGATCTTCTCGCAGTCCAAGGCACTCTCAGAACTTTCCTCCAACACCACAGCTCAAAAGCATCGATCTTCCTTCGCTCAGCCTTCCCTAAGGTCCAGCTCTCACATCCGTAGGTTACTACAGGGAATACCATGGCTTTGACTAGGCGGATCTTTGTTGCCAGTCTGATGTCTATACTCTTTACTATTTTATCGAGACTGGACATTGCTCTCCTCCCAAGAAGTAAGCGTCTTCTGATTTCCTGGCCACAGTCTGCATCTGCAGTAATCTTTGCGCCTAGAAATACAAAGTCTGTCACGGCCTCCACATTTTCTCCCTCTATTTTCCAGTTCTTGTTGCCATAATCAATCGATTTGGCAACGAACCCTCCACTTTGTGCGACTGTGGAGAAGGACAAAAAACTCAGCAACTGTATGCTCGTGCACTATGCCCTGCCTCATGCACAGAGGAAGAACTGCTTAAAGCTACAGGCCATCCTTGGGCCCTGTCACTAAGCAAAAGGAGACTGGGGAGGGAGGGAGGAAGAAGGCCTCACCTGAGCCCGGCCTGCCTCCAATACGCCACCATGGCTGCCACACAACCGACCGCGACTCCAAACGCCGTCGACTAAAGCCGCAAGGTCAGGCTGAGGAGGGGAGAAAGAAAGCTTAATCCGGAAGAGCTTCAGAATTCGGAAGTAGAAGCCCGGCCGACCAATCACAAGCAAGCTCGAAGCCCGGCTGACCAATCACAAATCGCTCGCTTACTCTCGCGCTCCTCCTCCTTCGGAGGAGGAGCGCGAGAGTAAGCGAGCGATTTGTGATTGGTCAGTTAAGGGAAAAGCCGCAGCCAATCAGATGACCGCAGCTGTGCGACTGGGCGATCCTATTGGCTGGGCACCACGGCGCTAATTCGGAGAGCTTCCCTGCGCTTCACTGAGAAATGCAATTGCGTCACTTCCTCTTATCAGGGCTTATCTGTAGATAGAATGTGTAAAGGTATATAGAAGTGTTCCCTATACTTTGCTCTTCCAGGCAGTTTGGACTTCACCTCCCAGAGTCCCTGATCATTGGCCAAAGGAGCTGAGGCTTCTGGGAGTTGGAGTCCTCCAGCCTTGGAGGACTAGAGCTTGGGAATCACCCAGGCATGGGCCAGCATGGGTCCTCCAAGTGTTTTGGACTTCAACTCCCACAATTTCTGACAGCCTGAGCCTACCAACTCTTAGGAATTGTGGGAGTTGAAGTCCAAAACCCTGGAGGACTCAAGCTTGCCCATACCTGATCTATGGCTATTTGCAAGGTAATACCTATAAAGTGTGTGGAGTGGCAGGAAACCTAAGTCACTCTCTATCCTTCCTTAAGTACATCTACTGTTAGCAACTTGATTATTTGTGGATTTGATTAATATGAGGTTCCTCTGGGAATCTCTAGGTCCTTCAGTGTGTCATCTTCCTGCAGAAGTTGACCATAGTCATGTTATTTATTTGTTTATTTGTTGTGTCAGGACAACCAGTCAAGTTATATTACATTTCTAACAGAACAAAGCAAACAAACAGACAAAATACAAAATTAGTGAGTTTGGTAATTGATTAAATGTCCTTTGACCAGTATTTCGCCACTTGGAGTGCCTCTGGTGTTGCTGCAAGAAGGTCCTCCATTGTGCATGTGGCAAGGCTCAGGTTGCATTGCAGCAGGTGGTCAGTGGTTTGCTCCTCTCCACACTCGCATGTTGTGGATTCCACTTTGTAGCCCCATTTCTGAAGGTTGGCTCTGCATCTTGTGGTGCCAGAGCGCAGTCTGTTCAGCGCCTTCTAAGTCGCCCAGTCCTCTGTGTGCCCAGGAGGGAGTCTCTCATTTGGTATCAGCCATTGATTGAGGTTCTGGGTTTGAGCCTGCCACTTTTGGACTCTCACTTGCTGAGGTGTTCCAGTGAGTGCCTCTGTAGATCTTAGAAAACTATTTCTAGATTTAAGTCGTTGACGTGCTGGCTGATACCCAAACAGGGGATGAGCTGGAGATGTCTCTGCCTTGGTCCTTTCACTATTGGCTGCTACTTCCCGGCGGATGTCAGGTGGTGCAATACCGGCTAAGCAGTGTAATTTCTCCAGTGGTGTAGGGCGTAGACACCCCGTGATAATGCGGCATGTCTCATTAAGAGTCACATCCACTGTTTTAGTGTGGTGTTTTAGTCATGTTGAAGGACCTAGACATATTTAAGAGAAGTATTTTCTTAGATAAGAAAAAGTAATTAAAAATATTTTATGAAATGTGAAAAATGCCAACAAACAAGAAACTCAGCAAGTGAGAGTCCAAAAGTGGCAGGCTCAAACCCAGAACATGCATTATTATTATTATTATTATTATTATTATTATTATTATTATTATTATTTGTTTTCAAAGGGGAAAACCACAGTGAATGTAGACAGCTAACTCTCCAGATGTAGAAACAATCCCCTGACCTGAAGGAAAGAAATTCTATATTTTTTTCTTTCTCACCTTGATTCCTTACAATGTTTTAAAATTTATACATTTGACTGTTGTTTGGCGTTGTGTTGTATTTTTAACATGTTGGAAGCCACTTTGGGTCCCTACTATTGAAGAAAAGTGGCATAGAAATAAAGATTTATTATTATTATTATTATTATTATTATTATTGTTATTATTATTTGAAACACAACAAGAGGAGTCCACAGCAAACAAGATCGCTCTGCTGGTTGTTGTATTGGATCACACATCGGACACTTCCCAAGTGTCTAGGACTGTGTGATGTATTGGTGAATAATAATAATAATAATAATAATAATAATAATAATAATAATAATAACAAACCTTTATTTATACCCCGCTACCATCTCCCGAAGGACTCGGTGCGGCTTACAAGAGGCCGAGGCCCAACACATCAATAAAACAACAGCATAACAAATACAACAATAAATAAACTCATAAACCCATAAAACAAAACAATAAACATTAAAAGACTAGAAGTAAACATTAGACAATAACACCACGACGCATTTAAAACTTAGGCCGGGCCAAATGTAATGATTAAAAATTTTAAAAATGCTGGACATGACAGGTGAAATGGATAGGTTTTTGGAGATAGGTGCGGTGTGCAGACAATCTTAAATCTCTAGTAAAGTGCATTTGGGATATGATGCTTGGAGTTTCCTATTCTGGGAAGGCAAACTGGAACAACCACGTCTTCAGGCTCTTCCTAAAGACTGCCAACGTTAGGGCTTGTCTGATGTCCTTGGGGAGAGAGTTCCAGAGTCGGGGGCCACCACGGAGAAGGCCCTGTCCCTTGTCCCCACCAATCGCGCTTGCGACGCAGGTAGGAATAATGCTTGCAGATCCCAGTAAGGTGGCCTTTTGCAGCTGGCAGATGGTAATTTTACAGATCCACCTAACTGTAGTATTGCCTAGCCAACATTTTACTAGTTTGTTGGCAATAAGATCATGGGGGACCTTGTCAAAGGCCTTACTAAAATCAAGTTATACTACATCCACAGAATTTCCTGCATCTACCAAGCTTGTAACTCTATTGAAAAAAAGAGATAAGATTAGGTCCTCTTAACACTTGCCTATTTTTGGCAGTGACGTTAGGAATTTTAAACTTCAGCCACAGAGCTTGATGGTTCCCACCACATCCCAGAGAACTATTTCTGGTGCAGCTCTGTAGCTGAACTACTACTGCCACTAAAAAAATGGCTGGTAAACAATGGCAGGCTTCTCATCCTTCCATTAGGAAAGATGGGTTGAGCCGCCAAAAACAGGCTTCCCCCATGTGATGAGGCAGGGGGGAAGCTGCGACAGAGCGGGGCGCAGGGGGTTCCCAGCCCCCCCACTCCCCCGTGCAGTGCCACTGGGACGTGGCAAAACACCATTCTGATGACGTGTGTGATGCGATCCTAAGTTTGAGGTGACTTGTTTTTGAGAAAACCATGTTGACTTAGTAATCGCAGCATTTCTTTCTATGTGATTGCAGACTGCCTACTTAATGATCAGCTCCAGGATCTTTGTTGGTATTGATATCAGGCTGACTGGATGATAATTGTCTTTTTCTCTCCTTCTAGAATAGCCACGTGTTTTGGACTTCTTGAAAATAGGTATTCCTGGACTACTTCTTTACTTATTTTGGGTTGCATTTCCCCTATTACCCCGTCCACTCCGTATTGTTCAGGTTAAACACCAATCTCCTTTTGGGAGATGACTAAAGCAAAGAAGATGTTGAGCAGCTCTGCCTTTTCCCCATCCCGTTAGCATCCAAGTCATGGATTGCAATAAGCCCATAGAATGCAAAAAGGAGACATGGTTCAGATATATTCTGGACACAGCATAGTGCCTAAAATATGTGCTCAAGGGTCTGGAGATGTGCACTTTCTTTATTTGTTAAATTCTGAAATAAAATGGTGCTGCAAGTACAAATTTCCACTTGAATTGTAACGGGCTCTAGACAGGAGCACTGAATTCCCATTGTTTGACAAACCAGGGTCTGTGTCTAGTATCCGTTTCATAGTTCTTGTCAACCAGGTTCTAGATCAGGGGTAGGGAACCTTTGGCCCTCCAGCTGTGGTGGACTTCAACTCCCACAATTCCTTGAGGCTCGGCATTGGGCCAAGGTAAGCCTTTGGGGCGAATGCCGAGCCTCAAGGAATTGTGGGAGTTGAAGTCCACCACAGCTGGAGGGCCAAAGGTTCCCTACCCCTGTTCTAGATCTTTTAAAAGTGTGATTCTTTTCTATTAGGATTTCCTTGCCTAGGCCTTAATTCATCTGCTAGTCTCAACTAAAGTAGACCTACTGAGTTTTGATTCAACAACTCCTTTTGGTGCAGTAGTTCTAATCTTGTGGGTCCCCAGGTGTTTTGGCCTACAACTCCCAGAAATCCTATCTAGTTTATTAGCTGTTAGGATTTCTGTGGGGACCTACAGGTTGAGAACAACTGCTTTAGTGGATCTGCTCCATATGGGAGGAGCAATTGGATGGAGGCCCCTTTTCAAGATCTGCTAGGAGTGGAAGAAGTAGTGAATCTATAATGAAATATTAATAAAATGTAAACTGTTTTAAAGAGGCATATATGGTATAGTGCAACAAGAATTTCCAGAACATAGAAAGGTACAAGCATAATTTTTCAAGAACATTGAAATACTCAGATGAAGTGCTAGAGAAGTAACTGGTCTAACAGTACTGTAGCAGTAAGTCAACAAGCATACAGGCATTCTGTATTGTTGATAAATCACACCTATGTTTTACATTTTGCACAGAGAAACAGGAGACATATTGTAGTATTATTGCATACATAATAGTCACTTCTAAAAATCAGGTTAATACCACTGATTAATTCCAAGTAAAATGCAAGTAGCAAAGTCTATTGTTAAAAGATAACAAAGGGAAATAAGCTGGACAGCAATAGACCATAAAGTAGTCTTTTGTAACTATCTAAGGTACCTATATTAAGGCAACTTTTAAAGATTTGAATAAACTTATTTAGGACTGCCAACCTTTTTCTGGCAGATCTATAATTTCCTATGTTGGTAACTTTACACATTCTTTTGCACACATATTTATGTAAATGTTATAATTCCGGAGTCTCAATGCCATTTGTTGTGCGGCACACTGCATAGGCTAGAATGGGTAGGCTGAAGATGATGGAAGGCTTAGTTCTTTGCAGTGGCTGAAAGTTGTAGT